CGTGCTGGCTTCAGTGCCGTTCACGGTATTGTGCGAGCCTTGTTCCATCTTGCCTTGGTGGATGGAACGATCTCTTGGGACAAAACCTTGATCTCCGCCCTGGGATTGATTTTACAGTGTGCACTGGGGTGCCGCGCCGGAGAAATTTGTCGATCAGATAGATTCACGGGCAACGAGTATATGTCTTGGCGTGATGTGCGTATCCAGTTCGCCAACAAGCTACACCCACACCACCTACCTCGACCAATGACGATACTGACGATTGGATAATGAGAGGCAGTCAGTGCGGCGACCTAGCCTAGGTTTTAGTAAAAGTGGCAATGGCAGACAGGGAGGGCTATAGCCTTCAACCAGGCTTGATCATCCTAAGAGCGGCCCGGGTACAGAGGTGCAACATCACCACTAGGAACCCAACATACTTGTCGAATTACTACATAGTACTAGCCGTGCATATACTAGAGGTGCCTACTCACCCAGAAACGCAAACGGGAACCATGCTTTCAAGTTTGCACACCCCAACGACTGCTTCGATGCGCGCGTAACCGTGGGATCTTTGCCCTCTGCTAATAAGGATATTGTCGTTGTTAAGCATACTATCGACGAAAAAGTTCTGAAGGACACATCCTGGCCTTGAACTCAGCCACGTTGATGAATCCGCCCCTTGTGGTAGGCGGCAGGATACTAGACCACCAATACCACGGATCAGAGCGAATTGATTGTTCTACGGTCTTCAAACGCAGAGTCAGACAAGAGTATACGCACCATCAGCTTTGTCCGTGAGAGACACGCGTTTGAAGAATGCTCAACGCAACACAGCTCATAAGATCCGCAGGCGAACCCTGCCTCAAGAGCTCAAATTTCCCAAAGACTTCCCATTCCACTTGGCTCGGGTTCCCCGTGCTATGAATCCAACCCTGGTCATCACAGCGGGGCCTCGAGTGAGAGCCACTTGTGTTCTCGGTGTACGCTTAGAGTATTCGTTTACGAATATATGCGCTCTCCATTAATAGATGCAGGTTCGTAGAACTTTGGAACACACTAGACTGCGCAGAAACGATCATCGAATCATCCTCTTACCGGGGCATTGGTGTCTTCGATGCATACCGATACCGACGTATACTGGGCTTGTGCAATGTATCTCGCAATCATCATACGTGGTGGCTTGTTTCAGCCAAAGATAGCTAGTAGTGACAATCCCCGTCATATTTTTCCAACTATGGACGTATCAAAGGACACGTCCCGCCCATGGTCATTGAGTATGAAGGAAGAAATTTGGACATGGGTCAACAAACGCTCTAAGAGACGTTCTCACTACTTTTATATGTTAGCCAAAGTGCCCGCGAGGATCTACTAGGCAAGACTACTCCTGCTTTGCCCGGTACGCCTAACTTGGCTACGGGGCCTCCAAGGGCTACGCTGGGTTGATACTGGGCAATGGCTCCCTTAACAGCCTGCACGACTTTGGCCCTAGAAATGATTCCAGGAATTAATACCTGGCCCAGACTTTGATACCCAACCGCAACTCGCGATTGGTTCTCGCTCATATGACAGAGAAGGGCTGTTGCACCCGTACCACCAGACTGGCGTATGGATCTCTGTCTGGCTCCCTTTAGCGGTTAGTACCTGGTCCCATTCCCCTGTCACCAAAATAGGCCCAAGAGAAAGCACGTATTGCTCAAGTCAAGGCCGAGAAGCGCCACTACTGTCCTGTTTGCAAAATCCCTCTTGCCGCCCCTGGTCAGCTAAAGGGACATCTTAGCCGCCCGAAACACCTTGATAATATTGCCAGGGCTGCTGCTGCTACTACTTCCACAGATGCTTTTACGGGTGGTGTTGGCGCCTGATTCATCTCCCCTGGACCGTCCCCACATCCCGCTTATCTCCGCATTCTCACCCTGCATCGCAATCACAACCACGGTTTTTTTCAACCGTGGTTAACGGCTAACGCATTATCATTGCATCAAACAGCTATCGCGACTTCCATGTCTGCTCTCCCGCAGCGCAGCGGATCCCCTGGGCTTGAATTCGTGCGCTTGCTGCCGTTAGGTCAAGCATGGCTGCAAGCCTGCTGGGTCTTGTTCAAAACTCAATGACTCAATTTAGCACTTGGAAGTGTGAGGCTATTGAAAACAAAGAGTTTTACTGTGATCCTTTGTGTTTCCGGTCTCAAGGATGATCTTGCACTGCAAACGCAGCTTGATTCCGAAGCCCATCATCGATTGGACCCCTGAGATCTCCGGGCTTCTCTGAAAACCTCCCTAATTCACACAACTGGACCATGTCCATATTCCCCTTACCCTGCATACCTTACCCGTGCGTTATATTAACCACCACATTTTGCAACCATGGTTATTCGCCGAGACTTGCCAACTTGCAGAAAGTAGAGGAAAGGATCCCCACCCCACTATTTGGACTATGGGTAATCGGGGCTCAGGCGCACCGCTGGTCTGAAAAAAAAAAAAAACATATCAAGTTACGCTACCAGAACCACACCCCAATCCTCGTTTGCAGGAATGGGCCCACTCTCAATTAACGCTTCTCTGAAAGCTAGACATGTCTGGTGACGTCCAGGAAGCACGCCCAGAGACAGTCTCCGCGCTGCCAAGCTGCCCGAGCGGTTTTGAGACCCATTGGGTGCCGTCCAGGCTTGGGGCGGCACTCGGAGCCTTGATTGCATCGTGGTACTCGAGCCCCCATGCTACAAAGTACCGGTCTTTGCCCTGCTCTAGTAAAAAAACAGATATGGACGGGGTGCCCGTGGGGAAGAACAGAGGTAGTAAAGAGGTGCTAAACGCTTTCTCCACGATTAAGAGTAGGAGACCAAATCATATATAATTCCCACCATCGTGCCTGAAGCGGCAATAATAAGTGATGCTCAGACCTTGGACAAGTAAAGGATAGGGCCTCGGTTAGAATCTAGCTAGTTTCACGCCGTGTATAGGAGGGAGGGCACCCAGCTATGATGCTAATACTACACCTTATGCGACAGTGATCATCACGCGCAGAGAAAAGTAGCAGTATGGCAAGTTCACAGCAAACACGCCTGATGGCTTGCCGTCCGGGTCTGTTTATACAGAGCTCAAACAGGTCTACTCTAGGCTTGGGTGGCTATTATCCCGTCTCCTAAGGCTCCCTCCCAATCTCCTGCGGATGATCTTCGACTAAGAGCGCCCACACGTCCAACTTATATCTTGGAGATGTTTTTATTCGACCAGGATTTGTGTCTTGGTCCCGCTTCGCTAGTAAAGATTTAACAAGTTACTGCCTCACGGTAAGTCTATAATCATACTCAAGCTACGGGCGTATACTAATTTACAGTAGACTCTGCACTCAACGCCGCCCGAAGCCCCCGAGCTTGGTTTACGGAGCTAGTTGCGGAGGGTTTCTGCAAGGCAGTGTCGATTATTACAAGGTTCTTGTCAACACTACCCCGTGAGACGCGTACTGTGGTCTTCAAATATCTCAGCACAAGTCCGTGGCACTCGATTCCCTCTCCCGCGTGTTCGTCATTCCCACGAGGTGTTTTACGTGGTGATTCCTCAGTAAGTCTACTCTCTACTCTAATTATGGACGTGTACTAATCTGCAGTAGACCCTTCCTAGTACCTCGGCGCAGCTTTTACGGAAGTGATTAATCTCCATCGCCTGGTCAGGTTCCGGCACCTGACCTCGTGGTCGCTAGAAGTACTTTAACAGTATTTGCCGCTACTACTACTGCCTCTACCACCACGGCCGTCGTTACAGGCGCTGTGATTCGCTCACGTTGAGATAATGGCGGCTAACCATACCCACAACGTGCTCGAGACTGTTCTTGATTGGTCCAAGCAATTGATTTCCGGTCCCTGCTACGCGAACCCGGAGTACCGGGCTCAGTTGGAGGAGTTTCCTCGCGTCACCTAGCAGGCGGGTATCACGTTTCCCCCCGGCTTGCTAGGCGTATTCAGCGCCGCCTAACCACCAGCGGCCGACTTTTTCAGCTCTCTGCCGGAGCCCAAGAAGTCTACATGGGCAGTCTATACGGTTTTGCTGCAAGGCCTGGATGGGTTGTACCACCTTTATATCGGCACAGGAACTGCTGCGCAAGGCGGGTGCATTTCCCGCACGAACGTGTACCCAAGGGGGTTTTATGATAAAAGGAGGATATTAAGGGGAACATATACATATAGGTGTCATGTCATGGCTTACGCTCCATGAATGTATAGACCTAGAAGAAGTTGGGCGTATTGGCAAGATGCTTATACTACGATGAGCTCGAATATTGCCTGTCCAGAATTGATGTTATTAAAGCGTTTCTTGAGTCTAACTATATCAGTAGAGGACAATCCAATACCCGAAGATGCTAGCTGGACTATCCTGCGAGCTAAGTCTTTGATGTACACGTGCCAGGCAGGCCCTCGAGGGCGGTATCTGAAGTCGATGACTACTGGATATCCCAACAGCAAGCGTAGCCTTTCACGCTTCTACTGGTAGGTGTAATATCCGTGAAAATCCCGCTATGTCAGGTGTATCAGATACAATGAGGCGCCCTGACTCGCCTTCGTCGCCTGGTAGGTCAAAGACGAGATAGGAAACATTATATCTATAGACATTATCCAGGGGATAGAGTGACATTAGTAGTTAAATAGTAGTGGCTATAAAGTAAAAAGAAACGTTTTTTTTAGTATTTAAACGTGAAGGGGGCTGATTTTTAAGGGTATCGTGAAGGGTATTGCGCGGGATATATTAACGAAGTTAGGCAAGATAGACACACTCGGGAGCAGCGACTACTATTAGACTAGGACCAAGCACTTTCAGATTCTACTATACAAGATTATCGCTATCAATTATATCAATGCAATGATTCTAACAGCTTACCAGACGCGTCCACTTGGACTGCGGGTAGGAGCACTATAAGTCGGGCCTTATATTCTAGTATCTACTAACTATCTATCCTAGGTAATAATAAAACGTAGCTAGAGAGACTCACTGTGGCCAGGTGGCTTACATGTTGCTATTTTTAATAGTGCTTCCTTCATAGCGTCCATGATAACCTGTTCTTTCTCCATCCCTATACTCAACAGTAGAAGGTGCCGTGGGATGCCCTCGCGTTCCAGCGACTCGGCCTCACGATGCTCATATATGATTGGGGGCAAACACATAGAAAAGCTGGTGCCATAACCAGGGCCTTTCGCAATGCTGAGAGTGTGATAGAATAGCTGGGCATAGTAGGCATGTAGAAACTCTACGGTCAGGACATGGCCGTATCCCCCGTCCTTACGACGGTGGCGATCGTAAAGCATCTTCCGGTGCAAAAGCGAGGGGTGATTGACCCTCTTTACGAAGTGACTTCCAGCCAAGAGCTTAACGACAGATAGCGCATTGGCGTTGCATTCGTCAACTCGCTGCTTGATATCTTGGCAATTCCTGCTCAGAACCATGGCGTCATATGGGTGGAGCGTGTCCTGCATGGATTTCAGCTTTGTAGAGATCGCCTCGTAGTACTGTGAATCTGGATTGACGACCACGCTAAGTCCCGAGGTCTAATGTCAGTCCTGCCAAAAGGCGAGGGACTCGGAGGACATTACCTTCCGCCGGCAATATTGCAGGGCCCACTAAACGTCCTCGTCAAGCTGGTCACTCGAATGTCGACAAACGGGAAGACGTCAACATCGACTGCATTGGCCACACACTATCGTCACAGATCACGATGAAACCATGTTTAACAGAAAGATTATGGATGCGCCACAAGTCGGGGCACTTCAATGTCAAAATGTTGGGGAACGTGCAGAAAAGGGCGTTAGCTTTTTGCCCCTCTTCAAGCGAGTGTTCGAGTTTACACAGGTCGCTAGTGGTGTCCAGGTAGAACTTGACGTCGCCGGTTATATTGGTCAGAAGAACATCTCGCGTCCGGCCAGATAGCCACCTGGGCCCATCAGATCATCTGTGTGTATAGTTACTACTTGGATGAGTACTCACCCATAAGCAATCCATTTATGTGCGGGCGGCTTGATGGAAGCGACCACCCTGCAGACTGCCGACAAGGCGGTTGATCCATTTGCAAAGAGAAAAATATGGCCATTTTTGATGCGGGAGTCTGTAAAGCTCTGATGGGTTTCAGAGGTCGCCAGCTCCTGGATCTTGCCTTTGATCAATCGTTTAGAGTCACCAAATGAGATTTTCTCAAGGCCACAAGACCGCCTGCCTGGGGCAGTTGCGTACTCGGCATTTTCCGATTTAGAAGCCAGGTAATCAAGCCGTTCGAGACAAGCATCAGCATGTCGACTTGATATGGAATCGCCGTGTTCACACCAAACAAGCATGGCCTTGTCAAGGTTGGTGGAGGAGAAACCATTGAAAAGGAGTACGCAGAACGACGCCCATCGCCTAGTTTCATCAGAGCATTCCGCGTTTTTTGGGGGGGCGAATGCAACGGTTTCTATCTTGCCACGCCACAGGTGATCTTGTTCATTTCCCCATGCTCTAAGGAAGCGCGAAGCGCCATCCCGGTTGGTGAAGAGAAGGCAGTGGCAAATTCTATCCTTGCCGTTGGCGAGCCGCTCAGTTACCCGTGCAATGAGAGGGTTTATGCCCTGGCATAATCTTGTTTTTGTAAGTAAAGGTTGGGTATCCAGCAGTTGGGGAGCCCACGCACCGAGTAGCTACCCCGTCATCGTGGGCGACTGACGACCACCTAGGGCCTGGCGGTTGAGTCCCTACATATTGTGCGACATCGGCCCAAGTAGGTAAAGAAACACTCAAAGCCTAGCAGCATGCGTAAGTAAACAGACTATCTGTGCAGGGACAACAGGGACCGCAGACTTACATGCGTATCGCCTTGAGGCAGCGTGGTCCTTTCGGAGGAGCCGTGTCCGTGCAGGTTATCCATCCCCGAGAGAGAAAGACGTAAAATAATATAGATCGAGATAAGATGATAGTATTCTAGGAGATGCTGATGAAACAAGAGAATCTTGAGGAAACGAAAGGTCGCAGAACGCGTTCGTTCTGTCGTGGCCCAGTGCAGGTGGAGGGTCGCTCCTTCCCAGGGCAAGCTGGAGTATATCCCAAGGGACCTCAGCATCCTCAAGGAGCCCATATCGAACATGAAGGCGTATCACAATCGTTGTGTGGGGGTTTTGTTGGATAGCGCAAGGACTTGACGCTCACATTCCTCCATCTATTGGGCCAGCCGGTGGAGGTCGATTCATCTTTGAACTATGAACCATCAGCAAGGTCAGTTCTCATGAATGAGGTGGTACAGCGACACAACTTCCAGAACACGTCAAGAAGAACCTTTGTCAGACAGGGCAACTACCAATTACCCTCACAAATACCAGGATAGGACGTACATTATCGACGATCCAACGAGCGCTGCCGATGCCGTGACCGTGACTGACCGTCGATTACACTTGATCGAAATCTATAGCCTCTTGGACCAAGAGAGGTGACTCGGAATCAGTCTGAGGTTGGAAGACTCGAGACGCTGAGCGCCTAAATAGCTACTGTATTGCACCTTCAAGATGCACGCCATGCTACAGCGACCACCTCTGGCGGATCAATAAGAGGGTTGGGCAAAGAGTTCTACAATCGGGTTGAATTTCCCCTGCTTCACCTCAACGGTCAACCTCAAGAGGCAGAGGGAGGCTCCCGGTTCGCTTTTGTTGCCTGGAAATCTTAAAAAGCTCCGAGTATACTCCAGGAGCGACCAGCCGGCGAGACTTCAGACAAGAATCGAGGCTGACCGTTGTGGTGAAAAGGGGCGTTGGAAAGGAGGTCCAAGACCGACTCTCCCCCACAGGGAGGTATGGCTCCGTCGAGCAAACGGGAAACCTCATCCGTGGTGGCAGAGACTATCATACATACTAGTACCAAGTGGTCTGGGTGCTCCCGCTCCTGCTCCGCCCCTGACTGTGGAGGAAACATCGCTCGGAGCACTCCCCCTCGGCTGCCAGCTCTGTCAAGATCTAGAATTTCCAACTCGCTCCTCAATGCTCACGTGCTTAGCCAAGTGCTTGAGTTGATGGTGATCAATATTCAGGAAATTCTCCTCCTCGCGACCACCGGCCAGTGCTCTGGGTTCAGGACTATCGTTGTGAGGTCCATACTATCGGATATTTATAGGCTCCAGCATTGCCTCAATTTGTGGTGTTCCGAGGTGAAACAAGCGCCGTTCGGCAGTCCACACGCTGCTCCGGTGCATATTGAGCGCTGCGCCGCTGTCATATTCCAGCATTTGATGCAGCACGACTGCCTTTGGCCTCTCGAGGATTTTTGAGCGGTGGTTAAGAGCTGGATACTTCAGACAATGAGAGACAGAGCAGATCAAGTAGCTGTCATTAACCTCAAAAAAAAAAAACCTGGGCCAAGCCTTGAGTGAAGGAACCCGCACAGCAGTTGATCCCGTTCCAGACCGCGATATCTGGCAGATCTTTGCCAGAACAGATGGGGTTGCGCGGCGAATATGAAAATCCTGAATCATGAATGGGTCGAAATCCGAATGGAACATTATTTGATAACAAGAACAGAGATTTCCATCGCCTGTTTGATTCGCCACATCGATTCCTCGATCGTGGGGTGATCGTTCAGGGGACAGGGGTATGGGCGCACGTGTCTCCAAGGAGTTGGAACTTGGATGAACCATGAGCTCAAGCAACGACGACTCTCGATGACAGATATGAAGAATATTATCGATGCAACTTCCTCCGTCATTCGACTCATCTGGGGATACCTGCCGACGAGACCTTGAAAAGAGGCTGAGGTGGTGGAGACTGGCCCGGCATGTGCGGAGTCTGGTCGTTGAGATCAAGACCGTCTGGTCAACCGCCAATTTCGCCTCCTGGATGATCGCGACTGACAGGAAAGAAAAACAACGAAGAAAACGATCTCCTTTCTCTCTTTCAAGTTTGATCGCGGTCGAGACTTTGCGCTTTGGTGATCGACCGAATTATTGACAATGATTGTGTGGTTCAGGCTTCAGCCAGTAACAAAGGCTCAGCCGAGCTCCGCGGCCTTCAACAGTCAACTGCGACTCTGACAGCCTGACTCTTGAGCCACGTCCACGTTTCCATCCAGGACACCACAGCGTTTCATCTCTCGAGAGATGGTCGACTGGTCGCATTATTCTTGGTATCTGCTGAGGCTGAGCTAACCGTCATCTCACAGGCTGTTGAAAAGGAGACGTAAAATACGAGGCCTCACCGCTCCTCGTAAAGCGGATCAGGCACCGGAGCAACACCATTGGTGCTTCTCCGGCGACTCGTGAAATTCGGCCAGTGAGTGTCGTAGAGGCTCGGGTAAAGGTGGAGTCCCAGCGAATTTCTCTGCTTTTGTCAGACCTGGGAGCTTCTTTGCCTGTTTTGGCCGGCAACCGGGACTGTCTCAGTTGGTCTTGCACTGTTGCCATGGACTCGAGCAAGAACATGTTGTGTTGATTTTATCGGTTCCTGCCTTTGAGTCAATCCCAAGGAGTTGAGTCCCTGCATCCAGGGCTGGTTTGATGAGCGTGGACACGGTCAAGGCTTGACTTGTCGCTGTTCCTAAAGGTCCCTGAAACCGCATCTCACATGGCCGGCAACAATTAACCACCACAAACTCTAAGTCTCCTGGAAACGTGTCACCACACCACACAACCTGCTTTCCTCTAGAACCACGTTGCTCCTCTGGTTCTCGTCGACGCGCGCGCCTACCTGAACACCCAAGATGAGTCCAACGGCCATCAAGACCAAGTCTGCCAATACCCTGGACGGTGGTTCGGATGCTGGGAGACAGTCTGCAAGGAACGACAGCGAAGCAGCCATGTGGAGCTCAGACTTTGTGTGGTGTTTAGGCTTTACTCAAAGAAGAAATCCTGGAGGCCCGCATCATATTCGGCCCAACGTCTGATTGGTGTAGAGTTGAATATAATTTCCGTGGCCCCGCCGGCTGGTGAGCGATCTTCAGCAGCACCACATCATTAGCTCATGGCCAGATTTCGCCCACCTTCTGGCTTTCTGCCCCTTTTGCCATCATTGGCTTTGTCAGGCTTATTATGGCTGGCGAGGGAGCTGGCTTTGGGCCAGAACCCCCCTGTCTCTGCCAATCACCAGCCATGGCTCCGCCTGAACCGGCTCCCCAAGCCCCGTCTTCCTCTCGCCCTAATTTCCCAGGTGCCCCCTCTTTTTCTCCTGCGCTCCCTTCTTCTTCTCTGCTTTTCCTCTTCTCTTGGTGATCCTTCTCTCTCTCTGAAGTATCGTCGGAACGAGGCCTCCTCCCCTGTCATTCCTTTCGAGCCGTACTGTTGACCACCGCTTCACTCGTTCAGCGGGCATTCATTGCGTTTTATACCCAGACACCAAAACCCTATCGATTTATATATAGCTGTTTGTTTACTTTCGATTCATCATGAGGGGAGCTATCCTGGCCACCGCGGCCGCTTTCGCCGGCACCGCCGTTGCTGATGTCCATATGCGCCGTCACGCCCACGAGGGCCTCCACCACCGGGGCCTTCACCACTCTTCCTCCGCCATCCCCCCTAGGCCTGAGGAGAGCTGCGGCTGCACCACCGAGGTCATCTCCTACTGGGGCGAGCCTACATGTGAGTCGCGATTCTAGAGGGAATTGAGATGAATTGGGCTGACAAACGCAGTGGTCCCCGTGGTCCCCGTTGAGGTTCCCACCAGCACCGTGACCTCTGAGACTACTTCCACCGTCGAGTCCACTAGCTACACCACCATCACGGTCACTGCCACCTCTGAGACCCCTGAGGTTACTCTACCTACCCCTGGTGTAACCAGCTTCACGGAGACTGGTACCTACACCATCCCCGCCACCACCATCACCGTCACCGACACCACCACTGTCTGCGGTGCCACCACCACCGACCTGCCCAGCGGTACCCACACTTACGGTGGTGTGACAACCATTGTTGAGACGGCCACGACCATCACCTGCCCCTACGCTACCGTCAAGCCCTCTGGCAGCACCGTCACCAGCGTGATCGAGACCACCACCTACGTCTGCCCCTCCGCTGGTACCTACACCATCAACCCTACCACCACCTACGTTCCCACCAGCACCGTGGTTGTCTACCCTACCCCGGCCACCGTCACCCCCGGAACCTACACCAACCCCGAGTCCACCATCACCGTCACTCGCACTGACTACACCTATGTCTGCCCTTACACCAACGTTGATGAGCCCACCGCTGAGCCCACCGTTGTTCCCACCAGCACCTCTGCTCCTACCAGCACTGTTGTCCCTACCACTACCGCTGTCCCCAGCACCAGCACTGCTACCTCCACCAGCGTTCCCATCGCCACCGGTGGCCCTCAGATGGGTATGACCTTCACTCCCTATGAGACCAACGGCAACTGCATGACCAAGGCCAGAGTCCTTGAAAAGGTTGCCGTCATTAAGCAGAAGGGTTTCACTCACGTTCGCGTCTACGGCACTGACTGCCACACCCTCGAGTATGTTGGTGCTGCCTGCGAGGCCCACGGCCTGAAGATGATCCTCGGAGTTCACGTTGAGCGCTCGACCGGCGTCGAGGCTGCTCGCTCCCAGTTCACTGAGATCGTCAACTGGGGCAAGTGGGCGCTTGTTGACCTGATCGCTGTCGGAAACGAGCTTGTGAACCAGCAGATCACCGACGCTGCCACCCTTGCCAGCTTCGTTTCTGATGCCAAGGCTGCCTTCGCTGCTGGTGGTTACACCGGCCAGGTCACCACCGCTGAGACCATGGACACCTGGCTCAACAACGGTGCCACCCTCTGCCCGGTTGTTGACATCCTCGGTGCCAACCTGCACCCCTTCTTCAACCCCTCCTTCACCGCCTCCCAGGCCGGTGAGCTTGTCAGCAACCAGATCAAGGACCTCAAGGAGGTCTGCTCTGGCAAGGACGTGATCAACCTCGAGACTGGCTGGCCCAACGCTGGTCTTAGCAACGGTGCTGCCGTTCCCGGCAAGTCCGAGCAGTCCGCTGCCATCAAGTCGCTCCTCGACAAGGTCGGCGGTGTTTCCGTCTTCTTCTCCTACGAGGATGACTCCTGGAAGTCCAAGTTCGCTTCCTCCGACCAGTTCCAGGTTGAGACCCACTGGGGCTGTATCGACCTCTTCTAAGTAACTCGATCTCACGGAGCATAGTTGCGCGGCATCCTGAATTCAAGTCCTTCGGTGTTTTCCCACTTTTCGTGTCCGTCGTCTCCGCTTATTTCCCACGACTGGACTGTTTATTCTCCCATTCTTCGTATACTTTGTGCTCCTGTAGTAAATATATAAGCCTTTTTTTTGTCTTCATATTTCTGTGTCTTTTTTGGGTTGCGTCCGCCGGTTTACTTTGTTCCTAGTTTATATGCTAATTCATTACGGAATTATGACAAGTAAACTATTCATACACTCAGAGTTTTACCTTTTAATCTTGTGGAAGGCGAAATTCTCCTTGGACGATGTATAATTGCTTCTTCTATATCGTTTGGTCCAAAGCCGATTACTTCCGCATCTCAGGACCAGAGATATACCCAAACCTCACAATACAATTTCTAAAAGTTTGAAGATTGAGTATCCCCGAGTAAGAGCAGCTACGATAAACTCCTACAGCAGTACCTACGAGGACAGGCGTGCTGGAAATGGCGTATCTGGTGTTAGGCGTGGAATCACGGGATCTCCAAAATATATTCCGCTCCTGCCCTCTTGATTTCATCCAACTTAATGAAACCACGGTGCCGCCTTTCAAACGCTTATTTCTTGTTCCAGGCCAGGGAAAATATTCAAAAGATCCGCCCCTTTGTAGAATCTCGGGAATTTGATTCAATTGTTGGCGGCTGGTCGGTGAACAAGATGATTGTCGGTCGAAGAAGTCCTTGTCCCTTCCTCGAGCCGAGTTTCAGTGTTTCAGAATCAAGAAAACGGAAATACCTTGCGGATTACCGCAAAAGCCCTTGCTGTCATGCCTAAGACATCAACGTTGAACGATGCCAGACCCAGACGGGAACTGTCACTGATCTCTACTCTGTTGGGTATGTTGATTTGTGTTTCACAGCCTCCATTGCGATGGCGACGGCCAATGAAGCTTGGCTTCTTATCCGACAAGCGGGGAAACCAACACTTCCCTGTCATGGCGAGACTCTGATTGCTTCCATCGATATTGGCGCTGCATCTTAGATAGCGATCGCTGCGGGCGCTAATCCATCTAAAAATATTAGGCGCCCGCGCCGGAGGGACGCTGCGGCACTGACAGGGTCGGCGGTTAGAAATATGATGCAGCCCCCCGCTGGAAATTCCCCAGGGAAGGTCTACTTTGTTTCTTGAGCTGAGTTGCTATTCTCGCTCACTATATATACATGTGGTTTTCAAAGAGCGGTTCGCCCCATGGTAAGAAGTTTCATTCACGTCTTGACAAGTCATGGACTAACTGAAGTTAATCATAGACGGCGACAAGGCAGAGAAGCGCGATGGCATCCATTGGCGGATGCCCACAGCTATGGCCGTGTGCTGGCTCATAGGCGTGGGACTGGCAATTGGCCATCACTTTTACTACTACTCGCTTAATGGAACAATTGTCCCTGGACAGAGCCAGCAGGAATGGTCACTGCGAATTGGGACGGGGCTTGCTTTCTTGACTAAGACGTTCTTAACCACTGCTGTCGGTATTGCCTGTGTGCAGAATCTCTGGTGGATTCTGCGCCTGAAGCCAGTGAGGCTATCGACGTTGGATTCGATGTGGGATATCCGAGGCAGCATTTTCAACTTCTTCGATCCCTTTCTGTGGGTTCGAGGCCCGAATGTGGCTATACTGGGTCTGATCTCATGGCATGTTCAGCTTCAATCCGTGTTGATGGGAGATTGCTAACGATTGATGCATACTGACAGGTGCATACCGCTGGTCACTGTCGTCACCCCGTCGACGCTCTCAGTTCAGTCGACGACAGGATCCGTGATTCGCCAACAGCAAATGCCCGCTATCGATTACGACTTTGTCAAGTTCTATACAATGGGCAACGGTGGCCCAGCAGGACAGAGCCCCAGCATCTCGCGCCTGGTCACCGGAGGCATGATCCAAGGAACCGTGCCGAATATCCCAGCCCCGGCGGCAAATTCTTCGTATACCTTGAGCTTCTCTGGGCCCTTGATACAATGCAGCAACTCCAGCGACAACGTGACCCAAGCAGTATACGACTTTGCGCATAAAAACTACGCTCAATACACATCATTCCTGGCTTTCGAAGTCGAGACAGACAACGTAACCTATGGGCTGTACCGAGCACTCTACCCCGAGAACAACCAGTTCATAGCCGAGTACAACGGCGACCGGAATGGCGACATTGCAGGGAAAACGCTCATCACGATATGGCCATACATGGGCGCGGACAGGCGGTGGGTAGTCGAATGCGGAATGTACAACGCCTCATACACAGTCAACTTTAATTTCACTAACGGCGTCCAAACGACCACTATCACCGACCTCGAGGTCCTCGGCCGCGTACGCTCCCACAGACAGCACGAGCTACCGAAACCACCGAACGAAGAGCAGCTGTTTGCCTACACCGGCATGATGGATGCTTTCAGGGATGTACTGGCGGGGAGATGTACCGCGAATCCCTCGCACTGCTCGGATACCAGGGTCGTCTCCTCGGCTCTCGTCAACTCCCAAGCGATATGGGATCTGGTTTTCGGTGACGTGGACGTTGGAAATACCACGTATAACTCTTTAGGAAATTTCCTGGATGTCATTTCAGAGCTCGGGAGGAACCTTACCCTGAACTTCTTTGGGAATCCATATTTCCTGTGAGTAATTCACCCATTTTTTTTTTTCACTTTTATTCCCAAAGCTCATAGACTAAACCTCTCGGCTCACCTAGAAACACAATCAACGGCCCAACAGTCGACGTCTACTACTCCCCAAACCAAAACGAATACCTCTACTCCCAAAAGAACCTCCTGATAGCCTACGGCGTCTCGGTCTTCATCTCGCTTCTATGCATAATCGCCGGATTCTTGACGATGTGGGACAACGGCTTCGCGTTCACCGACTCATTTAGTACCATCCTTCGCGCGACGCGGAACCCAAGATTCGATGAGATTGTGCCGCAGGATAGTACGACGGGTTCCGATCCGCCGCCGGAGGCGTTGGCTAGGACGCGGGTGCAGTGGGTGGGACTGCCGTCGGCGGCGTCTGCCTCTGGGTATGAGAGTGGAAGGGGGAGGGAGGATGGCCTGGGCGTTGCGGGACTGAGGCCGTTGTCTGCTCTTGCGGAGACGGAGAAGGGGACTGGGAGTGGGAGAGGGAGTGCAAATGGGGGAGGAGAGGGGGAGCGGAGCCCGCGCTCGCCCATTGCATTTGCGAATCGTATTCGCGAGAGGAAGAATTACCAGGCTACGGCTACGGTCGCGAGCGTACAGGAGAGGTCGCCGGATGGTTTTATATGATCCGTGACAATTTATGGAAACCTGAAACGAGCGGGACGCGCCGTCGGCTCGTTGCGTATATTTGCCGACTGGGAACGGGTGGATAGATGGGCGGATTGATGCATACATCACTGCCGATAGATGGATTGGTAATTTCGGTAAATGTACATGACTCATGATGTTACGAATATAATGAACAGATGCTCTGCCAGAGAGCCAACATTGGACCCATCCACCACCTGCAACCAAGGAGCTTACTATATGCATGTGCGCAGCTCACTCGAAATCCGTCATTTCCCAGTCACACTCCAATGGCTCAAGATACCGCTTGATCCACGCGATAGACCCCTTGACAGGATCCAACACCGTCGCGAAATGCGTCATCTCGTTCGTAGTCGGATACCTCGACGTCCAGGTCACGAGTTCCTCCAATGTCGTGGTAACTTCGTGCTCTGCCGGAGCAGGCGGAGTCGACTCTGAGGCCTGAGTTTGAGACTGAGTTGTCTGTCTCTGGCTCTGACTCGACCTCGTCCTCTTCAACGGGTCACTCCTCGCAGTGACAGGGCCGATACTAACACCGGACCCCTGGCTCGCGCGTCGAATCGCCTGCCTCGCGCTCGCAAGCTTCATATCCCAATGCGCCTGCATGCACGCGCGCCGCTCGATGCTATCCTTGATGAAATCCACGAGCAGGACTGGGTCGCCCGCTGTCATCAGCGACGCGCCCGTGTGTTCTTGTCGCGACGAGTGGTCGGTTGGCCCTGAGCGCGGGACTTCTGTGCTGCGATCGTTGTTCGTTGCGACAATGAACGACGAGCTGCTTTCGACGGTTGTGGTTTTGTAGTCCTTTTCCAGGACGTAGGTCTCACGACCGTCGCTGAGAATTAGGTAGCAGGCTGTTGAGGGGGCTGAGAGGATGTGGGAGACTGTTTGGTTCAGTGGAAGGGTGTTGAGGGGCTGTTGGGCGCGGTTCCGGTTCCATAGCCAGAGGTATGAGAGCCAGCTCGGTTTCAGCGATTTCGATGGAATGATTGTTTGTCTGAGGAGAGACGATATCGAACGTCTGAAGCCTAAGAGGACGAGTAGGTGGCGCCCGTAGTACTTGAAGTTCTTCACCCATGTATCGTCGTCGTGGTTCGGACGGAAGTTCAGCGAAACGCTTAGACCTGGTCGCACGCCCGTGAGGACGCCTACGAAGCCGATGTACGTGATATTCCGAGCGAGCACTGGCGCGTGAGGCTCATCGCTATCGACGAATTCCAACGTCACGAGCAATTCGCGCAGCGCGGGCATGTCCCAGTCCAACGTGCGGAAATGGAGCATCCTCGCCTGTCCATCCCCTTCACCTCCCTCCCCTTCTCCCCTCGCAGGTTTATACAACGCCGCCCCACTCGTACACCCCATAAGCAGATCCAGCAAGACATTCAGACAAACAACAAGATAAACCTCTATCCCCGTCGCCTCGGCAATGCCACGAATCTCCTCCGTCTCCTCGTCATCGTACACGCGACGCAGACACACCCGTGCGAGCGACTTTATCCAGGGGAGGTACGAGTCTGGGAAGATCTCAAGGACGAGGGTGTCGAAAATCGAGGTTATGCTGCGGAGGCGCGGGGCGTAGGCGGTCGCTAGGGATGCGTAGCGGGCGCGTGGGGCGAGGGAGAGGTTGATTTTGTGGGTTGGTGGGGTGTCGCCCAGGCTGGCGGCTGGGGACTGGGAGGTGGAAGCGGTGCCGACGGTGCTGTGGAGGCTGGGAGCGGAGGAGGGCATTTTTGTTGGGCTGGTTGCTTTGCTTTCAATCGGGCTTGATGGAGATCATGATGGAATAAGAGAGAATTGATGAGGATGAAAGAGGGGTGGCAGAATTGCTGGATACGAGGCTGAAACCCGAGAGTGAGGAGTCGGCAGTGAATGATGCCGAAAGAGTCATCGTCAGGCTGCATTTCACTGCCTGGTCCGATTTGCAAAGTCAATCGAATTCTCAGCCGATGATATGATCTCAAGACGCCCGGCCGAAGAATGGAAATCTTCTCCGCCGGAGAATGTTGACACGGACGTTGACAGGCGCCATCGGAGGATCGCGAAAACGGCTGCTCATCACGAGACTCCCCAAGTATAGATCGAGGGGTAAAACATCCAGAGCAGAATGATGTCAGGGACACTTCCAGACTTGACCATAATTTATTGCAATAATTTCGCCGGCAGTCTCCGCTCATCTCTCCCTCCCTACTTCAGCCGAACGCCGTTGTCTCGCTGTCGTGTTGGTGCTCTTCTCAGCCCCAGAACCCATCATGCCACCAGACTCGCTCCCGATCATGCCATCCCAACACAAGTCACGCCCAGCACACATATCGGCAACACACTAACTTCTAGTGGAATCCGAGCATCGTGCCTAAATTGCAGGTTAGTTTTTCGATCCACCTCATTGGACAATCCACTAAGCCATTCGGTAGCCAGCCCGACGCGAACACGCCCGCAGTCTCAGGCCACGCTTTGTTCACACTATGGGCGAGCGGCAATTCCTTGCAGTCGACTTATCCGTGGTCTTGTGAGGGTGCGTGAGGTGATGTGAGGTGATTCGGAATCGAGGCTTTCCAGGTATTGTTTCTGGGTTTGGGGATGGGGATGGAGTGGTATAAAGACGGTTCTGGGGTAGGGGTGTCCCTGGTCTTTTCTTCTGTGTTGCATACATACAGTGAAACAATCGAGAAGACAAGAGAAGTTGAGCATTGCTTAACTTGGCACTACACCATCAACTACCCCAATCACCTACCTACCATCGAAAAGACTATCCCAGTCAATCCACCCACGCCAAATCAAGCACAATGACAAACTCATCAACAACAACGACCACCCGCCCCAACGACTTCGGCTCTGACCTCTGGGTTCGCAAGGGCACGGTTGAGAAACGCGTACGTTCTTCCCTTTCTCCCATGCTCTTTCCACTCTATCTCCAGTCGCTAACCATCCTGCTCGTAAAGCACCCAACAGCCGGCCGCGGCCTATTCGCCGGTCTCCAAGATCAGAAGCACTACCAAGTCGACTCAGGCTGGGCGAAGCGCGATTACGAGGCTCCGGGGTTGTTTGCTACATTGTTTAACCGGTCAGTTACTCCTTAACTTGTCCTTTGTCTGTTCGGATGCTTAGTTTCTCTGATGCTGACCGTCTGGCTTTGTAGGATATTCGGTGGCAGTTATCGGCCTCCTCAGTAACCGTCAAAGCAGGATGCATATAGAATGAAGGGAGAAATGATGGAGTATTGGAGTATACATAATGTGGCATGATTGTTTCTTGAACTCTTGTCTTTTGTTTTGTTGTTCTCCAAGCAATTGTATTTTATAGCATATTAGCAAAGCACGCATTGATACTATCTATCTATCTATCTATCTATCTACCTTCCCCATACATGAACCAGTTGCTTTACTAATCTCATAACAGCAATTCAGTCGCATCTCAGTACACATCACGCCGCGATTATGCGGACTAAAAATCATATCGGTAGGCACTCTGGCCTCCATCTCTTGTCCTCCTGAGAGCGAACGAGGAGAGAATATCCCACCCATAGTAAACTCAAGTAAAACTGTCCAACGCCATCTTTACATACCCACTCCTCTATACACAGTTACAACCGTAATCTCCGGAAACCCGTTAGTATAAACTATTTTCGGAACAGCAGGACTCTACCCTAAGTGCTGACACAATCTACCAGGAAACCATTTCCGACTGACCGAAGCCGACGACGGCTGGTTCGCCGATTCTGAAAATCCCGGATCTGGGGATTCGAGTGTGTAGGGTTCGGGGTTTGGAGTGGGCTGCGGGATATGGGATGGTCTGGATAGGTGGCGGCACTCGGGTTGGTGGTGGAGTGATGCATGATTCGAGGCTAGGGTAGATCTAGATGTTAGATTTACTCTCAAAATCATGTTGCAGAGCATAGTAGATGGTAGAGATATTAATCCATCGGTTACTGGCTCTCGGTGTGCGGTCTTGGTTCTCAAAGGTATAGTCCGTACATTAAGTTGTATAAGTGCAGAACTCATATTGAGGGATCTCAAGTAGTATTTGTTGTTCAATGTTCATTACTGTATAGATCAAGAGCACAAGCACTCCATTCGCCAACCCGGGCCAAACAAACCAAATTCCAAAAGACGTCTTCCACACCTAGCTAGGTAGATCTAGCATCCAGTTATCTAACATCTAGTATAGCATAACATATAACCACTCCAGCGCACATCAGGATCGAATCTACTCCCAGCTGTCGATCTTCATCGTGCCCTTCTCCTGCAGGTTCTGGTGCATCTTGAACGCCTGGAAGAGCAGGTGCGGCTCATGGCCCATGCCCTTCTTCAGGCACTCGAATTCGGCGCGGTCAAAGTAGTCCTGCAGGATGGGCGTGTAGTCGGGGTGCGAGCACTTCTTGATGATTTCGCGGGCGCGCTCGCGGGGGGAGAGGCCGCGGACATCGGCAAGACCCTGAATTTTGTTAGTGTCTCTGTTCTTACGTGGGATGGATGGTAAGTGAAAGGCGAACGTACCTGCTCTGTGACAACGACGTCGAGATCGTGCTCCGTCTGGTCAATGTGTGTGCAGAAGGGAACGATGCAGCTGACACCGGTGGGATCCGTCTTCGAGGGACGCGTGCTAGGCGTGTGCATGATACTGTACTTGGAGTTACGGAGGAAGTCGGCGGAGCCACCGAGTCCGTTGAGCATGCGTGAGCCCATGACACAAGTGCTGTTCGCGTGCGCGTAGATATCCACTTCGACGGGCGTGTTCATTCCAATGCAGCCCAGGCGGCGGATGATCTCAGGGCTGTTGGAGACCTGCTGCGAGCGCAGGAGGAGCTTTCCAGCGTAGCGCTCCCAGTTATCGTAGAACCGCTTGAATCCATCAGGAGAGAAGCGGATGGAGGTCGCTGTCGCGAAATCAAGGTTTCCGCTGTCGAACAGGTCGAGGAAGGAATCCTGCAAAACCTCAGTCCACACCTTGAGGTTTGTGAAATCAGCACCGCCCTTGCTCAAGCCGCCAATGACGGCGTTGGCAATGTTACCGATGCCGGATTGGATGGGGAGGAGGTTCTGCGGGAGGCGGCCGCGAGTGACTTCGTGCTTGAGGAATTCAATTAGGTTTGAGGCGATGGCTTGCGAGCCCGCGTCCTCAGGGGCGTTGGGCTGCGTTTGGTCGGGGTAGTCGGATTCGACAATGGCGATGACCTTCTCAGGGTCGACGGGAATGTGAGGGGTTCCGATGCGGTCCTCGGGTTGCATGATGAGGTAGGGCTTCCGGCGGGGAGGGACATCGCACATGGTGATGTCGTGCAAACCCTCGAACGAGGGGCTAGCGGTGTTGACTTCAATGATGATCTTATCCGCCATCTGCACAAGCTCTGGAGAGGCACCGACAGATGCTCCTGGGATGATTCCTCCGTCCTCTGTGATAGCGGACGCCTCGATAACAGCGACGTCAATTCTGTTGTTCGGCCTGTCTCTTGTGTACCAGCCCTGCACTCGTCAGCTACACCAATCTGACGTTCTTTTCTTTCAAATAGGAAACTCACATAAGTAAGATCGGCCGGAAACATGCTCAGATGCTTATCGAAGAACTTAATATTGCCATTGTTGATGCCCTTGGCAATCTCCTTGCCGACCTGGTGAGGGCTTCGACGCTCAATCATGTTCAATCGCGCCCAGCGGTTCTCCGTCTCTGCGCCGGACGACGCACCGACAAAGAGTGTATATTTCAGCTTGCCCTCGAGGCCGTTCTTCTCGACGTGATCTGCCAGAGCCGTGGGGACTTTTCTGCGCAGCGCAAAAGATTCGAATTAGCTAAGACGTCCACGTTACGATTGAAGCAATTGGACTCGATTTAGCTGCAAAAACATACTTGGGATATCCAACACCTGTGAAACCGGACCAGCCGATGTATGCGCCATGAGGAAAATGATCAAGGAGGTCTTCGGCCTTGGCCAGGCGACTGAGGTACGAGGGCCGTCGCACACGGCTTCGAAGGAGGGCGGAAACCGACATTGTGTGGGGGAGGATGGAGAGAGGGTGAGCGAGAAAAGGGGAATGGAAGGAGGGAGAGAGAAAGAGGGAGGAAAAAACACAAGGAGAGGAGTGGAGAGTTTCGAGATGAAATAATTCTTCGGTGGGTGGGAAGACCGGATGGGGGAGCTCCCAGATAGAAATACCCAGAGAATAGTACGGTGCCGCCACCCCCGTGTGGAGAGAGCCCAGATATTTTACATGGTCATCTGTTATTACTTACTACTCAATTACTCAGGGAACGTCTCAGCGTAATAGGCTATGGATTCGCAGGATTGGACGGCGCAAAAGTGGTCGAGTAGTAGTAACAGTCAGCATGATGATAGCAGTACAGCAGCTCATCTGGTGCACATGTTTTAAGCTCAAAATAACACTTCCCAACGCCGATTTTTCCGAATAAATTGAGATACCATCTCCTGATACTTGTAACCTGCTTCATTATCCTGAAATGATCATGCAATTGAGCAGCGGCATCCCGCTGAGTGCGATTCTTAAATTCGACACTTTTTTAGACGGTTTGACGTCACCTCGGCCCTTTCTCGGCGTCCTGATGACCGCGACTCGACGTCACCTTCACGAACTCTCAATAGTGGAAATGAACAGGAACATGGATAGCTCAAAATAGAGAGTACTCTTAAGACTGAGTCTTATACAGCCCACTGCCCAATGACTCACTTACAAGTGCTACTTTGTGTTGCTATCAATCCTGGTCTCAGGGTCTCGGAATCCCGAGAGTTCGCCGGGTGTGGCCCAGACTCGCCATAGTCTCGGGCTGTATCGGTTATCGCGCTCGGCCACACGGAGCTCCCCACGCCCCGGTTCTTCGGCTCCCAGGTTCACGGAGAAAAGGCAAGGACGGACATCTTAACCGAATCGGTGAATGACAACCAAGTCTGTTCAATGCTAACCCCTATTTAGAGTACACGTGGAGTAGAAACACAAAAGCAACCCTCTACACCAGCCCAAGAAACAAGGACCATATAGCAGTAAAACCCAGTCAAGTCATACATCCCGAGGCCAAGCGCTGATCGTGCCGTAAAATAGATACAGTGCTGCCAAAATGAAACCATCACGAAGCAAATAATAAGAGAACAAGCGCATAATCAATGGACACGAATTGAACGTAGATTTTCACCAAAGCACCCCATAGCGATACAATAGCCACCTAGATCACCAACGAAATTCTTTCAAGTCGCCAAAAGCAAGAAGCCCACACTCGAACCGCATTACAAAGGATAATTAGATGCTCACGTATCCCGGGTTTCGGAAGCTTTCTCCGCGTCGGGCATGTCGACGTCGTCTTTGTTGCTGTGCTTGTCTGAAGCGGAGCCGGCCGCAGCACTGGCTTCGCGATCAGAGCCGGGGCCCTTGATCCAGGTCCGGTAGTCCTGGTTCTTCTCGTCGACCTGATCTTTGCTGAGCCCATGGGCCCAGCTCGGATTGTTGATAAACTTTTCGGTAAATCTATCGCGCCGCCTCTCCTTCACGGCAGCCTCGTCCTTGGCAAAGTTGTCGGCTGACTCTTCAGGAGGAGACGGCCGCCACCACCAATCGTTGCTGCTTGGCTCGTAGAGAATGTGGTAGCTGTTGGCGCAAATGCGGATAATAAGCCCGTCCTGGTGCACAAGCGGGCGGTAGTAGCGGTTGTATTCCTCTTCCTGCTCAAGCTTGGCTGGAAGGTTCCGTTTGAGGAAAGGCATGCGCATCTGGGAGAACGGGACGCCTTCGGTGGGGTCACGCATTGTGTAGGCTGACACATAGTACGACCAGCGTGCTTCTTGGCTCAACTCCTCGTTCTCCAATGTAGCATCTTCGGGGGTCAATAGCTGGACCGTTGTTCTCTGGTTGGTCGAGTACTGAACACATGTTAGACAAGGCCGTCGTCGATGATTAGGTAGACTTACGTAGGTGATACGGTAGATATCACCGTCCTTGATCAATCTTTCAACCTGTTTGCGGTACTGGATCTCCTGGTTATGCGTCGTCTCCTCCTTTTCACGCTCTTTGAAGAAAAGATTGATAATATCTGAGCTTCGGTCCTTTGAATCGCCGTTGAAGATTGCACCAGCGAATTTGGCAATGCCTGTGAACATCTTCTCCAGGTTGTAGAGTTGATACCCAGACCGCAGATAGTAGCGGCGAAGGGTTTCCTCCAGATGGGTCGTTTCCAAGTCTCCTTTGATGACCTCTTCGCACATCCGGACTATCTGTTGGTATAGATTGGCCTTCGGGTCACAGTCGTAGAAGAAGTCGGTGGGAACTTTGTCAATAAGGCCGAGCTCTTGGGCTGGCTTCCCAACAAGCGCGCGACGAACATCTTCATGGGCATCCTTCTCGTGCAACTTGATGCGAAGAAGACGCGAGTACAGAATCTCGAAGGTGCGGAAGAAGCAGTAGATGTTTAGGTTGGCGTACAGGTGGTGGGCCTTCTTCTCATATGTCTCGTTCAAGTTATACTCGCGATGCTGGTTGAAGTTTCCCTGTCCAGGGTGCTCCATCCACTTCAACTCTGCAACATCGAAAGTCTCCGTTGGATCGGGAATTGGGGTAGACGGGACAAGAACAGCATCGGGGGTACCGGCACGGCTGGTGGGAGCACTGCTCTCTTTGTCAGACCGGCTTGCTTTTTCGCTCCGGCGCTCTAGGACGTCGCGCAGAAGATCGATCCTCTTGTTTGTAAGACCCCTTCGGCTCCGTGGCGTGGTTGCGTCAACATCCGGCATGCTTTCGTCGTCACCTTCATCAACGGGCGAGGCCCCGGCAGATAGCTCGTTCATGTATACATGGAATGTATCGCGATCCATGCCGAAAAATAGCGGAATAAAGTCTTTGATGAACAACATAACCTTTTGTGGATCGGCACCGAAACCGGCCGAGTTGCGATCAATAAACGTCAATAGCAGATGCGTCGCGTCGATGAGCACCGCTCGGTCGCTAAATGTGTATTCAAACTGGTGCTTGGAGACTTGGAATCCGCTCTTGCGAAGATTCCTACTCTCCTCAAACTTGCTTTGAATCTCTGTCTGAATATGCTTAGCCACGAAGAGCTTCTTGTCGGTGCCCTTGCTGGCGATTGCTTGGTGGTCAAGACTGCGCCAGTATGCCTTTTGCATCTGCTCGCGCCAAATCTTGTCCCATTCGCGCTGTGATATATTAGCTGCATCCTGCCAAAAACCGGGAAAATTCTTACCTGACTAGCTTTCCATTCCTCGCACTTCTGTTTCAGACGGAACAGGACAACTGGCAGGACATGGCAAGGTCGGTCAAACATCTCCTTGATGATCTTCTCTCCACGTTGTCTATCGTATATCTTCTTAATGACGCGCTGGTAGATTGCTTCACTTTGACCGCCGAGGCCGGGGGGAAGTTTGAAAGCATTCCTCTCTGGCTCCGACATGACGACAAACTGCTGAACGATGGGCTCTATAAGCTGAATTGTGCGGTTGCAAGCTTCGATGTGGTGGTCATAATCATGTCTATCTTCTTCGATACGGTGTAGAGCGTCCTCGTACTGATTCTTCCGGTGAGCGACGAAACCAGAATCCTCCGACGCCCACGTGGGATGAGACGCCCACTCGTCGTTCAACACGCTACGACATAGCTGATCGCGGCCGCTGCAGGGCTTCTGACGCTCGCGCTTGGGAAGCAGCCGGTAGCTCGGACCCAGGGAGCGACAATGTGAAAGGTTGACAACTCCAGCATCTTGCTTGGGCTTGAGCTCAATTATCTTATCCTCCGGCTCTTCCACGTGCATGAATCGCTTGAACCAAGCCATGAGCTCGGGATTGGATCCAATGTACCCGGCGGCTCGTTTCACTAGGACGTGTCGGTCAATCAGATCGGTCGAATATAGGTTGCACAACTTGAGGAATTCGCTGAATGTTTGCTTATTGCCAATGTATTTCTTAACACGGTCGAAAAACGCGAACTCTTCTTGAGTTGGAGTCAGGGAGAAAGTCGGCTGAATAGGCTCAGGAAGCGCGGGGACGAGAGTAGGCGAAACGATCGGCGCATCTCCCTGCGATGGCTTGGTATGGTGAACTTTCGCTCTCTGCATTTTATTAGCCATATTCTTGAAAACATCCTCAACAGTTATGATGGGGTATTCATGCGAAGGAGACCACGAAGAAGACGTAGTGTTACTGTGGTTGCAGTGCACCCGCCACAGTGGCTCAAAGAAACAAAAGCAAAGACGCCTCTAATTGAGCAAATTTCAGGAATGATAAACCGGACTAACCTTATTGGCGCTACCTGCTTGAATGGCTTGTCCTCGGCCTGCTTGGGAATCGATCATGCGTGCGGCGTCAAGCCCTCCAGCAGGGCCGCCTGACGGTCCAAGTGAAGACGGAGCACCGGGTCCATTTCGACGTTTCTTACCATCCTTCGCAGAGTCCTTGACATTGAACTGACCCAGGGGTGGCATCTTGACGTCGCGATTTGGCGTCTGCGAAGCGAGGGACCCGGAGGCGAAACCAGGGTCTCCGCGCAAATTACTCATAGGTGCATTCTCCTCCGCCGCACGTGCAGCGGCTTGTTGCTTTGCGTGAGCTGCAGACTCAGGGAGAAACTGCTTGAAATCCTCCAGGAGATCTGGAGCTGAATTAAAGAGTTGTGTGACCTGCGTGTACACGTCACCAATCGGCTTAGATTCGCGTTGATATGTTTGGAGTATCTCGAGGAACTGCTTATAGATCTCCGGTCGGCTCGCAAAACGATTCTACAAGTATTCGGTTAGTATCCAAAGGCCTTAGCGATAAAGAATGCCCACCAACCTTTATCTTATTCACATAGCTTATAGCGTGGTTGAACTCCACGGGTCCGCGCTTATTCAGGTCGGCTTGCGACCCCTGCAGCATATTCGATCCAACTCCGGCCAAGCTGTTCATAGGTTGGGTCAAGCTAGCTGCTCCAGGGGCTGCAGAAACTCCCAGTAACGAAGTTCGCCCTAGACCAGCTGATGCGGCGGATGCAGCACCTTGGAGTTGCGACACACCGCGCTGGTCCTGTTGATGAGCCATCGCGGAGGCCGCAGCCGCGGCTTGTTGATCTTGCTGACCTGGATAGTCGTAATGGGCATCTTGTGGGTGACTCTGTCCACCTTGCTGCCCGAACATCCCGGCACCTAGCATACGGGATCCGGGAGAATAAGACCCTGCCAGGCTACCCTGTGCCTGTTGAGGCTGCGGCTGTTGTTGCCAGCCTGGGCGAGAGTGTTCATAGTAGTCAGAACGACCATGAGGGCCAAGGCCAGAAGACGGGGGTATATCACTCGGAGCATCTAACGCGTGTCGAGTACGGCCCATGCTAAGGGTATTTGTACCGGAGGGGGTAGTCACTCGGATGGCGTCTGGATTATCTTCCGTCCCACACTCGATTCGATAGCCCGGCGGAAGGAAGGTATTGAAGCCTTGAATGAGAGCGGGATGACCATTGAAGAGATTTGAAACTCGTTGAATGACCCCGGGTGTGTCGATGCTGGTAAAAATCAGCACCAAGACGGTTGACTTTAGAATGAATACTCACGCTTGACTCTTGAAGTCTTTCATAATATCAAGAAATCGGTTGTAGACATCGGGCTGATCAACAAACCGAACCTTGACTTGATCCAAATATGAAAGTGCATCCTATCAGATCGTCAGCTCCAAAATCTCCCACAAAGGTATTCCCTTCACACACATTTAAGATGGGCTGCTGGCCCTGAGCGAGAGATGCAACATTCCCGGGAATTGCAGGGCCAGGCCCGTTGAATGCCATCAGTGGTTGACCTGGCGGCCCAGTGGGATGTTGCATGTACGACCTCGGAGTGCCGTCACCGTGTTGCATTTGAGGGCCGTAAATCCCACCGGGCCCATTTGAGGCCTGCATAGCACCCTGAGGGCCGCTCGGCGGGTTTGCGCCTAAACTGGACAAAATTCCTCCAGGGCCATGGATGGTGCTCGGAACTTTTGACGCCACCGGCTGGTGTAAGGTGATGGACCCAGTATGACTTTGAACAGGTTGATGGTGCTGATCCCGCTGGCGCTCAATCTCACGCTCTCGCTCTCGCTCGCGTTCTCTGTGTTCTCTGTGCACCAATTCTTCACGTTGTCTTTCCATCAGCGATTCTCGTTCTCTTGGGCCTTGCTCGCGTTCTTGGTTGATTGACTGAGGTGAAGGATGCTGCATGGCCTGCCCAATACCTGGCAATGAATGACCACCGCCGTGTGAGGGTGTCGGGGCATGTTGACTAAACGAAGGCGGCTGGTGTGGACCGCCGCCATGGGTCTGGCTCAACTCCGCTAACCCCGGTAGAGAGTGCCCGCCGGGTTGATTGGCCGGGTGATAAGGTCCTATTACACGCACACGTATCAGTCTTTTGTAAGCTCAGGAGCATCAATGTTTGGTTGGAAGGGGTACTGCTAACCGCCGGGATGAGGGAGGACTGGCCCTGATGGCTGCGAGGGACCCTGCTGGGGGGTAGGATTTTGACTAGAAAGCGAGAAGCAAAATTAGTCCATGCCACACTTGAGGATCCGTGCAAGATATAGGATAGCTCTTTTTCACGTACCCAAACGAGCCCAAAGGGCGAGGTTGATTCATTTGATCCATGGCAGGGTGCGACGGGGGGCCGCCTGGGTGCCAGTTATCACTCCCCGAGTTCATGATCTGATGGCAACGAGGAGACCGTAGATCACTTTGGAATTAGTCGGCTGCTTCTGAAGCACTCAGACAAGAAGAGTCACGGTAGAAAGGAAAGAAGAAGCTGTTGACAACCCCAATTCAAGCTGGAGGCTTCTTAATCCTTTTCGCACGGGTCAGTTTCTCTTCCCACCCATTTCACAGAAACATCACTGGATTTGAAGTCTGCGAGGAGCAGAAAGAACAAAATCCAGGTCTTGAGACTAGCAGGGAATGACACAGGAAGATTTTAGACGGACGGAAAAGGAGGAGTAAGTCAAACCACGCCAACAAGCAGCAGACCTAGTTAGCGACGATGGTTTGCGCGCGACCGATCACGGATGGTCTCCAGAGAGAAGGCGGAGAGAGATTGGCCACGCTAAGCCTGTTCCAGCGCTAGTTTCTTCCGCCGGAGTCGCAGTTTTTCCGAGTCTTCAATTACCGCAATGACGTCGCTTCAAAATCATCCGCTCACCTGTTGACGGTTGTACTATGGAGGATCAGGACGATGATCGGACTAGTCCGGGGAGTATCAGTGACACTCATCAGATGTCGTAACTTACAGAAAAGCCACAGACTGACTGACACGAAGAGATCTACAAAAATCAAAGCAGCCTGCTAGCGACAAAGTGATTCAAACCAATCATGTTTCGCCGTCCTGTGATAGAACTGGAGCCTGAGGCTCCCAGCTTGATGGTTTCGGTGCGCGGACTTACCCGACAGTGTATATCGTCGCTCACAACAATAAATGGGTCTGAAAACTCACATATATTCATTATCTACTCGAGTAACGCTAAGTTGGACACCAATACCAATTCAGTCCGAGCCATTCGAGATGAAATCTTTCTCTAATCGCAGCCATTCCACTCGTCCGTCCACTGCGACAGAATGTCGTGGGCTGAGCAACTTGTCTTCCGATGCGATACATGTACTGCAGCAGTATGAACAAAGGCAGTGAATACAGGCGTAAAGTCAGAGAGCGGGGGTTAGAGACATTCTGTGTTCGCAGTGTGCGTGGTCTCCTTCTATGAGAACTTCCGTAAAACGCCGCCCCTACCCCCCTCAAGAAATCATCAAAATCGCCAAAGTCTGCCCAGGAAGTGATAGTAAAATGAGAACAGTATCTCAATGTCTGTAGATAGTCATAGCGCTAGAAAACGACCTGCGGACGGACGTCACCAGACTTCAACGAAAGAGGAAACGGGGCAGGAAACAAAATCAAGTTCGGAATAGGAGCGGCGACCTTGCGAATCGATGTACATTCCTTCGTCTCGATCTTGGCGTTCAGTGCCGTCGAGACGTCGATGCGTCCGATCACTGCGGTAATGAATCGTCGAGCCACGCTTAGAGTGCGGAGAAGACAAAGAGCTAGAGGATTCGGCCATGTTAGCTTGTGTACCATAGGCAGGGATATAGTAGGGGATGGGAGGGGAGATAGTGTGGTACTAACGTTGTTTGTGGCAGCAATAGCTATGCTGTCCTCGAATGGATGCCAACTCATATGCAATATCTTCTTGTTGAAATCGATTTGGTCTGCGTCGGTCTCCTTCTTCATGCGGCTACCAGGACCAGCGGGGCTGCCTGATCTGGAGTTGCTCTTCTTTCCGTTGGCACCCTTGTTCATCGGCGTTGGTACGCCAACCTTCTTCGCCTTGAAGGCAGACTTGTCGGCCTGCAGTACAATCTCCGTCTCCTTGGCCGGATCGGTGGGGTAAATCATGAAGTTGTTGTTGTAACTTCCAGTCATCACATTCTCCGCATCGCCAGAGAAAACCACCTCGAATTTATCAAATATGCTATCGTTCTCATATGTGTCACATAGGCGGGGTCGGAGATGTTCGTGGATGGGAATTGTCTTCAATGGTTGTCGCTCCATGTTCACGTCCCAGATCTTGACAGTCAAGTAATCTCTTGATACAATATACCGGCCATCGTGAGAAAACCTTACGTCTGATATCGAGGATATAATTTCGGAGAAGAAGGAACGAGAAGAGGCATCTTCCTCTTGTTCGAAGACTGCATTGGAGGTTGAGATGTGTTAGCTGATTAGTCCAGAATAAGTATAGGGAGCAAAGGAAGTGAGATCTTGTACCTTTGTGGTGCTGATCGCAAAGCGCTCGCTGCCGCATGTCCGCAAGCTTAATGGTGCCCTTCGAGCTAGCGTACATGAACCAATTGCAGCTTGTTGGGTGGAATTCGGCAGCTGTGATTACCTCCGTAAGTTCCTCCATGTTTGCTGGTTTAATATCGACGATGTTGAAGCTTTGGTCTTGAATGTTCAGGTTCCACAAATTGATTCGTAGATCGTCACTGCTGATGAAAGTCTCTCCATCACTGTTTACGGAGATGCTGTTGATGTGGTATGCATGAGCGTTGGCGTATGTGCGTCGGGGTACAGCGGCGACAACAGTATCGTGATGTGTCATTCGTGGAAGTTTCAAAGCTGAAGAATCTTTGAATGACACACGGGGAGCCCTTGGTGCCCCCCCTCCACCAATGCCGCCAGGAGTAAGCTCACTCGAGAGATTGTTCTCCGCGACGACCTTCAAGGACTTGTCAAACACCTTCCAAAGCTTGATTGTTTTGTCATTGGTTGAAAGCAGGAAATGCGATGCGTTCTGCCGGCGACACCATTTGATCTTGTTGATTTTTTCTTCAATCTCCAGAGATTTGAGGTAGTCGAACTCGGGCTCGTGTGACTGGAACTCGGTGTGGAATTTGTATTCGCATGTTTTTTTCTGCCCAAGAAGTCAGCGCCAACTGACCCCGGAAAGCACTTCTGAAAAGGCATCGTTACCGTCTCGTTTCTCTCAAATAGCACCACTCTTCCGCCCTTGTCTCCTGTTGCGAGGTAGTTTCCAGTATGGTCAAACTCAACGGTTGAGATAATATCGGCTGCGGAAAAAGGTGCACGTTAGGACTCATATAGGCAAGCTAATACGGAGAGATAGTAGTACCTTCGGTAATGTCTTCCACATCACCTTTATCGCCGAAGCATCTAAAGTACGCGAGTTAGACTTTTGCCTAGTCGAAAATGACTGTAGCACGCGAGCAGACAGACAAGACGAGAAAGAAAGTGGCAAATGCCTATCCTCCAAGGCACTGAACTATAAAGCGAATTGTGCAGGGCGGGAGCGAATTCGGGCGACCAGGGTTGAAACTCACTGTGTAAACTTCCAGGTGGGTGTACCTGGATCCCTGTCCACCATTTTCTTTTGATAACGGCCCTTGGTTGGGACGTGTGCTGACAATCAGACAAGCAAAACTCTCAAAATCCAGAGGTTTGGATCTTGAAAGAGGGGAGTATAAGCGGGGTCCGTGGGACTAGAATTGGAGACGAAAGACGATATCCGGGTGCTAGGTATTGGATATGTAGCTCGTGAACGGCAATATGGGCGACGTAGTTGTACGGAGTCGATACCGAAAGGACGATTAATTCCGATATGGAAACGAGGCTCCGAGATGGGATAAGGAGGGATCAAAGAGCCCGAGTCGGGCAAGTCGGGAGGGACACGGAAGGTGGGAGGTGAGGTGAGGTCGCAACGTCAAACAGGGCCAAAACAAGGCTGATCAGTTAGTTGCAGGCTGGGGGAGACAAATAATTGACAGCCTGGGCTGACAAGAGCAGAAGAGGGGAAGGTATCGGTGAGATATAATTTTTTTCTTCTTCTCTACACCCCTTCGTTCTTGAGGATGGGCGGACGATAGCGAGGATTAATTCGCGGTGAAAGAGAAGAAGAAGCAGCGACAACAACCACCACAGGCCACAGCAACAGATGAGCGTATCTGTTGATGAGCAGAACGAATGTGGGAGTTGAGCAGAGTTGGAGGGGGGAAGTGGATGATGACGGGGTTGTTGGATTGAGGTGAGGCGGTTTGGAAAGACCCGTTGTGGTGGTGGTCGTGGTGGGGAGAAGGTCGTAGTCTCGAAGCAGTTGGCTGTGGCTGCCCGTACACCCAACCGTCTGAGTGGGCGCTGACATCAACCATCTTCGTCACTCACCACTGCAGCGACACGCTACCCAGTAGTCTATTGAGCCCTGCGGATGCTCTGCTATTGTTGTTGGCGTCCTTTAATCATCAACCGCAGAAATGTCCTTAAATTAGGATCGCAAATAGATTTCTTTCATGCTCGCTGTTTCCGCTTCCATCCGCACAAAGGAAGGATCATCAAACCCCGACCGACAGATGTATACAGTCCCCATGCTACTATGACCGGCACGCGTATACTTGGGCCCTCTCATCTTACTCCTTGACCATCATCTTCCTGGCAACGTGGTATATCAAAGAGTTCCGTCAATATGTGACCGGCCTGAGACTCTTCACATGCTCTCTCTACCTTTCCTACTCGTTCCGACTCCTCTAGCCCGAACCGTGACGGTCGCCAAAGCTGTCGGCGAGGGATACTTACTATATCCGGCTTTACCTTTGACAAGTTGCATTTTTCCTGCCAGTCTCCAAGCTCCGTTTGAAGGATCCTAGCTCTGCCGCTCTTCCACAGCTTCCTCCACTACCGAGAGAGCCGACCTAACCCCCGCCTTCGCTCACCATGCCCGATCACCAGAAGCGGGGTAATTCTGACGATAACAACCCCCAAGCAACACACCCTAAACCAGGAAATGAGGAAAACACACCAGTGGCGTCCGACCATGATGGCGCACATACTGAATCGCTAGCCTCACGTATCCAGAAATCAGCTTCCGGCCTCGCGAGAAATGCTTTTCTCTCCTCTGCTCCCACCGGGGATGCCGCGCAGCTCTTGTCCGACGGTAGCAAGGCTACGCCATCCTCGTCGTCGTCCTCTGCCCTAGCAGCTGCAGCGCAATACAGAGAGACTTCTGGCCCTGCTTCCTCGTCCTCACGAGATCAGTCTGGTCAAGGGTACTCGGAAACATTTAGATCCTCGGTCACGACTCAGCCCGGAGGCTTCGAACTCCCTGGGCTTTCGGAAAAAGAATTTCAATCTACATACCGCGAGGATTTTACAAATGTACTAAATGATACCAGCAAAGGGAAGGGCAAAGGTAAGGAAACGATCAATGCCTCCTCCACAGCAGACCACTACCTCGACCCAACACCAACCCTCCTACCAACCGACGGCGACGCGGTAGTCTCGCTCCTCACAGACACAAATTTCGACCCCGAATTCCCTCCATCCGCCGATGAGCCCACAGAATTCGTCGAGACGGAACTCCAATTGTCTCAACTCACCCCAGATGAGATCAAGATGATCGAGTCCTTCCGACGGCAACTACCTCTGGAGCTGCAAGCGCAACAAAATCCAGGCTCGTCTACCCAGCTGAGCTCGCTCAGTCTCGTCCCAGCCATCGGCTCGTTTTTAGAGACCATCCCTATGTCGAATGCAACTACAAGCCATGCAACATCCCTCCGAGATGAGGTCCTGACTAGCTTGCCCGGCGCTGCCGACTGGATTGCTGTGGAGGAGAAATACCATGATGAGGTCTGGGGATACCTACAGCCCACGCTTGAGGCTGCGGCCAAGGAGATAGAATCGCGCAAGGAGTCGGCAAGCACCGAGGACGGGCCTGCAGTCCGGCGATTGAAGATGATATTGAAGCACATGCAGCATTGATCTTGCGGCTAACCTATATCAGCGCGAGTCGGTGTTTTGTAAATATAGCTCAAATCTATAACTATATGGAGCAATTTGCAATGTATATTTGGACTATGGCTTCAACTACGACCTAATAATAGTTCAAACCCTGTCAAACAATGGGCCTATTGACTCGGCACCAGTCGGGTGGAACATTAGTGACTTTCACCACACCCTGCAGGTCGGCCGGTTCTTCCCATCCACCTTGGCGGCGCGCGTGCCGGGATACCCTCGGCGAAGTTGAGGGAATCAAAATCAGACTATGTGCTTGTTCGGAATGTCGTTCGTAAACTACTATAGTAAGACGTGAAACAATCCGATACAGGAAAAGTAGAAACTGGTTGTCGAATCAGGCCGTCGGGCTCTTGTTACAAGGGGCAGCGGACATCACGCCAGTCCCCAGCTGGCCATCGTCTTCGCACTCCTAGATAGGAAGCGCACTTGGCCTTCCATACTCCTTTGCAGAGTGATTACGAATCTATTTCAAGAGAGCAAAAGGGTGCGTGATGTAATCGAATGTAGATTGTATCTTACAAACAAGAATAATAGAAAGCTAGTATCATGACAAAAGATCCAAGACGTAACAGAGTAAGAAAAAGGGTATGCCTCCAGAGGCAATTGTACGGTTTTCTCTTTTTTTATATGCCCAATCTATTCATGCTTAATACTCAAGGCTGGGAGTTTGACCCTTTACACGGCCGATAACGATGTGAGGAGCGTATTTGGGAATGACTTCGTCGTCGTGGAGCATCTCGAATTCTAGACAGTTGTCAACATTAATTTCTTGCGTGGTAATAGAATTATTGCGGCTTACCTTCTGTGGCATCACGCCCCATGAAGTTGAACAGGGCGTTGGCGCCACCGGGGTGCTCATCCAACCAGTTGGTTACGTCGAGGATGATGCCCTTGACGACGATCCACAAGTCATCCTTCTTGTTGTGCTTGGCGACTTCCTCCATCGAGTACTCGGTCTCAGGGATGGTGAACTTGGCTGGCTTAGTCGCGGGCTTTGATGTCTCAGCAGTAGCAGCATCAGTGGGGGTAGCCTCTGTGGAGGCAGCGGGGGTTATAGTACCGGTCGAGGCCTGTGCACCGCCGGCGCCAGCGCCGTTCCACTCAACAGAGATCTTGCCGGGGGTATAGGGGTCGATGTGCAGAGAGATCTGGCCGAGACGCTGCTGAGCAGGAGAAGCGCTACCAGCGACGAGCTGCTTAAAGAGATACTCGCTAGCACTGTCACCAGCCACACGGCCATAGACAACACAGCCAAGCAGAGACGAACCACCAAGACGGTTAGCACCATGAACACCACCCGCAAGCTCACCACAGGCGTAGAGACCGTCGAAAGGCTTCTTCTCGGAGTTGAGGACCTCGGCGCGGTCGTTGATCTCAATACCACCCATAGTGAAGTGCAGCACCGGCTCCATGACGGCAACGTGGAAGGTGTCATCGATGCTGAAGGGGAGGTTGTGGAAGAAGCGCTTGTTCCAGGGGTCCTTCTTCTTGCCATCGGCAATATCGTTGTAGTCATCAAAAGTCTTCTTCAGAGCAGCCTCGCCGCAGCCAATCTCCTTGGCAAGCTCCTTGCCAGTGATCTTCTTCATCAAACCACGACCAGAGTAGTGGCGAGTGTGGAAGTCGAGGACGTTGGAGGCCTTGCTGTTAAGGATCAGGCGGATCGGCCACTTGCCCTTCTCCTTCTCCTTCCACATTTGGCCAGAGACATAGTCACGGTGGCCGAGCTCATCAGAGAAACGCTCACCGTCGGAGTTGAGCAGGAGACCACCCTCACCACGAAGAGCCTCAGCGGCAAGGAACTTGAACTTGGCGGTGGGGTCCTTGGGGTCAACAAGACCAGTGGGGTGGACCTGAACCTTGTCCATATCGATGCCGTTGGCGCCAATGGCCATCAGCATCTTCTGTCCGTCACCAGTGGCGTGAGTACCATTGGTGCTAGACAGACCGAAAGTGTCGGGACGGTGCTCCTTGAGGAGGGAAGTGTCACCGAAATCGGCAGCATAACCACCAGTGGCAAGGACCACAACACCGTCGGCAGTCCTGGACTGGCCATCCACCTCATATGTGACACCGGTAGCAGTGTTGCCGACCTTGTTGACGGAGGTAACGCGGGCCTTCTTGACAATCTGAACACGGTCGGGCTCGGCCTCGGCAAGCTCTTCTAAGCGCTGCATGAGAGCGTATGTGATGGCCATACCGGGGAACTTGGCATCGTGACCACGGTGGGTTCGGGGCTGGGAGTGGCCACTTCGGGAGTCAGCGCGACCAAGAAACTTCAGGTACCAAATGGAGACTTACCCGAGACGAGAAACGAGGGTGAGATCGAGGTTGAAGACGTCTTGCAGCCACTCGACGGCAGCAGCGGACTTGTATGTGAGGACTTTGATGAGATCGGGACGAGCCTTGTCTCTGGCAGATTTCAAGGTGTCATCGTAGAACTGCTTGACGCTGTCTTGGATGCCGAGATCGATCTGTGTGCGGGTGAGAGCACCGTTGATACCGGAGGTGGCCTTTGTGGAGTTGCCACCAAAGAAGGCTGGAGAAGGTTAGCCTCGTTTGGTCGCAGCTGGCATGGATATCCCTTGAAAGCCAGAGAACTCGCGCAACGCGGGTCATGGGAAATTCAGCGACATACCTTGCTTGTCAAGGACAAGAACGTTTCCACCGTTAAGGTAGACGGTGTGGGCGGCACTGAGACCGGACACTGGACAGCGAGCAATTGATCAGCGAATGCGGGGGATATCTGGGGAACAAAAGGAAGCGACTCACATCCACCACCGACGACAATTACTCTTGGGGCCATGATGTAGAATCTGTGAAGAAAAGGAGGGATAAGATGGGGGAATGAGGAAAAGAGAGAGGTGGAAGAGTGAGGAAGGAAGAAGGACCGAGGGCGCAGAAGATCTTAAGAGCAGAAAGCGTTCAGAAGCCGACGGGGGAGAAAGTCGCTTTTTCGGCCGAGGCTCACAGACGGTCTCTTACGGTACGGCCTACAGTCTCCGACCGAGCGCAACAACTCCTTACTACGGAACGTGCTGCTGAAGGTTCTATCATGGATTATTCAGTGTCTGGCCATTTTACTTTATTATTCCCGTTTAATGGGCGTTTCTACTTCTCTTCCCCATGTTTTCGCGGGAGACTGGTCTAAAGTATGGGGAAGCCGCGGAAGCTGGACTGGGACTGAACCTGGGGAGAGTGGACTGGCCTTAGTAAAGAGCTTTCCCCGGTTGCTGGTTTGTCCATCTGCCTTCAGCAGGTCCATTGCCATCGATAATCCCATGAGCCCTCTATCCACGCTCGATCCACAATTCGACCACTGCGAGTATCAAACTTCACATGCCCACGATCCATTGGACGACTCTCGCTCTCAGCAAGGTCATCCGGTGCCGTTTGATGACATCGTCAGCTTTCACATGCCAGCAGTTGCCTCATAGCGACCTCAGGCCTGTCGCCCTCTCCCTCCTCTCTTACTAAGAGCAGATTTCAGCTAATAATCTCAATCGCTTTCATTGGACCAGATCTGCTAAGTCTCCTCAATACTTCTGGCTCTGTCTGCTTTTTTCGGGAACTTCCCGCCACGGGTGCTCAGATCACACATCAGCGTCGACCGGTTTGTTCGACAAGTACCGAGCGGCCTAAGACGGGGCAATTAGAGGTGCATATTTCATAAGGCAGAATGCCGCTCACTTACCCTCAATCTCCCCTAAGCTTTCGTTGTCGGTCGCTTCAGTACCAATCGAGTAATACCTCGGACCGAGTCTCATGCTCCCTGCCTGGGCCTGCAGAGCAACGGCACTACGCCATGCCGCACCATTCCGCGAGCGATCTCAAGTCCTACATTGTTAGCTCGCTTTCAGTTTATTATTGTTCTCTCCTGAGTTCGCGCACTATCGAAGAGCACAACAGTCGGCGATTGATCACGTGCTGTCGGCCACTCTCGCCATGACGTCTGTCAAGATCAAACACCGAGGATCACCTGATATTCTCACTCAACTTGGAAAATTCAATTGCCGATTGTCCTGAACAAAAAGCACGAAAGAATTTTTGTCGTCGGTGAGAAAATGTGCTGGGCTCCTGGGGGTGGCCACCATTTCTCAAGCGTCGGAGACCAACCCGAGCATTCCCTGTCGTCATACGTCTGGGCTCTAATGCTCGGTGGTCTTTTCCCCGAGGTCTCTTCGCTTCGATCGGGAGATTCACCGAACGACGAAGATCGGCTTTATGCCGGACATCAGTCTCTCTTATGGTCGGTCTAAGCTCTACCGGAGAACTGTCAGGTACTTAGAAATGTTATCTTAAACCACTATCTACTGGAGTGGCCGAGGCCTATGTCTATCTGCTCATTCGCCTCCTCTCGGCCCATTTCAATGCAATGGCAGAAAAGAGGCCGAGATCCTCTGTATGACAGTGGCTCAAAGCTTGACCACCCGTGAAAGATTCACCGAGAAGCGAAACATTGCGTCAAAGCCCACTCAACTGCGCTTCTCGATATCGGCGTACACAATACCCCGACCGCCGGTACCCAAATAAACCCGTCCATACACACGAGGGTCGCCCTGGATCATCCCAACCCCACCATACTGATGGTCCTCGTCATTGACGCGTGCCCATGTTCTGCCATTATCATCGGATCGATAAACTCCATCCTTGCTTAGCGGGCCATGAGTCGCAGCCGTTCCAACGATGAATAGCGCTGGCGTGGACGAACGACGCGCACCGGCCCCGATTGTCAAATGTCTTGCGGTTACGCCACGGCCTGTGGCTTTCGTCCATCTCCTGCCGAAATTGCGCGTATGATAAATACCCAGGTCTCCAAGGGCGAGCCAAACCTCGCCTGCTCTGTTGAAGTTTGCAATCGGCATCGCCCCCGGGTAGGTTGGCAATCCGACATCTTTGCTTTTGAAAGAGGTGTATGATGCGCCACCGTCCCTACTCAGATACCAGTTGCTGTCGGTGAAAGCATAGAATGTTTTGGGCTGTACTCTGTCGGCACTGATGTTGGGTGTCTGTACATTCAGGCCAGTAGGGGAAACCCAGGTCTTTCCGAGGTTGGTTGTGGCGTACGGGCCAGACTCGTTCGTGCGCGGGGTGATGGCCTGTAACGTCGGCCAGTACGTTGTCATGGCAGAAGACCACACAATATGCTTTCCCGAAGCATCAATGGCAATAGTCCCAGGGTTCGGTGTGCCAACCTCGATACCCGGGATGCAGGTGGCGAACTTTGTCCAGGTGTCGCCGCCGTCGTTAGAGTGCGCAGCGAGTCCGCAACCGTCGGTGTAATTGTGCCCACAGGGACCAGCTCGGATTATCGTCTTTGGCCTTTGGCCAGCCCAGTCGAGGGCGTTCAAGTTTGAAAACACTGGGAGATCAAACATTGGCTGCGGAACGTCGAGATCGCCATACCGATATCCATTAATGTCGCCTAGCCCTGTCAGCAGGTGCGAAGGTCCACCATTTGGACTAGCCATTGCCAGTGCTACTGATTCCTCAATGCCCTCAGCTTGGATATACCAGTCAGGAGACTGGTTCGTGTCAACACGCGACAAGCTGTCCGTAGCCCAGATGGTAGCTCCAGTGCCATAGAGGAGATGGTCCGAGTTACTCGGGTCGATGAGAACCGCCGTCATCCACCATCCAAATTTTGTCAGTCCACGAACCGGAGAAGGAGCGCCATATCCGCCCCATTGAGGGCCCCAGTTGAAGCTCAACCAAGGGACCGCTGTGCCATCCTTGAACGCAGCGTCCTCAATCGGATGACCCCAGTATCCGCTCGAGCCCGACGGTGTCGAGAGCTGAGTCACGTCCTTCCAAGATCTACCCCCGTCATGGGAGAGGTAGACGCTGTCCAGAGCCGGGCCAGGATCACGGTCCAAAGACACCACAACGAGCGTCTCAGGGTCCTCTGCATCCACGCTAAGCCCACAGAATCCTCCAGCAGGGAAGGTCTGATTAGCAAACGGCGCCGGATACGAATTCTCCTTGCCCGGTGTGATATTCCTCCACTCGCTCGACGAAGTATTGTAAACATACACTCCGCCATACGTAGCCCCATATGGGCCCGGTGCATCAGCGTATGTCACATACAACGCTCCATTGCTCGCCAACACACCCTTCATCGGCTGAGGCCCGGAGCTCTGAGGTTGCGCCTCGTCAGGGAAAACCAACACATCCTCATCCCAGTCCAGCGGCTGCCCAGGGACCCGCTCCCAACTCTCCCCAGAATCCCTCGTAACATAAACGCCTCCGGGAACCCCAACACCGACATAAACAGTGCCTTCGGCCTTCTGATCAAAAATCACCCAGTAAATCCCCACCCCATTCACTGCAGCATCCGGGAAACCTGTGATATTCTCCCAGGTCTTCGCCCCATCAAAGCTCCTCATCAACCCAGCCAACCGCGTCCCCATCCACACCTCCCCACTCTGAAACGGATTAACGGCCAGCCTCTCCCCATTATTTCTCCCCAACTCATTCGCCCCCATCGCAAACGGTGCCTCATACACCTCAAAGCTCTCCCCGCGGTCCTTCGACACAAAAAAAGCCCCATTCCCAGCACTCAAGTACCGCCCCTGCGCAAGATACAACACATCAGGATCATTCGGATCGAGTGCAATACTCTCCGTCCCGAGCAGATTCTCGTCGGCACCGGATATAAAATCGTTAAGCGGGATCCATTTCTGCGCCCGGGCGTCCCAGCGGTATGTGCCGCCGATGTCGGTGCGCGTGTAGAGCAGGTCTTTTTCCGTTGGGTGGCCGATTATCCCTGTGATGTAGCCGCCGCCGGAGACTGCGACGGGGGAGAAGTTGTAGTCGTAGCTGATTGTTTTGCTTAGGGCGAAGGTTGCGCTTGTTAGGGCGAGGAGCAAAGCGCGGGGCTTCATTTTGAGTGGGCCGGAGGGCTAGAGAGAGGCCCTTGCTTGTCCTGATACTCTTGTCCCTCTGAGGCTGCTACTGTGTAGTAGTCGTAGCTTCGTGAGATCTGAGCTTGGGGGTCAATTGTTATGTATAGCGTTTCGATGCCCATTATCGATGCGGGATACGGGCCGTGTCGCCTTTACTGAACCTAGTACTAACTGTCTTTGCGGAAATATCTCTCGTAGTACCCTTAGTAGACTCCCTCGGAAAAGAGCTGTATCTGGGGAAGTGCAGCGAGTCATATCATTATTGGTGGTAAATATCCAGCACTAAATACGACGGCCCCGTTTCGCCCCGCAAAATAGGATAAAGGGCTCGGATAAAAGGCATGGGAAATATAGGCGAATCAGATTATCGGAGGCGATGCAGTTATTGTGTAGAGGCTAAATGTGCTTGACGTGACCAAGTTATTGCGACTAACTAGTAACTAACAATATCTATCTGACGAGTACATTCCAGTGCGACGGCCTTTTCCGGGTGCCTACAGCTAAACCAACGACCTCAATGAGCCGAGATTCGATTCAAGGAGCTCAAAGTTCAGAGGTTCCGAATCAGCAGCATGTCCATCCGCCCCATAGCTGGTGAGAAGCACCTCTATTGCATTCTCCCGCGAAATCGCCAAGTGCAACGGAGTCTGGCCAGAACGGTCTGCTATATCAACAGCCGCCCCTCCTTCCAGAAGTAACCTGACAATGGAAAGCCTGCCTGCCAGAATTGCACAGTGTATCGAGGTATAACCTTGGACGTCAGCAGCATTGATGTCGGCGTCATAATCGATCAAAGATGCAACAAGCTGGTGGTTTCCAAGGTACGCCGCAATGTGCAACGCGGTCTTGCCCTTCAGATCAATCGCGTGTATATTCGCCCCATTGAGCAGGAGGAACTCAGTCATGGGCACCGTATGATTAGAGCATATTTCCTTCCGGTAGGAGCGGGCGACCAGATGCAACGCATATTGATCCCCTGGCCACACGCACTGAATAAAATCATGAAAGTGATGGCGATGGTCCAGTCTGCAAAAGCCACCGGATCTTCTTTGTTTCCTGCTCAAGAACCCTTTTGATTCGTTGATCTCTTTGTGATGGATATAGAGGAACCGCACCACCTCTGTGTGGCCTCGTTGCACGGCTTCGTAGAACATCCTGGTCCCGAGGTTTGCTGGGATTTGCGTTGGTCTCGGTGCCTCTAAGAGTAAGTATGAAGCAACGTTCAGATGTGGCTCCGCGATGACTTGTCTAAAAGCAGTCCACCTCATATCCCTTGGCTTGCAACCTTCCGACCTGGTCTAACCGCATATAATCTGCATCATGGTCCATCAAAAGCTTCAAAATCTCAAGATGACCTTTCTGAGCCGCGTTGAACAGTGGAAACCCAAAGGCTCCGCTCTTGGATAGATTTTCTTCGTTGGGAAGGCGTCCTATACCCCTAGGGTCCACACCTTCCTCTAAGAGCATCTCCGTGGCCTCTTTACTACCGATATCGACCGCAACGCGAAGGGCCGAGATGGCAGCGATGTCTGCCTCGGGAGTTAGCGGGCGGTGTTCCCAAAGAAGCTTTAATCCAGGCATGTCTCGTTCCTTTATAGCCGTAACTGTAAGGGGTTCTCCGCCTCGCCAGTTGTCGCCAGCTGCTGGATGGTAGATATGAGGCGCTCATAGAGATTTGAGGTGGGGCGTGCGTTGCATAAGGGAGACCAACGAAGAGAGATCCAGTGAACTGGCATAGTCCAAGATTGTTGCGTCGTACACTCCATCTTCGCTGAAGAGTCCGTCTGGGTCAATGAACATACCATATCCGTCGAATAATTTCCCTGGGGGATCCATATATTCAGAGACTTAATGATAGTCCAGCTATATCGTTATAATCGTATTGAAGATGGTAGAATGATTGTGATGGTTGATTGATGTTGTTGTTGAATAGATTAGGCTTCCTTGGAGGCCACAGAGGGTATCGATCATGTGGAGGCAGGAGCGCCGGTGGTGAGCGGACAGGTTGGTGGAAGGATCTATCCTAATCGGCAGGGTGTGGTACTATTGAATAGTGCTCTGTTGGTTGAATAGATGTATCTACATTGTCAAACATTGAAAACGTTTAGACATCGCCGTATAATCAATCAGTCCATCCAAGTCACACTCTTCGTCACGAGGAACTCCTCTAGTCCTTGAGAAGCATTAAATCTTCCCCAGCCGCTGTTCTTGACTCCACCGTGAGGCAGGACAGGCTCGTCATGTATGGTCATACTGTTAATGTGCACAGCACTGCAGACAGTCGTGTAAGCACGGTACCTAAATTTTAGGGAGGAGAGTTCAAATAACCTACCCAGACTGGATCTTCTTGGCCATAGCCAGGCCCTTCCTCAGATCTTCAGTGAAAACTGCCGCAGAGAGTCCGTATCCGCTGCTATTCGCGATTCGGATTGCTTCTTCATCACTGTCTACTACCATGCAGGCAGCCAGGGAAGCAAAGGCTTCCTCCTGCCACACGGCCATATCCTCCTTGACTCCACCAAGGAGAACAGGGGCCATCCGAACCCCAGAGTCGGAAGCGCCAGTATCCGTGGCACTTGATCCGTTGATGACATGGGCGCCTGCCGCGAGAGCATCTTCGATTAGACGCTGCACACGTTGCTTGGATGCTATGTTCACCAGGGTCGGTGGCGCAGAGGAAGCGTCCGACATCGATTGTAGTGCGCTCTTAAGGGCGTCAATATAAGCTGGTGCAGTCGATGAGTGGACAAGAATTCGGTCTGTAGCCATGCAAATTTGACCGGACTTCGCGGTGTCAGTCTGGAAAGTTTCGTACAGGGCATGGATTGTCATACGTTCAAATATGCTCCCGCCAGGACGGCTTTCACTGCAGTTTCAATATTTGCATCTGCGCACACAATTGCGCTATTCTTCCCGCCTAGTTCCATGAGACAGGGCTTGAGGTTTTGTCCGCAGGTACGAGCAATCTTCCTGCCGACGGCTGTGCTGCCAGTAAAGTTAATCTTCTTCACTCCCGGGTGTTCAATCATTGTGTTGACCACCTCTGCCGCATCCGCAGGACGACATGACAACAAATTGAGGCATCCGTCTGGTAGTCCGGCATCTTGGAACGCACGCGTTAGCGCCCAATAGCAGCACGGCGTCAGTTCAGAGGATTTGAGGATGGTTGTATTTCCGGCAGCGAGGGCACACGCGGCAGATCGAACACCGAACACATATGGCGCGTTCCTACAATGGTTAATCAAGGCTTCCCTACAGAGACAGCAGGACATACCAGGGAACAATGCCTAGAATGACTCCCATGGGCTCTTTGTAAACAATGGCGCTTTGCCCTTCCTCTTCGACGACGGGTACGCTACCACAGATCGCAGTTATGCGACTTGCGACTTCTCTCAGCATGCGGATGGCAAGCGGAACGACGAAAAATTGTGATGCGCCCACGTCTGCACCCATTTCTGTTCTCATGAACTCGGCATTTTTCTCAAGCCGGTTGTCTAGGATGTCCGCGGCCTTGAGCAGGATATCCCGCCGTGTAGCCGGTTTAGTCTGCGACCAAGCTGGGAACGCAGCTTCGGCTGCCTCAACGGCGCGGATAGCATCCTGCGGGGAGGCTGATGCTGCAGACCAGCACAGCTCGTTTGTATAAGGGCTAATCACGTCGAACGTGGAGGATGTGAGTTCATCCTTTCCATTGATTATCAAGGGTATAACCGAGGGAGGGGTCGGTGCGGCCATTTTGTGAGGGGGGTCGGACCACAATTCTGAAGGTCAACAGGTGCGGGATTGAGTGCGCTATGGCGCGATGAAGCAGTTCGCACACATTTATGGTGGTGGTTTCTCAGCGCGGTCCTGAAAAGGAGCCCAGGCAAATGAGGGGTCCATGTAACGCTCCTCCTTTACTCGAGCTGCTGAGCATAGCACGGTCCTGGGCTTTTCCCAGGTATATGCTGATTCTGGCTTAGTTCTGGAATTATTACCCCACAGGCGACAAATGCACGCAGAAACGTGGGACGGACCATTTAATTTAAGCGATGGGATGGCGGGAAATAGGTAGTAGTCTGGTGGATCCGCAGAGCTGTTTGGCGTTTCAAAGGCTGAAAGCTTGAAGATCCATGACCTTGAAGGAATCCATCTGTTCCGCATAACCTCCAGGAACTGTGTAATCATTCCGTCGTCCAAGGTCCTTTGAGTGCCGTATTGCCGATGTTAGGTTTGCCGAGTCGATGTCCTCCGGGCATAACCTCGGCGAAAAAGCTGCAAATCGTGTACTCTGTATACTTGCGGATGGGCCTGATGAAGTAATAGTTGACCCATTGTTAGCGATCCACTGCGCCCAAGAGAGAAAGTGCAGGAGTCATATCAGGGTTGTTTCTTGCATTCTCTTCACCTTTTGAGTATTATACGCGGCGATCAAAACCCCACGAATCAACCACTATTCCATGACAAGTGCACGACCAATTGACCATCTGCCCTTCAGAACACACTGCAGGAGTCCGTATGAGGCTGATATTAAAATAGGAGAAGTGGCGTATTGATTAGAAGGCCTGGTTTGAGAGACCCAGCCAGTAAAGACTATGTGTCGAAGGTTAAGCATGATGGCTGAAGAGAGAAATCGCCGACGCACGAAGCGAGCGAAGATCTGCAACAAATCCGCCCCTCTCCCAACGCCAGCACTGACACCCTTCCCAAATCCCAACCACATGGTTAATCTCAATTGTGCACTATTGGACTCTTGGACAGTTGATCCGACGTCTTGACGAATCTAATGGCCACTCTTTCATCGCATGCAACGCTGTCTAAACCCCCTATGATTGAATTTCGACCACCAGAATCAAAGACGACAGACGCTTTGTGTCAAATTCAAGCATTCTATATAACGATGGAGTCGCCCAAGGTCCTCGCAAGTGGACTCCTGGTCCTGCAGTTCTGAGTTGACAGTGTCAACACGGCCATTGCCTCATCGATGGATCCGCAGCGCTCTTCTCAGCTCAACAATATCAGTGTTTTCGGTGCGGTTTCAGAGCCACGCACACATAGCCATCAGACCTTTTGCCCTGATCTCTGGCTAAGAAACAGTCCCATGGTTCTGGGAAAGCCTGAGCTGGTACTATCATCTAATAGTTCTGCATTTAGGCTTCGTCACATTATTTCCTCCATGATCACCGCTCTTGCCACGAGGCACGGATCCTTAGCTGCTTCTTCGGACCGTGGCTCGCTCAGTTTATTGATCTGATAGCATGGCCGATCTTCGCTTGAACTCTGGCAGCTCTAGGGTCCACTGGTCAATGGCGATGCTCCAGTAAGTCTGCATCAAGGCACCCAATTGCCCAGTAATCGACATTTCCTGGTCTCGGAAGACGTACGACCTCTGAAAGAAGCAAGTGGACGGCGTTTAGCCTGATCGTCTTCGACAAAAAGTTGCCCAATTACCCTGAGCGATCCAAGTCTCTGGCTCTCAAACCGACCACTCACATGAGAATTCCGACTTTACGGGAAGGGGATCTTCCCTGCCCAGGTGGACTACTAGTAGCGTTTGTCGAGGGTTTTAGGCTTTTAGCCCTCCTGTTCCTGGGGGATTGTAACTTTTATCAGACTGAGTCGTGGTTGCGGAGTACATATGGCCTGCGTTGCGCCCTTTTCCAGTCTTTGACATTCTTCAGGCATTCGATTCTCCTTCAGTCACACACTCATTTTAATACCAGGCTGAAGTGTTTCTCGTACCATCACTTCTGTGACATCATCTACTTCTTTCATTCTAAGTGGCCCTGAACAGCATTGATTGTCGCGCCCACTGATCTTGTATAACATCGTTCGCTGTTTATACACTCGACGTCCACTCTTTTTCATATCTATTTTTACGACAAGCTGGGTACCAGCATCCTTCGAAATGACGCTCACCAGAAGAGGCGCGGATATGGTAGCAACCGTGACGGTGCTCGTCGGGTTGTCTATCACTGCGGTTTTGCTTCGAGTCTTGGCCCGGTTCAGGAGAAGAGTCCAATTCGGAATGGACGACTACCTTTGCTTTGCTTCTGCAGTCCTACTACTCGCAATGCTCATTGAGCTCATTTTATGTGAGCGGCAACCCTACAAGCCCTCCTAAGAGTGACCACTAACCTTTCTAGGGGTCCTCATCGGCGGCAACGGCTCCCACAAGACAGACCTCAATGAGGAGACCATGAAGAACTTCTACAAGGCACGGGAATCCCTTCGCATTGCATCCAAAGAGCTCTATCTAACCCACTCTGCCATAGATCTTCCTCGCAAACGAATTCACCTACTTCATTCTCAGCCCCGCAATCAAAATCTCCATTGTCTGCTTCTACCGGCGCGTCTTCACAATCAAGCCGTTCCAATGGGCCTCCTTCGCAATCAACAGTCTAATAGCCGCCTGGGGCGCCGCCATCTTCCTCGCCTGCGCGCTGCAATGCCGTCCCCTCAACTCCTATTGGGACCATACCGTCCCAGGAACCTGCTTTGACAGCAACAAGTTCATCATCGTCAACCAGATCTTTAACGTCATTATGGACTTCGTCATCCTCGCCCTCCCCGTGCCCATGATCTGGAACCTTCAGCGCGCATGGCAGGACAAGCTCGCGCTGAACGGCGTCTTCGCCCTCGGCGGCTTTGTCTGCTTCGCTTCCATCTACCGTATCGTCGTGCTCTTCTGGATCGAGCCTGCGGACATCACCTACACAGTCTACCAGGCAACCCTCTGGACGCACATCGAGCCATCTATCGGCCTCATCTGCTCCTGCCTCCCTGTCATTCGTGGCCTTTTCCCAAGGTTGAAGCTCTCGGGTAGTCGTAAGGCAACGGCGCCATACTATATCAATACCGGCATCACGGGTTCGCACTACGGGCTTTCGAGCGCGAAGTCGCCTGCTTCGGAATTCTTCAAGCTTGAGGATAAGTCGTCGATCTCGCGCTCGACGAGTGGGACCGGAGTTACGAGTCCTACAGTTCCTCCGCCGTATCTAGGGCCCCTCGATATCCAGGTTCGCACGGATATCAATGTCGAGCAGGGCGACAAGTCGTTGCGTACGCACTCTCACTCTTCGACTTGATGACGAGTTTTCAACCTGATATAATCACATATACCCCTATCTCATCCAAAGTCTTTTGTTGACTTGCGTTTGGCTTACCCCCAGCGCCTTCTCCGACTTTCGGCCGCCGTCCCCATGTCGGCCGTATTCCGTACTTCAGACCACATGAATGACGCATCCAAGCTTCACTTAAAGCCCTTCTGCTTAGTGGTCAGGCCTAAGCCAATCTGCAAGTCGTCCGGCGCCGAACCCTATCGGAGTCTAAGCACATAGGACAATACACCTTGTACCGGTGGGCCTCGTCGTGCCGAAGAACTTTCCGATCAACCCAGGCGCTGACTGCTTCTCTCTACTGCATATCCAGACGGCGTATCAGTCGTGTATGCTTCGCAATCCCGTTTATGCGCTCACTGCTGGGCCCTTTGTATATCGTTACGTTCGAAAGATGTAATAAATAGATAGTGATAGACACTCTCGAGGATCGCTAGATCATTTCATTTCTCATATCACGTCTAATTCTAGCCAGAGCCATATTATCACCATAGAATAGCGCCGCTTAGTGTCTGATCATCACAATGTCATCGTCCGGTTTCGGGCTAGCATTCATTATACGGCTTGCGCGGTAGCGAATTCCTAAACCAAGAGAATGCAGAGTCAGGGTATATTCAAAAAGATTCGTAGTATAACTAGGACATTAGCATGAACATACCGGGTATTTATCCATTATATTAGTCGCTACCCGCTCTACACCCTCTGCAAGCCCCTGCACACCAACATCCCACTGACGAATGTGGCGCCCCGTGGCCGTTGTGCTTGACTCGAAGTAAATGATGCCATCGATCTGGTCAATTGTTCCACTCAGGCGACCCTGTTCGACCATGCGCGCCGCGTAGGCCTCAGCCTTCTCACCCGCCGTCAGATCCCCGCTCGATTCTAGACCGAGAATTGAGCCTAACGCATCGGTCTTTATGTTCTCGTATAGCTTACTAGCGGCAACGAGATTGTGCTCAACGACAGCTTTATCCAGCACCGTTGTTCCGTCGGCGGTTTGCGCGAGCTGGTGTGGGGCGAGACGCTGTGAGAATGCGGCGACTTCTTCGGGTGTGATGAGACGATCAAGAAACATCTTCTCTAGGATACCATACTCCTCAATGGAGTTGGCTCGGTCGTCCTTGTACAATGTCCCTAGAAACCTGGAACGGTTCGGTCCGGCAGGAGCAAGGACAGCACATCGGATCGCAGCTGCTAGAGCATGTAGTCTATCGCTCTCATCAACGCCCGATGCAAGACTGACATTAAAGTATTGCAGACTCGCGTCTAGGAAGCGTCTCCGGGCATCTTGGATTCGGGCCTGCGAGAGATCAAAATGAAGTTGCAGGTCGTGTTCCTTGATCTTGTTCGGTAGGTTTTTGATCCGGTTGAGGAATGTCTCTGCACTGGTGGTGTCCTCTTCCTCCAGGTATAGTCGTACAATGCGGATCCACAGTCGTACTTTAGCCGAGTCGGAGACCAACCGCTGCGAACTATCGATGTGGATTCCCTGAAGGGCTCGTGCGGCTGCGATGTATTCCTCCTCGGCTTCGTAGGCATCTGCTAGGATCTCACGAATCTGAGCATCTTGCTCTTCAACGGATGTGGAGCGGGACTGGAGAAGGGTCACGGCGTGTTGGCCGACTTTGATTTGGGTTTCTGAGGAGAGTTTTCGTAGAGCCTCAATGAATGTGTCGAGGATAGGGCGTGCAGTGACAATGCTGATGTCTTCGCCTAGGGCGGAATCGAGGTAGTAGATGAGGTCGTCGGCGAGCTGTGGTTCGGGAGTTGTTGAAACCGTTTCGGATAGGAGGTCGCTGTATAATTGCAGCCTGTTTTGAGGAGTTGAGGATGACTCGATCTCCGTGAGAGCGGAGATAATCTTCTGTGATGGCATGGGGAATGTTTATTGAGAAATGGGAATTGGAGAGTGGGGGAGGCTACGAATGAAGCTTGCGGTTGGGGATGGGGTGTTTGTCGGCTTATCGATAAGAGCCACTACGGCGTACTATAACAGCCGTGGAGGCTGGCTACCTTGAATCGCAGCTTTAACCAAGGTAATTGTCTACTAGTTTGGCTTTTTCTTAGTGAGTGTGTAGATTACAGAGCTTGTCCTGGGCTCTAAATGTGGATAGAGAGCGCACCAAAGCCTATCTACGAACGAAGCAGTGTAGCGGCCATGCTACTAGATATATATATAGCTCAGCGAAGTATTTCAGGTTTAGTATACAACAAACCAATCTTCAAACTGAACTAGAGATGCAAGAGCCTCATGTAAACCCATACACCTAGAGCGGCAAGAAGCATAGAAAGAAAAAGAAAACCCGCAATTAGCTAAATCTTGTAGCTTTCTGGGCGCAGGTAAACCTCGAGGACAGTGATGAAAGTAGTCACCGCCTCCGCGACCCGCATTCTTTGATCTCACAGCCGCATGAACCCTGCGTTGCAGCCCGCCTTAGCATCACTTCAACCACCACCCACTTGGTCTCCCGCCTGGTCAATATATACCTCGGCGCTGGGTACTTGCGCTATTTGCGATCGCACTGTGATACATTTGCACCCGTTGAAGTTTCATAAAAAGATTTCCACTACTGTCCAAGCTTGGCGTCATGTTCCCCCAGGTTAAGCCGGACCCAGACGCCTCGACGCCCTACATCAAACCCGACCCAGACAACAAAGACACTGTTCTTGCCGATGTCGATGACGAGGACCTATACGAAGATGCGGGCGATTTAGATTTCGCCAACGCTACACAGAGCTTATGGCTTTCACGAATACCGCGGTCGCTCTGGGAGCATTGGTCGAAGCTAGACGACGATGAAGAGATTCAGATTGGGACAATACGAATAGAAGGAGAGGCGAACGATATTAAGCGAGTTAGTCAAGCCTTGCCTTACCTGTTCCCGAAATTTCGGACTTCCGCTAACCGGGTCGGACGCCGTAGGTCAGCTTGCGCATAAACGAGCGAGAAGATAATCGCGAGATTCCAAAGGATTATATCTTGAAGCGACAGACGATAAACTCGGACAACCTGACACACATGACTCAAAATACATTTCTTTTCACAGAGAAGGACATTCCCGGCCACGAAAATCGGATGGGTACTTTTGGTGAGGCGAGATCTGCCTTGTACGAGTCGATGAAGCGCGATGCTAGGAAGAAGGAGCGAAAGAAGAAATGGGAACCCTATGTTCGAAAAACAGTGCCCAGTATGTGAACTTGCTGAAGGGTCGAACTTGTCCATGGACTAACTCTGAGACAGAGCAAACTGCACTGGAAGGGCACGTGAAGGAAGAGTTCAACTGCCTTCCCGTCGAGAACGACGAATTTAGAATGCTCTCGGAGAAGAAGGCGCTAGAAGCGCTCAAACCGAAGCGAGAAACCGTCTTCATCGACAAGCTCCCAGGCAAGTTGCTGCAACAGAGGCACGCCTTGCCTGGAGAGCAGAGCGCGTTCGTGGTACGTATTGACTCCAGTTTCCTCTATGTTTCCGTCGCTAATGTCATCTTCAGCAAGCAACGAGGCCCACAAAGCTCAAAGCGCAGGAGAACAAGACCACGCGTATGCCGCAAAACGAGCTGCTGGATCTTATTTATGGGTGCTTCCGGGAATACAGATACTGGCCGTTTAAAACCCTCAAAGCTAGGTTACGACAACCTGAAGCTTATCTTAAGCAGACTCTGGAGATGATTGCACACTTGGTGAAATCCGGCGACTTTGCAATGACATGGGAGCTGAAACCTGAGGCGAGAGAGAGCAATTACTCGAACGCGATGAAGGAAGAAGCTGCTCCCGGTCTCGACTATAATTTTGACGAAGGCTCTGAAGATGATGCAATGGCGTCCGGCATGGATAACGATGATGCACAGTTCGAAAACGTTGTTTAGAGGAGGGGTTTCAATGTAGCATACTTCATCTACGGCGTTCTATGGGTTTACATCTCGAACAGGACACATGATTTATTCATAAATAATGGTGAATCATTGTATAATAGCGCAAACAGCAATCTATTCTATTCTACACCAATTATTATTAGCTGAAATCAGCTAAAGAAGAAAGACAAGGTACATCATAGAGCCATGAGTTCACGTGACCGTCTCTGACGCCACTCTTCTTGGTTGCTTCCGTCACTCTTTCCTTTCACAACACTTACTACTCACCTTCTTTTTCTAAAACATAGTATCAAGATTAAAGCCTCTTATTGTGCAGCTAAATAGCTGTGATAGGTAACTGACTGATCTTGTCAAAATGACTGAAGATCAGGACTTGATGGCCAAGATCAGCCAGCTTGCTGGTACGCGCTTCGTATCTTTGTCTTCCTCGAGTTACTAACTTTTCCAGGCCAGATCAACAGGTTCAAGAATGACAACGGCCAGGCGCAGCCATCCAACAACGATGCGACACACTCCGGTCCGCATGTAGCGCGACATACCTCATACCGCGGACGTTCTGGTTGGGCTCCGTATCGCGGACGACCATACGGCCGAGGGCGCCCTGTAGCTCCCCACCGCCACCGTACCCTCATCCTCAACAATTCCGCAACTCCAGGCTCGCAAGGCTTGACCCCATCCGATAACATGGCGATAGACAATGAGGAGAGCAGCCGCTCTGCGACCCCGAATGCCTGGGTGACGAAACACGCGCGCCACATGCAGCTGATCAATTCCGCAGTCTACGATAAAGAGGCCCAGAAGAGGGTGAAAGCTTTGGAGGAGACGCGCAAAGCAAAGGCACACAAGAAGGCGCAGATTGAGCAGGCGAAAGTGCTGCGCTTCGCTCAGGGCGCTGGCAAGCAATATCGCACGGGCCCCGTCCCTCAGGTTACTGCGGCTGGTGAACCTTCTGGAGAGTATCAGATTTTCCTCAACGATATTCCTTTCCGTGTGTCGCCCGGGGGAGGCAAGCTGATCAGAGTTTCTAGTGCGATCCCCGCTTGTCCCGCACTAGAAGAGAGAACCAGCTTACGTTTGGTAGATGACCCGAATACTGTGAAGAATACGCCGAAAAAGGTCAAAGTTGCGGGTGTGACGTTTGTACGAAGCAAGAACGGGAACCTTCATCGTCTTGGTGCCGTAACCTCGAAAAGGTCATGGTTTCAATCCTGTCACATTGCAGCAGGTACTGATTTGGACTACAGAATGCCCTCGGCCGTCAAGAAGAAGGACGAGCTTTGTCAGAGATTTACTACGACGGGTACCATTGCTTTCCATTGCTTTCCCTCCATTCAATTTTAAGATCCCTCGATTATTATACGACGTCGTTTTTTGATTTCACGATGTGCTGATCAGCGTTTTCTTTAGGTACCTGTTACAAGGGCCCAGGCTGCCGCTTCATTCACGATCCGAATAAGGTTGCCATTTGCAAAGACTTTCTTCAGACTGGCAAATGTAACGCAGGTAATAGTTGCGACTTATCCCATGAACCATCGCCTCATAGGTCTCCCGCATGTGTGCACTTTCTTCGAGGCCGCTGTGCCAATCCGGAGTGTCGCTACTCACACGTTCGAGTCACGCCTGGAGCGCCAGTGTGCAGGGACTTTGCGACATTGGGTTATTGTGACAAGGGCGAAATGTGTGAGGAAAGACATGTTCACGAGTGTCCCGACTATGCGAATACTGGCGTCTGTGGAAAGAAGCACTGCCGACTGCCTCATGTTGACCGAGCAGGACAGATTCGGAAGAATGCTGCTCCCAAAGAAGACGTCACAGGCAATGGCGAGGAGTCTGATGCTTCTAGCGAAGAGGAAGAGTACGACGAGATTGGCTCCGACGATGTCGACTCTGACTACCTTTCTGATGAGGAACTCATCGAAGGCGCGGAGACTGGCGAAATCTCGCAGCAGCAGGATTTTGTCCATTTCTGATTGCACAAAGTTACTAACCACAGTCCTGTAATCTATGGCACATCTTGCTTTAGGTGCTTCGAATGAGATGGAAGATAGCTGGGACGATTTTAGACTGTTGGATAGCTGGTCGTTTTGCTTTCGTGTTTTATGAATACCCCAGATACCCTATCCAGCTTTGTACAACAGTTTCACGCGGTTCTTAAGAGCTGATATGACGACGGTATGAGGTGGAGAGGTAGAGGGATGATACACCATGGGCGGGCTGTAGAATATTTTTACCTGGTACATAGCACTTGAATAGAAGCAATGGAATTGATTATCTTGACTGTTCTCATCTACTCCAAGTCTAGATACTCCTTACAACTAAAAATCGCGGGGCATTGCGAAGTATCCCACCTCCATCTCCCCCGTCCCTTGAAGTATGAGTCACAGCAGCCCTCCTCACAAAGAAAATCAGAACAAGTCAGGTAGAAATCAGCCAGAAGGATTCCCACTAAACTCCACCTACAGCACAAGCGTGGATCCTCTCCCGTGCCAATGCCATGCAATGCAAGCTAACTAGACACGCTGTACCTGGCAGTGGGAGTGGGTTCCCGCTATCTACGCCTGCCACTGGCTCGTCTGCTTCTGTAACTACCAAGTATTAGGATATGTACCTACGGGCCCGGACCCTGTCCCGGCCACGACCTCGTTCTTCCGAAGGCGTGTTTCTTTGTCCTCTATTGATAGAGGTGCCTCCATACGGGATTCGGATTTGGATTTTGGGGCCATGGCTTAGGTGTCAATCTGATATACCTAACGTGGTTTATTTGAGGGCCTTGGGTTGTCGGTGGTTCTTTTGTTCGGGGGTGCGGATTGGTGGGCTTGCACCTTCATTATTATCTACTTTAGTATACATCAGAAAATGGGTCTTGCGAGGGATAAATGTCTGGTATGAGGGGCGATGGTAGTGTTTTGATTATTCTGAATTGGGCATTTGTTGATTTCTTTCCTCTTATACTGGAGGTCCCCGCCCTGGAGTATAGATGCAGCGCGCGAGATACGTACTTTCAGACAGAATATAGAATGACTTGGAGAACTCATATCCAAGTCGGCGACCTACGACTTTGGGTAAGAAATATCTCTGTTTTAAAGCGTATTATGAAGTAATCTAGCTCAAGATTAGAATGTTCCTCGACCCTTGACCGCTGCTTGCCGAATTCTCACCGTACCGACTCCCAACTATAACTATGCCTACACTACAGACCAGAGCAACTCTTCTAGAACTCGAAATGCTCAACCGTAGCTTCAGGTGATCTCCGAGGTCAAATCACTTAGCGATAGGATCCAGTCTGGACCCGTTACCGCCACTTGCAACGGTTGTATAGGGTTGGCTCATACGTATCCTCTCTTGGCGGGTTGTAAATACAACTTGGAACCGGCTTCGCTTGGTCCATTTCTTGCGAGACAGTGATGTAGGGGATCCGTATCTCTTGCTAAACATGTCTCTTGAAAATGCTACTAGGAGAGAGAAACATATGACTGATATCGTGTCATCGGCAGACACAAGGTTGGGCACTGCACCGTGCATCTGGCCCGAGAGGGATCTGCATAGTTCGTTCATAAGACTCGCAACCAAGGTTGCGGACGGATTCGGCTAAGGATTCCCTGACTATCGTGACGATGCTCTGTTTCATATGATACTCGAAAATAAGAGGACCTTTGTGTTTGCTTGGCTGTCTATATCCTTAGGGCCGTGATTGATAATGTTGTGATGTAATCCGTCGTAGTTCGCGAATCAACCACTCGACTTGAGTTGCTGAATGAGAGTAAGGAAGAATCGAAACCACCTACGATACTGTTATTATTATCCTATTTTGGTCGAAGAGATTTGAACACTCCACCGTCTCATCGCGTCCCGTCCTGCAATTGGATCGTTGGCGCTTGTACACCGCCAGAATGGCGCCTGTAGCGGCGTCATCGTAGGCTGAGCCTACTCTCTCGGGAGTTAGTCATATGGACCCAGAAGAGAAAATGAGAAACTCCAGGGGAAAGAAGGTCTTTCTCCTTGCACGTGCTCTTGTGCCTGTTGTACAAAGGAAATTGCTTGTATGGGAAATTGCCGTCCCATGCGGCCACGGAGATAGCACTGCGCCTGACGGCCGTCAGCCATGGGATCATCAGATTGGTGTCAAGGAAATAGCCAATTCCAACAGTACTCGTGCCTTCGGCTGTCTATACAGTTAAGTGAAGCTGTTTGCTGACTAGCGACGGACGGATCGTGGAATGAGGACACTGATGTCCGAGACTCGATATGAGGATTGTTGATGGCAAACGCATGCAACGCCAGCGGAAGCAGTGAGAGATATCCGAGAGCCTCTATTCGCCCGAGTTCATGTTTTGCCACATCCTCCTCGCCTACCTGTCTCCACGCTTCGGTGCTCCCGTCGAGATGGAGAGGCTCCATCGCCTTTGTCTCATGCTCCAAAGATACGGACAACCATGATCAGCCGTGAAAACGTGGCATTGGTCGTGATGGCTCAATTTCTCGCCCATCCTTCCATCGTGAGTCATTCCCTATACTAAGTCGTAGATATGGTAGCGGGTATAGCAGAAGTACGTCTCTTCCGGATCAGGTCCGAGCGCGAAGCGCAAGTGAGCATATGCGCCTTGGGCGAAGGGGCTGCTGTATGGCAATGCTTCGAGAAGGTAACCAGTAGTGAACCGTCACTGCCCGCATTGACTGGTGGGTCATTTATCCTCTTTAAGATGTTTCATCTTATCAGATGCATGAGCGGTTTCACGTTGTACAACGTCACTTATGATGCGACTTGGTAGTATTGCCGAAGAGGCCCATTCTCTTTGATACTAGGCATCACCGACCTCGGGGGCTGAGTGCCAGACTTGAAAGTTCAGTAGCGCTTCCTGTTCGCATCTAGAGGGCGCAGGCAAAGTAAGAAGGAGCCTTGGATAAAAATAAGCAAGCGTGCGACCAGTCAAGAGGAAAGGTTGAAGACAGTGTGTGTCACGGGATGGCCCCGTGACTGGGCAGATCAGACAGTGCAGAAGCTTCATGCGCATCACCAGACGAACCTATAGATACCCTCAATGCTTCAGAGCTCCATCGCCGCCGAATCCGCCTTGGCTCTGTGCAACGGCCGCATCATGTAAGACGCCCTCGAAGAAGCCCCTCCCTCACAAACGGCATCCAGGCAATCTACGACTCACTGTGTGATACGAAAGATGCCAGTGTTGCTCAGCAATTTCCGGGGTCTTTGAGTTCGCGCTCTGCGAGACCTGATCTCGGAGTACTGATGCCTTACTTGATCCGGATAGGCGTAACCCAAAGGGGCTGCTCAATTTTGGGTCAATTAAGGTAAGCGTGGGCGCAGAACACACATTAGGAAAGAGGGGCACTGATGACAGTTATCTTGCATCCCAGCCTGCTGTGGTGATCGATCTGATCGGTTGGAGTTTTATGCACCCGCCTTGCTTCCGCAATACATCATCATCATTGCCACGATATCGGCCGAGCACGGGGCATCTGGGGGTGCGTCGACTGCCTACGGAGGAGTATGCGACTGTATGGTACACTAAGCCACTAACCCGACGGGGCCGCAACTGATGGATCACTGGATCTTCCCACGGGCCGGCCCTAACTGTACCAGAGATACATGCCAGGCGAACGTTGGAACTATGGCGATGCTTTGGTCACGGCACGCTTGACTCTTGAGGAGTTGGGTCACAATGGCAGAGCTTCACACGAGCCCAGTACTTTTCACCCCCTCACTACTTCGCATGGACTCTGGGCGTCTTGGAGACCGTTTCCTCAAAACACGGCCGGGCCACTGTGAGGGTCACACTAGACCGGGAACGATTGGCTCTCCTGGTCGGAAATCGAAGAACTGATACATACCACCGTTCATCTCATGACTGCCCCTCCTTGGTCTGAGAGAGGAGACTCCTCTCTTCGCTGACGAAGTGTATTATTACTGCGTGTTTTGGTTCTGTAACCGGGAATCACCCTTGTCCCAAAGGAGAAGCGAAACGATCATGAGATGGACTTGAGGGATGCACCCTGACCAAGCGCACAGACGGCTTCCTTTTGGGCATCATTCTCGCTCAGACAAGCCACGAACGGCTGAGATAGGCATGCCCCAGGTACACTGGACGTTGAGGGCAAAGAGAGACCGGGATACCAATCATTCGGGGTTGGATGTGATGGAGGCTCAGTGGAGGGCAGTGAAAAAGCACGAAGGATTGCCGTTTCTGGATCGTCATCAAGCCAGTCCGTGCGAGAACCGGAGGATGTTGCAAATCAGGACGAGGGGCAGGCATGATAGGCTGCGGCCCTCTTGACAGTGTGTGGATCAACGGACGAGGGTCCACGGTTCCCGATTCAAAACAGAGTCAAGACAGAAGAGTGAGGTTAGATAATCATAATGGGCAGCTCTAAGAATCCCAAGAGAATCAGGATGCTTATTCATCTGCTCTGATGCCAAACTGCCTCCAGCTGCAAGTCTGCCCAACGAAGCATCCAATAATGGGGCCTCGTTAAACTCGGGAGCCGTCAGAAATCGTCGCCTCGTTCTTGACTTTTGCTGCTGACCGCCGATGTCTGGAAGTGGGAAATCGGTCGATCCAGAGTCTGGCGGTTGATTTGATCTTTCATTCCTCTTGGGAGATGAATGTTATTTTTATTTGAATTTTGATTTACTTTTTGGGCTCTGGCTTCTGACTTGACGAGCAATTCAGGTACACAACCCTCTGTCTGCCTTCTTTGCGTCCCAGACCAGGTAGGTAGTAGTTATATTCACTTTCCCCTCCCACCCCATCACCTGCTCTTCTCTCCCCATCGCCTTCTGCGGTTCTGCCTCTGCCTTTCGTGATCACAAGAGACTCGTCTTTTCTTCCTTTCCTCGCCCGCACTTCTCTTCATCTCTCCATCGCCCACCCCCACCTTGATCCCCCAACACACCGCCTCTTGTATCTCAACAAGACCTTTGTCGCTTTCTAGACGCCATCTTCGCCGTCTTTCCCTTCATCCGCATATGCCCAGTCATGGCAAGATTCTCTCAACCAGCCTTTGACTTTTACCACCAGACTCCCTCTGCCCTGGACCAAAAACCACAATCAGCATCATCATACCCAGAAGACGACGACATGAGCGTATTAGACGACAAGATCCTTGACTCCACCTCCCCCGACCTCACATCAGTTGCCGACCACCGAAGGCATTCATATGAGCATGGGCCGGAGGCCTACCAACATCGAGATTCAGTCTGGTCCGATTTCTCCCAATCAGTCTCCAGCAACCAGTCTCGTCACAGCTCACACGTCGCCCACCCATTCTTTGAATCTCCCCATGCTCCCTACATGAGAATGGATAACGGTCTACCCTACGGTCAAGCACAGCCGTGGACTATGACGAAAGACTCCGGTTCATGTACCCCTTCTGCCATGTATGACCACTACTCTACCGACATGGACAACACTTCGGTCGCGCCCTTTGCCGGCGGTGCTGTCGGTCCGGTAAATACTGTCAATATGCCCTCCATGTCATATCGCCAGCATATCCCTTTCGCGCCACCCGGCGCTGTTGCCATGTCGCCGCAATCAAGTCAAGGTTGGATGCCCGCCTCGACCGATATGCCCGATCCTGGATCGCGACCGAAGAACAGCCCTACCTACCGGAATAGCTCCCCTCTGAGCGTCCGTCGGGACGGCATTCGGAAGAAGAACGCCCGTTTTGAGATTCCTGCCGAGCGCACTCTGAGCAATATCGACACACTCATCAGCCAATCTACCAATGAGGATGAGATCAAGGAGTTGAAGCAGCAGAAGCGCTTGCTTAGGAATCGTCAGGCTGCGTAAGTGACAGCTCCCTCTTCCAGATCAGCGGTTCCCCAAAACTAACACTGGTGTAGTCTTGATTCTCGGCAGCGCAAAAAGCAGCACACCGAGAAGCTTGAAGAAGAGAAGAAGCGCCATATGCTCGAAATCAGTGAGCTTGAGGATGCGCTGCAGAGTCTGCGACTGCGGGAACAGGAGCACGCTCGCGAGAAGAACGAATGGCTCACCATCCAGCAAGAAATGGTTCAGTACATCAACAGCCAACAGGTGGAGAAGGATGAACTGATTCGAGTTCATACTCTGGAGACCGCGGAACTTCGAAAGAAGAACAACATTCTGAAGGAGACGGTGGAGAAGCTGGAGCGCCACGCAAGATCGAATGTCACCAACGACTTCGGCGACTTTGAGAATCTGACCATGGAGAGCAGTCCCTGGGAAGATTTCACCATGGTCAACGGTCTCTCCCTCGATACCGAGCCCGTAGCCCCTCAGCCATCGCAAGCTATGGTGGTCGCTACGAGCGACAAGGCCGAAAAGGCTGCAAATGCCGACTATCCATTTAGCTGGAACGCATTTTACATGTGTCTCCTTTTCGGCGCCTTCATCGCGTCCAACAGCACGTCGCTACCCGCCCGCTCCCTTCCCCGTCTTTCGGAGGAATATCGCGCGGAGTCTGCCAACGTCCTGAAGGCTGTTCTGTCTTCGTCCCCGCCAGAGCTTGCGCACTCATCGGCAAACCATCCTGCAGTTTCTGCGTCGGCTGGTCCCCTTCCTACCACCATCACCGGTGCCGAGATGGCTCAGATGACTGGGGCCGCGCCAACGTCTAACCTTGACGAGCTCCACAACACTCTCGCGATGCCGACCAAAGAGCAGGAGCAAGAACAAGTCTTTGCCCTCAACGCTGAGCAGTACAACTCTCTGACCACCTTTGATGAAACTGGCGCCGGCTACAAGTCGCAGCAACCCTCCAACCTTCAGCAGGCATTGGCCGCAATGCGAGGTAACGCTGCACGGGCCAGGATGCCTCACAAGGCTACCTCCGATGTGTATTCCCGGTCGCTTATGTGGGACCGCGTTCCCGAAAAGGTGATTCGTGACTTTCAACGCATGGTTTCGGAGTACGGCGCTTCCCCCGCCAGAGAGGAAAACCCAGGATTCAACCAAGCCTGAGCCGACCATTGCCTGATCGACTTGGTCATACCCCGTACTTTAGGTATCCCAGGTTAGGAGTTCACATCAGCGTATCCAGAGACAACTGCCCTTCTGCCGCCTTTCCTTCTCGAAAAATTCAGCCTTTCACCTTCTTCGCCTTCCGGCCCCTTCTGTCCTTTCTCATGACAAACCTACCGATACACGACTGTTGGCCAACTATAGCCAGAAATTAGCCATATACATGCATAGAACAGCTTGCAATTTCCTTCGCCTGGATATACGTTATCGACTAGCTTTCCATGACTTCTGACAACTTAGCGATGTGTTTATACTTGATTTGGTTTCGCGACCCCCTCGGAAATTCGGCGTACTTGTGGTTTTATCAGCGATTGAATCATGCTTTGAAAATGGATCTCACGAACCGACAAAGCGCTTTTGCATTCGTGTATACTTTACTTCACCCGTGGGTATCTGTCCGACATGCGAACTAGACTCCAAGGTCGCTCTCGCTACGCAGGAGTTCCCTCGGATGAGACAGACCCCTTCTTTTCTTTTCTTTTTCTCCTCTATGTATTTGGGATTTCTTGTGTTCTTATTTCATGTTGCATCTGCGGAATGGGCCAAACAACTGGGCGAGGGGCGGCAATTGTGTTACGATTACTGATGATACGACTGAAATGTTTATGAACCGAAATGTCTTTTTAATGTCTGATGATACTTGCTTACTTTCTCTTCTCATCATCCTTCTTCTTCCCTTCTTCCTCTGGACAGCGGGGCTGCCACACTTTGGGTGGTTCATTGTGAGCGTTTCTTCTCTTCTTCTTTTCTCATCACCCGACCACCGTCACTCCTTCTCCATCTTCGACATTTCCTTTGTTTGCCGTGATATACTTTGGACAGGGTCACACTTTTCTTTGGCATGGGTGTCTGCTGGCATATCCGATAGGGAGAGAGGTCTAGATCTTACACCGGCTTGTCAAATCTAGACCATCTCTCTCTCCACGGACCATCCGGACAGGCACTGGGGGGTGGGGAGCAAAGGGCAGTTTCAAATACCTTGCAACGCTTGCTGGCAACTGCCACAACCCACAATCCCCCCGTCCACTCACTTTTGAAGCAGTTACCAGCTAACAATTTCATTTGTCGATCGAAACAGCCTGTGTAATAGCTTCTATTCTTGTTTTACCTTGTCTTGGACTATCGATGACTTGGAGATCTGCTGGACCTGTACTGTATATATTGACGAGCAAACGTAATGATGAAGATGAACATTTTCTCTCTCAACTCGACTATTTACTATACATAAAATAGCGCCCCAGACCAACGACCGTTGCAACACACCTGTAGTTCATCAGTCCGCCAGATCTTCGCGCGGTAGAGAAGCCTAAAAAGGCAAGATAAGCACATCACGAGGCCCTGTCATTTCTTCAGACTCCAGAGCAAGCACGCAAGCAAGCGAAGAAAAAGAAAAGACAAGGCAAACATCGAGCTCCGCACGGGAAAAAGCAACGGTGCGCAGAGAATGAAGACCATGATCGCCCCGGGAGCAGAAGAGGGGTCGGGAATGGTGCGGCCGCGAGTCAGTTGGACGGTCATTTCTGCCTCGCCACTTGCTGCGCGATTAAGCAAACTGTCTACGACGGATGAAGTGAGTGTACTCCAAATTCAAAGGCTGGCTGGGCTGTGGAGACGGAGATCGGTAAGTAGTTGAATAGGCCGGTATTGTTGTTTTGTTTATCCCGTCTAGCTCTAGTTCTACGTTGTTTCAGCTTCAGCTTCAGCTCCGACGACATGGTATGATCGACGCTCTAACTGGCTGCTGGTACCGATGGAGTTGTCTACGGGTAGCACTGTGGCGCCGGGTGCAGCCTGCAGGGTTGGGTGGGATGGACGAGGAAGAGGACTCGGAAGATTGTGCAGGGGATGAGCAGGAGTACAGATTGAGGAGAAGGAGGGGAGATATCCCATGTCACCCAATGTTCCTCGATCAGGGAAGTATGGTCCGATACTTGCATTTCGACACACACACACGCTCTGAAAAACTACAAGGTGTGTGCAGCTGATTCTTACTCTTGTAAAGTACCTTAGTACCTGGCTGGTAAGCGGGTTCGGCGCTTGCCGGGCTAAAAGAGAAATACGAGACGAGGCAGACGAGGTCGGAGGGGCCTCAGTGGGTATGGAAAGAGGCATGAAACTCTTATTTGTTCGAAGATAAATCTCGAACTCCGGAGAGGCCGAGAGAGGCATTTTAGTCAAGCGTATCAAGAAAAGTGTAAGAAGAGAAGATGTCCATACAAATCGGTGGGAACATATGGGGATTCCGCAGTTGCAGATTATGGAGAAGGTCTAGATTGGCCAAGAGATTGGGTTCCCAGAACAAAGATGAGGCTTCAAGACTTGCGTTGGGTCGTGAACCCAAGCGGGCAAGGAAGTTTCTTCTTTCTTTCCAGAGCGGGATGAGCGTTGCGCCAGGCCGTCCTGGGATTGGGCCACCCGGAGAAAGAAGACTAAATTAGAGTGTCAATCAGGTTTGCCGGGAGACGGGGCGGGATTGGTCTTGCGGGTGTGCGGGAGAAGGCGCCGGGAAACAGAATTCAGGAATCAAGGGTCACTTGGTTTCGGAGCCGCCGTGGGCTGGCGTTGCGCAACTGCAATGATGCGATGAGTGCATTTTCAGCCCCAGAAGCCAAAACAACTCGCGAGTCAGAGGGCGGCCTGGGGACGAAAAGATGTGATGAGCTGCGGGGGTTGCGATAGGGCTGCGACAAGCACCTAGGCGCATCACGTTTTACTGGCGCCGCTGAATCGTCTTGCAGAAAGGCAGGAGAATGGGGGAATTATTTTGGATTGTACTTTTCTTTCCAAATCCTGTTGTTGTTGTTGACTTGTCAGCCTAAATTCAGCTCTGAAGGATGGGGATGGAGGGGAAGACGGGAAATCGCGATGTGGTTGGCTGAGGGGGTGACGGCTTTGCATGGCGCAGTTTGCAGATGATACCACGAGGGCCTATCGATTCAACTGCAGCTGCTGCTCCCCAGACAGTTCCAAAGCAGTGATGTATGCAGGTGATTGCAGCAAGCGGATCATCAAACGACCGGGCAACAACGCAAGCATCCGAATCGTCACAGTTTGTTTTGGGGTTCTCAGGATTATGGGGAACAGGGAAACCGGAGACTTGTTTCGACGTACCAGGAATTTCCCACAATCTTGTTTCCCTTGTCTTCAGCCAATCGGTAGTATTTCGCAGCCAGAAACTAAACAAGAGATAAGATTAGTTGGATCCATAGCGAGTCACTGACGAGTATTCTTCGGTGCCAGAGGAGTGAAGCAAAGCTCTAGGCATTAATGCCCGAGATGGGGTTCGAATTATACGCAAACAGCAAGCTCAAGGGCCAGTCACTACTTACTTTGTCCTTCTTGCCTCCAAATCCCTCGAGGTAGCACCAAGCGGCTTCGTTCATGGCATCCGTGTCGCCCAAATTCGCAGCCGTCTCAAAGTACTGTCGCGCCGCGACCGGATCCTTCTTGACGCCCCAGCCGTTGCGAAAGCAGTTCCCCAGTTCGAAGATCGCCAGGACCAGTTCGCCTTTGGCGGCACCACCTTTTTTGAGACCTGCCTCGAGAGCTAGAGTTTCAACCGAAGCCGAGTTTGACGCGGCCGCTGAAAGATATGTTACTGCTTTCTCAGTATCTGGTGTACAACCCCATCCGTGCCTACAGACCAATAAGTTAGAAAAGGCTTTCCAATTCTAAATCTCCAAGGCGTGGAATCAATGGAAGGCAACCCTTACCTCAAAGCAAGGCCATAGAGCACCTGGCTTAGGGCATTGTTGGCACCGTCTGGGTCCGCCAATTGGGCAAACATCTTCGTCGATTGCTCAAGTTCTGGAGATCCAATAGTAAGCTCACGGTCTCGTGCAAAACGTTATCGCCGTTAAGGTACACCCTTACCTCCAGCTTCATGAAGTCGAATCGCTTCTTGGATGTTTACCTAGATAACGGTTAGTTGTTTGGTAGAATCCAATACCACGTCAGCTTCACAGCAACCGCTTACATCTCCTTGAGGATCATTGATCCGACTATGGCTTGAACTCCTGGGTCGAGGCCGTACATTCTCCGACCCAAACCCTATCGACGGCGCGGGAGAATGGCCTGGCGAGGGAATTTGTGGACTGCGCTGTGCCAGGACAGTCGCCCGCTTTTCCCATTGTGCTTCTCGCTCCTGCTCATCACCAGTATCTGGGGCTATTTGTGGAAGGTCTGACGGAAGGTTGACGGAGGATGTTGAAGAGCCTCGCCGATCGCGACGCAGCAAATGCGACAAACGCCGCTCTCCTCGCGGAGATGCTGGCTCCTGTGTTTCGGAGGGGGACCTCGAGCGATGAAATGGATTCAATGACCTTCGATGCGACGAGGAGGATGAGGGACGCGGCGATGCCAAGTAGTCTTCATCGTCGTCTTGATGGTTCGGCGGAATGATGATTTCCTGTGTGGTTGTGTCGGAGCGAATGAATCTTATTTCAGGTACGGCAGGTTGGCCGGCGTCCGGAAATCGGCTGTTAGTGTTTTCAAGCTTGTCCTTCTTCTGGAGCATATCGCGCAGAGGCATCGTTTCTCTAAGTTGATCGCGTGGGGTTGTTGGTTGCAGCGGGAAATTCGGGGACTTGGCCCGGAGAGTTGGTGCTTTCAATGACGCGAGGCGAAAATATACCAGAAGACGAACACAAGACAGCTGATAACCAGGGATGATGGGATATAAATGCCCTTTTTCTTTCGTCAAATGGTCTCCGCCACGGTGCTGTGTCTGGGATTCAGAAGCAAAGGCGCCGAGTTGGGGGCTGTGTCAGCGTAAAGCCATCGCGGCCCTCAGGTCGAATATATTAATAGTAAGGCAGGTCGTTCATTTTCATGATTGTTTCCATGGTTTGGAGACGGATTAGCCGCCCAGCAACCGAGTATTTCCATGTGCTTAGGAACGTGCTTTCGGCACACAAAGGCTTCCGGTCACACTTGTCATCGCTTGGCTCGATGTACTGTGTCACAGTATATTTGTCGAGCTCAAAAGAAATCTGGACCAGACCTTCGCTTCTCTGTGAGAGGGAGGTCCCAGGTGGCTGGAAGATTGGTCTGGGACAAAAAGATCCAGTTGTCGACGTTAGGTTGAAGGTGTCTCGCTAGAGAGCGGTAAACATGCGGAGGAGACGTCAGGAGTAGATATCGTAGTGTATTCTGCATCCCCAGTTGCACATACGAAACTTGAGAGGGCTTCATGGTAAAGTATAGCAGATTGCAGGATCAAAAGGAGGAGCTTTCGAGGCTGCAAGCAGAAGGGCCTAGTGGACCCCTCCGACAGCGTTTACAAATTTGACCTGTTATCGATCACTAGATAATAATATGGCACATATGTCTTTTTTTTTTTATCAAATGGTATTGATATGTCTAAATAGCACAGAAACAGGTCTTAATTTGTACATGATGCTGGTAGCAAAGCTATCAAGAGAACTCCATTTACTGGGCCTTGGAGGACATGATGCCTGTAGGAAAAGTTGTTAACACTGCTGCAACGACAATCCAGATAGAAAAGATAAAGAAACTTACGCTCAACGTCCGCAACGCTCTGTTGGAGGATCTGCTGGAGAACCTTGGGGTTCTCGAGCTCCTTCTGAATCTTGCCAATGATGCTGTCGGCAAGCTCACGCTGCTGGCGCTGCTTAACCTGGCCCTCGTAGCGGACCCACGAGTCAAGTACCTGCTTGGCCTCGGCTGCAAGAGCGGTGCGCTGCTCGAGCTCGTAGGCCTGAGCCTCGAGCTGGGCGGTTTCCTTCGCGAGCGTTAGCAACGTCCCCCAAGCTTATTATCGAATGGATGTTCATTCGGGATTATCCATAAGTACCTTGGAAACAGCGAAGAGCTGCTTGGTGACCTCAACAACGCTGGACAGCTCCTGGACGTTCTCAATGCGCTGCTTAACGGCGTTGGTGTGGTCGGCACGGGCGGCGTTCAGGATATCCTTGTGCTTCTGAACCTGGCCCTCAGCCCACTCCTTGTAAGCAGGGCCACCGTACTTGGCAACAGCGGTGAAAACGCTGAGCAGACAGAAGGCAGCAACGGTTTCCTCGTTCATCACGTAGAGCTCGTTACTAATAGCGGCGATGGAAAGACCGGCGGTCGCGGAGAGGATGGCGGTCTTGGAGACCAAAGAGCTGCCTGGGAGAGCATCGAGGATCGACTGAGCCTTCTGCTTGGGGTCTTCGGCAGGGACGTTCGAAGCAGCGCGGGTTGCGGAGAGGTTGATGGCAGCGATGTTGCGCGTGGGAAGGGTCGGCCGCAGGCGGGCAGCACCTACCGGGGATTAGCATTTAATATCGGGCAATCTAACCGGCCGTGAGAAATAGGTGGCGGCCTACCAATGGCGCTCTTAGCAAGACGCGAAGCCATTGTAGCGATAACAAGACCTTGACAGGATGTGATGGGTGAACGGAATTGAGGAGACTTGAAGTCGGGATGGCGGCTTCAGTGGGAAAACGCTAGTCCTATTCGGGTAATGGTGCGGTCACCGGAAAAACCGCTAACCGAGGATGCCCGAAAAATTATAGAACCAGGACAAGAAAGTTACCTCGAAGCAGCAGCAGTGTCCTTTTCTACGTCGTGTACGCTCGATTTGCGTTTGTTTGAAAATGCCCACCGCTATCGATAAAACGGGTGGGTCGAAGAAGCGAAAGAACACCAAGGAAAATGGCGTTCCATCCTCCAAACGTCGCGCTGTCGCAGAAAATGAGAGCACAGAGTCAATGGCCAGGATTTTGGAGTTGGAAGAACAAATATCGGAATCGAGAAAACACTACAACAACATCGTGACGCTGATATCGATGCTCAGCAAGGATGGGTCAGGAATTAACCCGGATTTGGCGGTGGCCGTGTCGCTTTGTCGAGTCTTCAGCAGACTTATTGCTGGTGGGAATTTGACCGAGGCCAATCATGCAGCAGAGAACGAGAGAATTGTCGTCGCTTGGCTGAGAGAACGGTGTCGGGAGTACCAGAGACTGCTGGTCTCTATCATGCGCGAGAGCGATGCTTCATCACAGGTGAGTTGTTGCGCCCAGTAAGGCCTCTCAAACAGGCAGCTAACCCTGCTTAGGTCACTGCGTTGACCCTCGCAATGCGCCTCCTCAACGAACGTGCTACGCATATTCCAGGAGATGATAACCAGGCTTGGACCTCTGGACTGTTTCCAAACATCTTTGAAGCCGTCATTGAGGCAAGAGACGGACAGGCGCTGCGGTCAGAGTTCCTCGAAAAGCTCGTGAAGCCGTACGAGGATGTAACCTACCATACGTTCATGCAAGTCGCGTACGTTGCTCTCCCCTTTGGTGCCTTTAATCTGCGTTTCAATTGACTGATAGTCTGGCACAGTGCGTACGCATCGTCAGCACGCAGCACAGAAATCCTAGAAATCCTCGTCACACTCCTTTCCGCCTGCGACTCCGTCCCAAGCGCAGACCATGAATTCGAGAACTTCTACAGCAAGACCAGCACACAAAACAAGAAGCTGCTCTCCGTCACCTCCCACAAAAAGCGCGCCCAAGACGCCTGGCTCGCCATCCTCCGAAACAACCTTTCGCAGCCGCTCCGCAAAACGCTCCTCCGCATAATGGTCCACCACATCGAGCCCTGGTTCGCCCGCCCAGAACTCCTCATGGACTTCCTCACAGACTCCTACAACGTCGGCGGTGCAACATCCCTCCTTGCCCTCTCCGGCCTTTTCTACCTCATCCAAGAAAAGAACCTCGACTACCCGCAATTCTACCCCAAACTCTACTCCCTCCTTGACGCCGACCTCCTCCACTCAAAACATCGCTCCCGCTTCTTCCGCCTCCTAAACACCTTCCTCGCATCCACTCATCTCCCCGCAACTCTCGTCGCGAGCTTCATCAAACGTCTCTCCCGCCTCGCCCTCAATGCTCCCCCTTCCGCGATCGTTGCCATTGTTCCTTTCATCTACAACCTCTTCAAAGAACACCCTACATGCACCTTTATGCTCCACCGCGTCATCCGGGACGAGGAGACGAAAGCCGAAATTGAGGCAGAGGGCATGGAAGATCCCTTCGATCCTGAAGAACCAGATCCAGAGCACACCGGCGCCATTGATAGTAGTTTATGGGAAATCGTGAGCCTGCAGTCGCATTACCACCCCAATGTGGCATCCATTGCACGGATTATCTCAGAGCAGTTCACGAAGCAGAGTTATAATCTTGAGGATTTCCTGGACTATACCTATCAAGGTATGGTGCAAGCCGAATTGGGCACGGGCGAGAAGCCGTTGAAAAAGATTCCAGTTGTGGAATATCAAATACCAAAGCGTATATTTACTGATCGGATGCTGGAAGAGGATGGTGGTGTTGATACGGCTCCTGGTAGTCTATTAAGAGCCTTATGGGATTTCTCCTAAGATGTGGTGTTCTTGCGTTTCATAGCATTGCGGTCATATGCATTATTGTCTTTCCGACTTCCAGGCGCTGTGTCCGTCACAGTAAACGATTGATTCTTATTTATTCTATCTACCCAATATCTCGTTAACACCTCCTGTGAATCGTGAAAGACCTCTATATAACATACTGAACACCAGATCCAAGAACGCTTCGTTATGCACTTCACACAATTTATCACCCCAGAGGATATCAACCCTCTCCGGGTATCGAGCGGCCGTCTTCAATGCTGCCATCATTCGGCCATTCCAAAGTGTCTGTCCAGCGAGTGTTTGGGCTGTAGGCCGTCAATGGGAGAGACGTAATCGAAGAAACTGCGGTCTCGCGCCACTGCCTGTAGAGATATGGAGAGACCGCAACTAGACCAACAGGTTGGTCGATGTAATGTTGGGACCACGTTTGCTCCGTCCGCTCCGCTGCCGGATCTCCTGGGTGGTAGTCACAATAGACATCAAGAGCAAATACACCGCGTTTCATGTCGTCAAAGAGCTCGTTGCCGACTTTAACTGGGATCAATTCCATGCTGTGGCGCATTTTGTCAAGTAGATGCTGAGCCTTTCTGCGTCGTCGCCTCCCTTTTTTGCTCACCTCGCTCTCCATTCTCTCAAGTATACCGAGTATTTCCCTCTCAGTTGAAGCACTTGCTACGGAGAGTTCAGTTCTCTGTGTCAATTGGTGGAGTTCGAAAGCAACGGCGCGAAATAAAGCGTCGACCTTGTACAAAGCGGCCATCACTCGAGATGTTAACAGATTGGCGAATGAGCGCTCGTACAGGCGTTCCCAAAAAGCGATCCAATGGTACAATCCGGTGCGAGTTTTGCGTAGCCTGGTCAGCTCGAGGGTCGCAATGACATGGCGACAGGTATCAAGGGTATGTAGTGCTTCTAGCCGGGTCATCTCGAGAGATTCCCGGCAGTCTTGAACGGCGGGGTTGTGCATTTCAGGCTCTGCGCCAAGTTCGGGGACAGGCTCAGGCTCACGAGGAATGTTCCCGCTCATGGTGCGACGATAGTAACGTTGCTGTGATCCGCATGATGATATCGTGGCAGAGCGGGCTCGCCCGGCTTCGACGACAATCTCCGACGAGGACCGGCCAGATTTCGGTGCAAAAGATGAACTCTTCTCAATCATTTCAATGGATGTTTCACGTCTCGAGGCGAAGGTAGCTTTGGAGCTGTAATGGTGGAATATGTGTAGACCAAAGTGCAGCAAGTGCCCAGGTGATATAGATAAACGAGTGTAGGTTGAACGAGTGACTTCAAACAAATTTTGTCATGTGTAGGTAGAAATAGTGCAATATCACTGAGCTTGGCCAGGCAAACGAGTGTGTGTGTGACTATGGGCAGCAGGTTGAGGACGAGGATGTCAAATTTACTAATAAGACATGGGAGCCATAGCGGAAGGAATGGGCAAGGGTCGCAACTGACGAAAGGGAACAGAAACAGAAGGAGCTGGGCCGGAAAGGGTTCACCTGGGCCTTTTCCCGGGGTTTCATGGTGCAATCCCAAGCGCGGTGATGCCCACCCCACTTCCGCATTCGGTAGTATATCCAGGTTCGCAGCGAAGAGAGGGCCCGATGTTCAACCAAGCAATAAGGCCGTTGCTATTTAGTATATTCTCAAACATCCATGTTGGTGCTCGGAATTGGAATGCATGTCCCGGTCGAATATGTATTGTGACGGGATTAAGCATTCTCTGTTGTCCATTCCAGCCAGTGCTATATGTTTGTTGACAGGAATGCTTGTGTATGCTTAAGCCTCCCCTTCATTCAGCTCACATCTGAGGAAATAAGAAGATCAGAATGCGCCCTGCAAGTATCCCTTTTCTCCTGTCTTTGCTTCTTGGAGAGACAACGACCGCGGAGGGGCAACAGCGAGAGTCTCCGGCACCTTTTGCGCTTTCCTCGAGTTCACTCTTCGACAACTGGACATCGTCACTGCTCTTGCCTTGAGCGCAACTCGTTGGCTCGGCTGCCTCTTGTTTTCTTTTCATTCTCTGTTCTCAATCGATCATCAGGTTACTGAATACACTTACCTTCATCTCCACGCCGTTTCCGATTATACCACATTGTCTTACACCATCTCCTTACCATTCTTCGGGATGTATCTCTTGAAGCCCCTTCTCGCAACGTGGGCATGCTTGGCCCAGGTCAGTTTCGCAGGGGTCGTCGCGTTCACCAAGTGGCCGACAACCGTGTATACTGGCCGGCCCGCGACCATGAGCTGGATTGGTGACCCAAATGCGGTAAGGGCTACACCATTCTCCAAGTTGCCCAGTGCTAACATTAGCAAGCCTGCAACAATCACCTTGCGTCAAGGTCCGGCAAACAATCTCAAGACACTCAAAGTTCTCACGACTCAGGCCGGTGGGGGTTCCTTCACATGGGTGCCCGAAGAGTCTCTCCCCGAAGGCTCAGACTACGCCTTGCAAATCGAACAGAACGGCAGTATAAATTATTCTGGCCTCGTGAAGCTTGCTCATCAGCCTGGCAAAGAGTCTCCGCCCTCAGCATCCAAGAAGGCGCCGCTCCCCTCAGATAGTGCTCCTCCGCCCCTTGGTGGCACGGGGAATGGTGTTCAGAGAGGGAACAACGGCTATATCCCGGTCCTGAACAGCACTTCTCACCGAATTAACATGACGACCTCAAGCAAGAGCACGACCTCTTCGACATCGAGCGACGGCACCTCTTTCAGATATGTCTCTCCTGAGGTGCTCCTCGGTGGCTTGGCTGTCATCATCTATTTTGCCGCCTGAGAAGCTGAACGAATCTTATATCCTGAGTCCGTGCCATCGCCTGGCTCAGTGTGATCAAAAGAGAGTTCAACCTCATCCGCGCCGCTGTGTTTGGTGTCGTCCTGTATTCGTGTAAATAACAAGGCCGAGAAGATATCCGACCAGGGTCCCTGAGAGATCGTGACTAGATTCATATGTCTTGACTTGAGTGTCTGCCGCTCGAGGCATGGGCTATATTGTTTTAATTCTTTGTTTCGCTCTGCTTTTGTTTGCTCCACCAATGCCGACTGGATGCAAGGGGCAACCATGGAACACTTTTATTCTCATTAGCACACTCTTGGTGAGGGGACAATGGACTTAAATCTTAATCATTGGATGTGGCTTGTCTCTCTTGCTCATACAAGACAGGTTCAGTTGGGACTCAGACTTGGGACTGGTCCATTTCGATGTAGGCTTGAGAGTTGAAACTGTTCCTGGAGTTGGTTCTGGGGCACAGGCAGATCGTTGTCCTACTTTAGATAGTAAGCGGGCACCTCTTAGCGGCGGCTCCGGACATATTCAAAATCGTTTTGGTTGTCTATTGTTATTGGTGAGTCCGTTATTGCTGCAAGATTATTCAGGCTCCGCTGCAGGTCATCGTCGCTCTGTTCCTTTTCAACTCTCCTTTTCCTTCTTCGCGATTCATCATTTCTGTACATATTCAAGTGACTATTGATTTTATCGTTCAGATCAGTTCATCATTACTTAGAATCTGCCTTGAGCGACTGACAGTTCGCAATGTAAGTCAATAGCTGAGCTCTTCTGCCTCTCAGACCGCATCGTGATGTCTCGGCAAAATTAACCAATGCATAACAAGCGCGATGCTAACCTCATCTCAACAGCAGTATCAAAGCAATATTTTTTCCCCTGTCGCAGATCCCTCATCAAGCTCTAATCCTACTTTTGGTATGCTCTCTTCATCTCACCGTGCCTGGACCTTCACATCCTCTGCCTTATTTATCACCTGCTCTTCCGCTCCAATCCCAATTCGTTTTCATGTCGGAGGCGCCGGAGCTGCTGCAGTGCCACTGCTAGGTGTTCCTCAGAGACACCAATCCCAAGCTCAGCCCATCCGGTTCTCCTATACCTCCTCTTGTGCTTCCCAATGATTGCCAGACCCGGCTTTCTCGAACAATTGACCGACATTTTCCACCATGCCGAGCATAGTTCGATTTGGTCGGCCGAAAAAGTCACCCAAGCCAGATTCCGAAGATGCTAACGTCGAAACGCATTCGTTACGTGCACCAGATTCTATTCGAGCTCCACGCGTCAGCCTGCTCCATGTCGATACAGGGCTGAACATGCAACAGTATAATGGATTGTTTGAAGCGGACTCCCCTGAGCGACAGAAGGGCTCAGCGGCCGCAGAGTCATCGTTGGGTTAGTATACTACCCTTCATCTGCAATGGTCTCAATTTGAATGTTTACTCATTTCACGATAACCTATAGAGTCGATGAGCCCGCCCACGAATCATATGAATGGGATATCCAATCCTCCAAACAGCGACGCCGCGACGACAGAGTGGTCTTCAGCCGTCGGCCACGCCGCTACGGGCAAGTCGGGGCGCGTCATACACAATCTACAGGAGGATATTGCGCGCTTGACTCGCGAGTGTAGTCTCTACCGGTCACGAGCAGAGGAGACGCAGCGGATCAACGAAGCTTTCAAGACCCAAGTACAGAACTTAACCGACCGACTTCAGAATTTCGAACACTCGCACGAAATGAACCTACATTCACTCTCGCGGAAGGAGAAAAAGATCGAAGAGCTACGCGCTGAGATCCAGGCCGAGCGGGAGAGACGGCAGCGAGCCGAGAGTGAAAAGGAGAGATTTCACCAATTAATGGATGAGGCCCAAGACGATTTCCATCAGAAGTCTGCGGAATTGACCGAGATCGCCAACCACTCTCGCACACAATACGATGTCTTAGCGAAGGCCGGGCAACGGGAGCGAGCCGACCAACAACGAAGGCTGAAGGGTATACGAGAAGAATTCATCGCGTTACGAGAAAAACATGAACAAACCAACTCGCAAATAAACCGACTGGACTCAATAATGGCGCAAAAAGATCAAGAACTCGAACTCGCTCTTACCAACTTTGAGAAACTCTCCAAGGAGTATGAGACTTACAAGCGAACCCATGACGAAGAAGTCCGATCTCTGATTGAAGCAAATCAGCAAGGGGAGGCTAGATTCAGTGCTGCCCTTGCATCCCTGAAGGAGACCGAGGGCAGAATGAAGTGGGTGATGCAAGTCAAACGCGAGGTTGACGGTGCCGAATGACCCCTCTGCACCATGCGTCATCATCAAACAAAACCTCGTATCGCCAAGCGTGTGAGATCTCAAATCCAATCTGCCGTATAAACACCTGTCAGGCGTATATACGGTGCTATTGATCTATCTGGTGTCTCCGGTGGCCGGCATAACCCGTGAGATGCTGTAACACTCATGGTTTGTCATATCTCTATTTGTCTCATCTTCGGAGGTTAGTTGACATTGTCTGGAGTTCGGAATTGCTTGATACCCTGGGAATCATAGACAGGAGTCTTTCGTTATTACTTTGCATCTCGAAGGCATTCGCTATAATTGCATCTAGAACTTAATATACATCTTGGATATAGCGCACAAACCGGCGTCGTGGATTTAGTACATTGACTTGAATTGCACTACGGTATATTCCCCCTTTTTGAGGACAGCCTTGTTCACTTAATTTACTAGTACTGGTTAACACCAAGAGTAGGAACAAAATAGTCCCAAATGGGCACCACCAGGGAGAGACCCCATAGATTCATGCCATCCTTCTAAGGGGTGTGACGTTGGGCCACCATCTCTGCATCTATCCATGCTCTCTCTGTTTGGTCACGGTAGGATGCAGAATTAGATCCAGGAATTTTTCCTTCTATTGGTAACACACTGTTGGGACTGTCTCGTAGCAACACTGGCCATTCACACAAAGTCTTAATTCACTGGCGACATCATCACGCAGACTGCCACTGGACGTGGTTGTTTACTTCCTTCCTGATTTATTTCTGACTTCGCCCCCTCTTCCTCCATCTTCCCCTCCTGCCACTCTTTCCCGGCTACTTACTGTGATCTCAATCGATCGATTCATCCAATTGATCAACACAGGGCCAGAAAATCGATTTCGTTATCACAACTCTACCTCCTTCCGAACCGTCCTCGTACTGCACCCATTCCTCACTCCGAACCCCCGACTTGCCGCCCTGGAGCTTGCCATCGAGTCTTCGAGCCTACATACTTAGCCCAGCGACCCTCAGACATTGGTTGCTGGCCTTTTTGGCCGTCTGCGGCAGCAGCAATGGATTCCCCACAGCAACGCTTGACTTTCGTGTCCATGTGCGCCTTTGAGGACATCGGAGTAAGCTACCATAGTACTTCCCAACTTTCCTAGTGCCAATGCCCTGCTAATTGAACTGCATCTAGCGCCGGGAACTTGAAACCGAGCTTTGGTATGTTTGCTTTGAGCGGGTTCTCTGTTCCATTCACTGACCAATTGATGTTACTTGCAGCCGTGAATTACCCCAGGCGAATCTTCACTACGAGTACGCCCAGGGGGAGGAGGTAAGTTACTCAACCGAAAACCATTGTTTCCGTGCTCGGTGGCTTACACTTTCACTCAGGTTTTCGTTGTGAAGGGTAAACTCGAGGGACTAGCACCGCTTATTGCGAACCTGGTTTCCGCTTTTATTGAAAAGCAGCGAAAGAGCAAAGATCTGCTGGATGTCCGTTATCACAATATCCCACTCTCTCAGCTCTCTAACTTACTTACAATTTGCTTAGACTCCTCGAATTCGCCAACTGGCACTGCCATCTGCGGCTCGAGACAAAACTAATACCATGGAACTGTCCGATGCCGCTGTAAGGGGAGGTCTACTGGCCTTAGACGACGATCCTGCCACACTCATCCCTCACCAAATGACTCGTGTGACCAAATTCTGGCTCGCTTCAGCTGGAGGAGTAGGCTGTTTTGCTGCCAACAACTACCGCGATATGCTAAAGGACATTGCCAAGGGTACTGGCACGGAGATCATTGTACCTGATGACCTCAAGGGGATTCAGGTCTCCGGGCCCTGTACGAACGACGTGGATGATGCTATGGCGAAGTTATCGGAGATTGAGAAACCATTGGTAAGCGAGTCTTTTGTTAGGGCTGTCTTCGTCTTTTAACTGAGGTAATAGTCGTATATTTGTCGTCCAGCAGTCGGTAATATTGACATCTGTCCTGGCGAACAAGACACACGATACGTGATTCAGCCTGCGACTCACCTCAATTCCGCGTCGATTGGTCGTATCTTGACAGACACAACTCCGGGCTCCTTTGCTCAACTCGGTCAGATGTTCGTCACAGCATCTTATATTTTTGATGAGGATGCACAGAGGTACACCGCACCCAGGACCCTTCTTCAGCCGCCGAAACACGGCAGTGAAATTACCAAGACTCGTCTCTGGAATGACTTTACGTTCCAAGAAGTAGGCAGCGGAGATGAATTCAGTGCACTGGATTCGGCCATAGACACCAACCAAGCCGAGTCTCGCTTGGTGCCTTCGGGAATCACAGGGCCTCATCCTTTCCTGAGCCCGGAGAAGGCCAAACAAGTCAACCAGTGGGTAGCAGACGGAGAGAGCATGGAAGCCCCCAGCGCCACTCAGGATGCCGGACCTGAAATACACCCTGAGCAATCGTCTTGCCTGGGGTCGCCAAGGATTATGCCTGCCAATCTAGAAGTAAAGAGGAAACCAGGTATCAAAGTGCGAAGGCCGGCGCAGCATGCTCAAACGAGCACGGCCCAGGATACCAAGATACTATCACCCCAGGTGGAAACGGGCAGCATTACCAACACTTCTCGCAAGAAATGGAGGATGACGTGGCCGAACAATGGCATCAATGGTAGCCGCATCCAATCACCTGCGACTGACGAGATTGCCGAATCGATTCCACCGTATCCTGGAAGTAAATCGCCTTCTCCGCCATTTGATGATAGAAAGTACGGACTCAACAAAAAGTCTGCTCAGTCGAAAAAAGCTGTCTGTAAGCTGTCGCCTGTGCTGAAGAAAAAGCCGCCGACCAAGAAAGATGAGTTGATTGACGTGACATCGGGTGAGACAATCAATGTCAACCCACAACTCTTGCTGGGACTCGAAGCTCCGGGCTTGGTTCCGAATGCCTCAGAATCTAGCAATGTGACAGGAAACTCGGGCTGTGATGATTCTAGTTGCCCGTCTATGGTTCAGGGTGGAACGCATGTCGCTGATCTTCTTGGGTTGGACTTCAACGAAAATGAGAAATCGGGTGAATCCGCCAGCTCAATTTCCCTTCAGCAGACATCTTCAAGCAAAGGGAGTTTCGCTGATCAAGCGGCAAGATTGCAGTCTCTGAACGATCAATACTCCAGCTACTCGGTCACGGTTGGTTCTAATTCCGTCCGCCCGCGTACGCGTCCTGGGCATACCAACAGGCTGCTTGAGAATCGGGTAATTGAACAGTATGAGAGGCTTCATAGACCTGAAACCGAACAGCCCGTCAGCGAGGCACGGAGCAGGCAGTTCCATCACACCATGAGCCAAAAGACTGCAAGACCTGGGCCAAAGACAATGACCAAAGCGGTAAAGCAAGCTACTCTCATGGCTGCTTGGGGAATACCAGAGCGACAGAAAGCGGCTAATGGCAGTCCACAAGGGCAGAACGGGTTCGTTGTAGATAAGCCTAAGCCAAACAAACCGCAGATTAGCGAGCGAGAGCAGGAAAAGCAACGGGTCCAGAAACAGCGAGAGGAGGCCCAGTTCCACGACGATCTAGGGCGCTTCTTTGCGGCGATAAAGCCACCACTCGAAGCAGCCGAATCATTCCCCGGCACTATAACTTTCGAGATCCAAATTGGACTTATCTTCATTCCAGACTTGCCGAAAACTGTTAGTCGCGACAAATTGATCTCTCCAGGCGAATGGTCCAGTATCTTACAGCCGCAAAATGGTGTCATGGCGCCAACGACCAAATTCGTCAACAGAGTCACTGTATCCGGCGCGGACGTTGACCACATCATAGATCTCAGGAGGTCCAAGGCAGAGGGCAGATCCCGTATCTTCGAACAAGATTACAGCGAATACAATGTCAGCTACGAATTCCATTGTACGACAAAGATGGGTGAATCCCTCATTGTGGTTCTTGATGAACAGGGAAAGTACACAGTCCAGAAACCTAACTCCATGCTTGGTGCTGTCAACATTCATTTTCCAAGGCAGATTTGGGATGCGAGAGCTATTATTGGGTCCATTACCGAATATCGCCTTGGTACCAATCTCGAATTCGAAGAAGCCGCCAAGTATCTGGTTGACCACGTCCGTATCCCAGCCGAGAATCACATTCACATAGTTAGCAGCCTCCCCGAGGGAAATAAGCTAGCCATTGAGAATGTGTTCATGAAACGATGGACCCACCATCGGTTTGTCTGTCTTGAAGAAGCCTCTTGTGATCCGGCCAAGTCTTCGAACGGTGGCGGCCAGGTCGATGCCAGCGAGCGCAATGAAGTTCAAGATATCTTTCTCCGGGTTACAGAGGTCCAGGATCTTGTTATCGTTCGCCCAGAGTCGTCTATCCCTCAGCGTGTAAGCGCCAGATACACGAACGCGGCCGACATGATTCACAGGGGAAAGATGTGGTACGAGATATCACTCGTCAGCCCAGCGCTTGATACTATCTTGAGCGCCAATACTCGTCTTGAGATCGGAGAACGGACTGAGGATTGGCGCGCTGCCGATTTACTCGGAGAATATGCTGCTTTGCTCACGGAAGATGCGTCGAACTCGGCAGTCAGCTCTGTTGCAGCGGCAATTGGTGCGAGTGGAATAGGGAACCTCTTCGAGCTTGCGAAGGCTATAGTCCCGAAAATCGACGGTGTCGGCTACTTCAACCCTGGTCCAATCACCGCCGAAGTGCTCCAGGTGACTGCTGGCGGCTCAGACGGCCCGAAAGGCAAGAGTTTTGAAGAACTCGACAGCGTCAAAGAAGTGGAGAGCGTGGCTGCTAGACTTGATCCATCTGTGCATAACTCTGCAGCTGCTAAACGGGAGAGGTTTGAGCTAGATTACTGGTGAAGATGCTAGGCAGGAGGAGCGAGGAATGAGGAACAATCGTGATAGGCCAATGAGATGGGCGATAGAGGGCAGCACAGGATAGAATTCTAGCTCTGAGAATCTATTTAGCACGAAATGCATCTGATGATTCGCCCACGAGATAATCCTCACGGTTCTTTGAAGCCTTGACAATGAGTACACCACAGCAAGGTACCGCTTCGCTTTGAAAAGCAGGCACCATGTAGACGTATCTTACGAGGGGTCACTTTATGTTCAATGGATCTATTAGAAACAACGAAAGACACGATTCAATAATTCCTATCAATCCTCATCCTCAGGAGCCTCATCAACACCCCGCAACCAAGCCCCTCTCGCATCAACAGCAGCCTTCCGCACATCTCGCTTCGGATCATCAAGAACAAACCTCAACGACCGCAGAACCTGATTCCTCACAGGCAAAAGAGGCGATAGCTTCCCCGCCTTGGCAACTGCAGGCGCATCCCCCGCGCCCGTCGGCGTCTGCGCAAGCAAGAACAGACATCTTAGCGCATCAACACGCAGCCGGGGTCCATTCACCACGGCAGCCTGCTCCTTATTGTACTCGGCTGTCTTAAGTAATCGAGTAACGAGGCTCTGGACGTGTCCGCATTCTTCGATAACGGTCACTCCGGACTCGCGGATGATCACGGAAAGCGTTTGGAGTGTTGCTGCACGGACGGCCTGCGAGTCTTCCGTTTGCAGGTCGAGGGATTGGAGGAGGAGCGGGAGAAGAGTGGGGAGTTCGGGCATGACAAGGGTGGGCGAGATTGTAGAGAGGATCCCCGAGAGGGCGGTTAGGTGTGCCGGTTTGACATGCTCCTTCGGTGGTGCTGCCACAGCGGCATCATTGTTGTTGGAGGTGGTGTTTATTTCACGGATATTAGCAGATATGAGTGGGATGAGGGTTGTGAAGACGCGCTGCTTGGACAAAAGGCGAATGTTTGCGCCATTTGTGGGGGAAAGGACATCGTCGTCCTTTAGGAGGATTGCGAAGCCGCGGGCGGCTGTTATGCTTGTTGTTTCGTCAGGGGAGGAAAGGAGGGAGAGGAGGGAGGTGAGGATCTTAGTTGTTGCGGGTGCGAGACGGAGGATGAGGGACTTGGAAAGCCAGAAGAGGGTTTTGATTGTTTCGGCTGAGATTTGAGATTCGGCACTGGTTGTTGGGAGGAGGGAGTCAAAGAGGGCGATTGCCGTCGACAGCTCGGATTTGGGAAGGAATTTGTTCACGATAAGGGCAGTGTGGCGAAGGATGGCGAGCTGAGTTGCGGGCGCGGTCTTGGAGATGGAGCGTGATACGATGTCTGGGATGAGGTCGGACATGCTGTGGGGGAGCATAGAGTCTGCAGGGAGACCTGCTAGGAGATAGGTTGAAAGAATCATTGTTCGCTGCTGGTTTTCGGTGGCTGGTTGTGAGAATACAACGGGCTGAAACTCGTCGGCAGAGGCGAAGAGAGTGTAGACATTCTTTGCGACTTCATCTTGCCTGGATCTTGGGAGCGATCTGACAATTATGTTGCAAAGTCGGCCCAAGATATCCAACACAGTAGGATCAGATAAGATGTTGTTCTTCGCTTTGCCAGACGCGGTTACAGCTGCGCTCCGACTCATGGTGACCACGATCTTATCGTAGTACATCTCGAGACCCGGATCTTCCTCCAGTTTTCTCTGGCTCATGACATAGTATAGGGTCAAAAGTATCGCCCTTGGGTAGGCTGCAGAGCCCGGTTCTTCCCTCTGCAGGAGCAGGGATAGCTTGTTGAGAAGCCGTCGCACCAAAGTGTCGAAAACTGCTTTCTCAACGCTGATTTGTGCCAATATTTCCAGAGTCTTCATATAACTTGTGTCGTCTCCGTCATCAGAGTCGGGAAGTGTAGCCACGAATGCTGGAAAGGTTATGTCCATGATCAGTCGAGGCTGATGCTTCGAAATCTCGGCCAGAGCGGCGATCGACTCCTTTTTCAAGTCATCACGGCCCACCGACTCTTCCTTCAAGAGGATTTCGTTGAGATATTGCACGAAAAGACCAATCTCTGAGTCATGGAAGTAATCACGCAGCGTCGACAGCCGCAAAAAGCCCTTCAAGGCGGAGATGCGGAAGGAGACCTCCTCTTTAACCGTACCCATCAGAGCCTGCCCGAAGATTTCGGAGAACTGGTCTTTGAACTCTAAAAGCGGGTTTTCAGCAGATGATATAGGAGTTCTAGATGTCCACTCCCCAAAGACCATAATGGCGGATTCGAATAGTTGTGTCAAGGTTTCTAAGAGAGCGCGCTGCTTCGTAATCCCATCAGCTCCCTGGTAGAGTGTCAAGAGAGGCGCCACAACAACTTGTACGATCAAAGAAAAGGAGGCAGCCGACGCCTTTGAAGTAGCTTTGAGAATCTCTTGTGCGGGTTTAGCCTGCTTCTGCTGCGGCTCACGGAGTTGTTCATTGCACTCCTTAGTGATTGGTCGTAGATACTGAGCCAGAGGTAGCTGATCAGATATCTGGGTCACACCCTCCGACAGACGCTTTGCAATATCATGTAACGCGGTGAGAGAAAGGTCAGAGAGGAATTCCTCTTGGGCGTTAAGTATCTCAAACTTAATGGTTTCCCATATCGTGATCGAGTATTTGGATACTGTATCTGGGCTGTACGAGTTGATGCAAGCAATCAAAGCATTAAGAGCATCTTTCTGGAGAGATATTAGACTATAAGCATAATAACAAGATCCCATGGACCATACCTTGACATTCTGAGATGTGGAATCAAGTTTATCCAACAGAGCCGGAATGGAGTGCGGAGCGAAGCTGCTCGATGACGAAATACAGTCCTGTAGGCGATCCTTCAGGTCTTGAGCAGTAATCCCATATGGATCATTTGGTGGTGGTCTGAAAGTGATTGGGAAGTAGTTGTAGACAGAATCAAACAAGAGCTTCCAAAGTTAGCAAATGTCCATATCACCGTGCTGGGGTCAAAGCCTACCTCTACGTGATTTGAGATATCCCATTCAACCATGATCACTTTGAGGATAGAGAAGACCAGCATGAGGTTTCGCGGATCCTTCTCGCCCGTCATAAGGTCCACTGTCCCGACAAGGGAGGTATCACCCATTTCATGCAGCACTGCAGTGGTCAGCGTGTTGATTGGAGGGTTGCTGGACAAAGCGTAACGTACCGGCTCGGTGATTGGACATCAACTCATTCAAGAGCTGGTAGACTTGGAATCGCTGAGACTGGGCGCGAGATTGCAGTGTATTAAAGTTCTCGAAGAGTCTATACATGCGCAGTCAGTCGCTGAGTCTCCGGGTATATAAAGGTGTGGACTCCGCTGGCACTCACGCTCTTGCTACCTCCTCAGCCATATCCTTTGTAAACCTGTCGAGCTTCTGCAGTGTCTCCACACCCGCGACAGCGCCTGCATCTTCTATACGGTCACAGAAGAACGTCGTCAGGACCTGGACCTGTTGTCTCGTGAGGAATTTCGGCGGAAGGGCCTTGATCACGGCAGTCAGATATGAAACCGCCTTGCCCCGGAGTAGCGGATCGTCATCATTTATATATTCTCCAAGCGACTGCACAACTTCAACGAGGTTCGTCTTCTTGCTCTCGATATCTATTCCCCAGGGGTTAGCGCATGATCGCTTCGGCATCGGCCTGTGGAGGGGTACTTTACCTTGAGCAATCCGTTCGGCAATCTGCCTGGCTTCCTGTTTGTCATGGTCAACGACCAGCATAAACGTCTGCAAGGCCGACATCTTCAGGATCAACCTTAGCAACGACGCACGAAGGCAATTGGCACGTTCATTGAGGCCCTTTTTGTGGTTTCCCCAAATGCCCTTGTCGATGCTAGTCACGTGGGGCATCCCACTTCTTTCTCCGCGGGATCACGTGGGGGCGTCGTGGCTCTTGGGATGGGCGTTGCGTCATGGTTGCCGTCTCGATTCCAAGAGCAGTTCGGACTCGAGCAAAGACCGATTTAAAACGCACGGCTGACAAGACGTCAGCTAACATATCTGGGGCCTAAAATGCGGTACATTTCATCTACACTGACATTTCTCTTCCTCTTTCTATTCTGCACAGTATCCACGGCCTGGGATCTCCCATCTCTCTCCTCCCGCAAGCGCATCCCGCAACCACTAGTCGACACTCTTCAAGCACGGAACGAGCGGAGGGTAGACCCTGCGAGACTTCACGAGTGGATTGGCAAACAGGAGCCTCTACAAGGGGCAGCGATGGCTTCGAAGCAGAGTAAAGCACAGGGCGGCAGCGGCGACCCCATCATCTCTGATGTCTTGCCCAAGACCCGTGGCATCAATATCTTTGCATCTCTTACTCGGCAGTTCGAGTCTGTGGAGGGACGACTGAATGACCCGTCGCAGAATGTAACCGTCCTTGCTCCCCGCAATAGTGCTATTCAAGACCTCCCGCGCAAGCCCTGGGAGAACCCACAAGATTACGAGCAGTTTGGTGAGGCGAAGGCATATGAAGGAGATGAAGGACAAGATCGTGCGAAGCGAAATCTCGAGCGGTTTGTTACAGCCCATATTGTGGTTCAGAGTCCGTGGAAGGAAGGAGACGAGGCCGAGACTCTAGGGGGTGATAAGCTGACTTGGAGAAAAGATGGGGATCACATATATGTGAGTACCCCGTTGCTTTTTTTTAATTTACTTTGGTGCTTGCGAAGACTTTGATGCTGACTAGTGTGTTAAGATTGAGCCTAGTGGCATACAGGTTGATACTATTGCTGAGCAGGTCTCGAATGGCGAGGTGTGGGTATTGAACGGTGTTATCAATTACACTCAGTGATGACTTTATGATACAGCGCATTCTTAAATTATGTTTACGATGATATGAAAGTGACCACTAGGCGGAACTATTCTAATGCGTATATATTTCGTTGACAAGGCACCTGGAATTATACCAGCGTAGTATAACTGTACAACCTTAATGTTTAAAAATACTCTGTCTCTAGATCAATCGAGAACGAACCCCTGTCAAGATGATATAAGACAAAAGCTAGACGCGGAACCTATCATCATGCCCGGTATTACGCTTCGCCGGCACCATACTTGCGCAGGACCCTCTCCTCAATACCGTCCAAAATACAGAAGTGCTCAAACACCTCCAAGTTCTCCGCCTCATTCAGATACATTTTATGCGGATCCTGTCCAGGCTGGAAAGGGTTCGCCCCCGCAGCAGGGTTCATGGGACCCATCTGTTGGGCCATATGGTTGGCAGCTGCCAGCAAATTAGGCAAGGGTCAAAAGTGAAGCCGGGTTCCTCTTAACGGGATACTCACCATTATCACTACCGAGAATAAATCCAAAAACACCTTGAAGACCAAACAAATTCAGGAAGTACCATGAGAGACTAGATACCCATCTCACATCCAGATCACGGGTCATGACACCGGACTGCAGCATGGACTTGAAGCGGATGGTAAGAGGGAAGGGAAGTTTCACTGTTCCAACTTCGTTAGTGGTTGATCTGGAGAGGCGATGACTGCAGACAGCTTACAGATAACGAATCCCGAGAAGAAAGCGTTGATCCAGCTCATAATTAGCGTTTGCGGAATCATCATCATCATGTTCCCCTTCATCATCCCCATCATGCCCTCCATAGCGGCGGGATCCGTCATCGGGTTAGCGGGGGGTTGTCCGCGACCATTGGGGTCTTTGAGGAAAGCCCCGTTCTGGAATCCAGTAACAAGGTAGTTCTTTCGCATCTCAAAGGACTCTTTGGAGAGAACAGCCGAGGCATGGTTACGTAGGTTGACGGCACGCAGGAGGGTGAGGCGCTCGCGAGATTCAGCCAAAGTTGCGGCAGGCTTTGGAGGAGTGTTCATCAAAACCGTCGCGTAATGACGGAGCATACCAGTCAATATCTAGCGCAGCTTGTTAGCATTGAGCTACATATAGAGAGTATAAAGCAACATACCATGACCACAGTAATGGGAATCAGGATCCAGTAGCTGCGCATTTCGAGTTAGCTGGTCCCAATGACTTGAGTACAGCATGAATTGAAAAACGTACAATAGAGCCGGATCCCTAAGGATCGTTTGCTCCACGCCTTGCAGTGCCATTTTTGATACGTGGACGGGCCGACAAGATACAAGCTGGTGGTGCAGTCGAGTGCGAGGTGCTGGAGGTCCAAGATCCCCACAAGCTCCGACAAGGCGGCGGGCGAGCCATTCGGGGTCGAGGTACTGCCGCTTTTAACCCCGAAAGGGACAGCTCGCCGCAATTGACACCTATAAAGTAAGCTGTACCACAACGAGAGATTCGAACTCTGTCTGCTTCGGACTCTAATCTACTCTCGGTCGGTCTCTTTATACTGCACTCAGGCAGTAATAGCTTCAATATGGCTTCAGGCACAATCAAGGTGCCTGTTTACTCTCCCAATGGTGAGCTCTGATCCCTGGGCTCCAGTGCTCTTAACTCGATTATTGATAGAACCCTCTTCTTCCCTCTCTCAACTGTCCAAATGCTAGAGTACTGAATATCAAATATACAGACCTCAAATCAACCACAGACGACGCCCTCATCCCGTACCTAAGCACCCTCCCCCAACCATACACCTTCAAACAGGACCACACCAAGACAAACATCCGCTTCCTTATAGGCTACAGCGCCGTCGCAATCGCCGCATTTACATTTTATGCCGATCGCAAGCTGGGGTGGGAAGCGACGCAGTCTCCATGGGTCATTGCTGCCGTTGTCTCATACTTCACTCTCAACTCACTCCTCACGTATTGGGTCTGGGCGGTTGAAGCTAGCGAGGTCTTCCGAGGGACAAGAAGGTCGGGCGAATCGGTACGTATACTTGACATCCTAGTCATGGATACTTGAAGAGAGAAGTGTTCTGGGTTTGCGGCAGCGGTGGTATCTAGCTAATGCAGCGAGCTTATAGATATCGATTCGGTCCTCTGTGAAGAAGCATACGCCGCTCTACAGACTTCAAGTTCAGTACAAGTCTGCTTCGGGGAGTGTTCTAGAGGAGAAAGAAATCGAGGCGCCATTCACGGCCTGGTTTGCCGGCGATGGCACGTTCCATCCTGAGCCCCTACGGAAATGGCTTGCGAAGGAGATTGAGGTGCTTCGTCTAGCTGCTGGTGAGACTGAAAAGAGGACTGGCGGCGTGGCCAGTGTTGTGGGAGTGGAAGAGGCCGAGAGTAAGGGAAGCAAGGGTGCCAAAAAGCGAAGGTAGATACAGTGCTTCTGTTTTGCTTGTGGTAACTATAAGCATGATGTTTGGGTTCGAGAAACGGGTTTTCTGATTTATCTCCTCTTTAAGAGCTGGCACTGAGTTTTATGGAGATCAGCATGGTCATGCTTAATGGTTTGGCATTCGTATCAAGATGGCTTTTTGTAGTTCTAGTTTAGAAGGTCAGAATGTCTAGAAAGGGCGTATTAACGCACAGAAAAAGTGTAAAGCGGAAAAACAAGAATCTCTATATCTGGCTACGTTTTATATCATATCTGGCTCAAGTGCCGTCTCCGGCTGTTCTACGAGGCAGCTTCCAGAGTTCCGGGCCGCTCAGTTGCAGCGGCAGGCTTGATGTCATCCAGTCTCTTGTTCTGGATGAGTCTCTGCATGAACAGTGTCAGACGCATTCATTAGCTATATAGCGAGGGTCTCGACTTACCAAGAGGTTCCGAAGCAAGACAACAATAGTGACCTTGCCAATTGAGGGCACGAAGATGGAAGCCTTCTGCTTGACTTCGGGACCGAAGTTCTGTTTGTTATTGTATAAGCATTGCGCTACATAGAGAATATGTCAGAGACGTACCTTCTCGCTGGAGAAGTTGATGCACACTGCACCGTCTCTGAGCAGGTTGGTATCGAACTTGTACTTCTCCCCAGGAACACCGGAGATGACCGTGTCACACAAGGGCACAATATCCTTCAGTTCCTTGCCCTCAACATCCTCGACCTCGTGTCTACCCTTCTTCAACCCCTCACCACGGGTGAACTTCTGAATACCAGTGATATCAACGCTGTACACACAAGCACCGTCATTCGCCAACAACGCAGCAAGCGGGCGTCCGACAACTTCTGAACGGTTCACCACGCAGATAGTGTGACCGTGGAGACGGTTTCCATAGGGCAGAATCGTGTTGTAGATGTTCAGGTATTCCAGGATCTTGATGACGGCAAGTGGCGTGCAGGGAAGGAGGCACTTTTGGCGCTTCGTTTCCGGGTCGAGGAAGCGAATGTTCTGGTACATGTTGAAGATGTAACGGTGGCTGAGGCCCTCTACATCCTTGGAAACGTCGACAATCTGCTGGAGGTACTGGTCTTGTCGGTTGTTGAAGATGGGGTAGTATACGATGATGCCGTCGACGTCGGAGTCGACGTTCGCGGCCAGGATGGCTTCTTCGAGGTTATCGCGGTGTACTTCGCGGAGGGAGTAGCGATATCCACTATATTCAAGATATAGAACTACGTTAGCTACGAGGTAGAGAAACAAGTGCCGGCCCGCGCGTGAGTGAATATACTGAGGGGTACCAGCCGGGACTTGCGACACAAAAAGGGCAAATAGCAAACGCAAAGCTGAAGCAGGTACGAAAGAATGCTCACTTTTCATGACACGTCTTCTCCGTCCATTGCGCATACATCAGCGCAGCAGGGTCATTGTTGGCCAGGAATCCGACCAGGTGAGGCGGCTTCTCCAAGGTCTTGACACCCTCCAAGACTTCTGCGAGCAAGCCGTTTGCGACATTCTTCGAGAGCATGACCTTGCAAGAGGTCTGGGCTGGTACTATAGAGGTAGCCATCTGTGCGCTGGGTACGATGTCAAGGTATAGAGATCTGAAAATGAGTCAATGCCTTGTCCTGACCGAGTGTCTTCCGATGGCGGAGGGGTCTCGAAGAAAATTTGGTCCGGGAAAATTATTCGCTTATCGATAAACGATCATCCCGCATTCGGCCAGTCACCACAGGCTCAGTGATCTCATTCAGCTTCAATTACCTCTTCCGCTAGATTAAATCATAGGAAAAAAGATTGACAGGATTCTCAGTTGCCGCGAATGGCTTTGAGAGAATTAGCTGTCTTCATGCTATAAGGAGCGTTGGACCCAGGCATAGGCAGGCAATGGCGCAAAACAGATGCGATGAAGAGTTGAGATTCTTAGCAATTACTCAACATGATAGAGATAGCACACAAGTACCGTTCTATGTCGCGACCATCAGTCATGTACCACGGGTGTACCATATAGCCCAAAAAACCTATCCATTCGATTGAGTATAGCATAAGAATCAACCAGTAGTATAAAACAAACAAAGGAAATCATATTCAGGCTGCATATATGTAGACAAAGGAACCCTAACCGAGGAGCAACCGAAGAGCATGCAACTCCCTTTTCCCATGGACTTGCGAACCCAGCCAGTTTCTGTCCGATGTGATCCCTTGCCGCGCAAAAAACATCTAAACGTACAGGATATTATTTCATATTTTTAGTCCGCTCGGCCACCATGTCTCATGCTTCACGGCTACAGATATACCAGGCTGCAATGGCATCAAGGTCGTGCCCGGATTACATCTGATCCCGATGAACCTGAAGCTCCGATGAACAGAAAAACAAAACAGTGGGGTCAATTGTACAAGCTATCTTGTCTATACACACAGAGTCAGGAAATGAAACAATACATGGTGGGCTAAATCATCAAAGTTGCCTCTGGCTCACCTATGCGTTGAAGGACTTGTTGAAGGCGGGGATGATATCCTTCAGCTTGGCCTCAAGCTCCTTGCTGACCTGGCCATCCTTCTCAATGGTCTCCTGGACCTCGGGGTGGTTGCTCTTGAGGTGAGCGAGGAAGTCAGACTCCCATGTAAGGATCTTGTCGGTGGGGATGGAGTCGAGGTAACCGTTGACACCAGCGAAGATGAGGGGAACCATGTCGGAGACAGCCATGGGGGAGTACTGCTTCTGCTTGAGAAGCTCGGTAAGACGCTGACCACGGTTGAGGGTCTGCTTGGTGGAGGCATCGAGATCGGAACCGAACTGGGCAAAGGCAGCAACCTCACGGTACTGGGCCAAGAACAGCTTCAGGGAACCAGCGACCTGCTTCATGGCCTTGACCTGGGCAGCGGAACCGACACGAGAGACGGAAAGACCGACGTTAATGGCGGGGCGGATACCCTTGTAGAAGAGTTCGGCTTCCAGGAAGATCTGGCCGTCGGTAATGGAAATAACGTTGGTGGGAATATAAGCGGACACATCACCACCCTGGGTCTCAATGATGGGGAGAGCAGTGAGGGAACCACCACCGTGCTTCTCGTTCATCTTGGCAGAACGCTCGAGGAGACGAGAGTGGAGGTAGAAGACGTCACCGGGGTAGGCCTCACGACCGGGGGGGCGGCGGAGCAGCAGAGACATCTGGCGATAGGCGACGGCCTGCTTGGAAAGATCATCATAGATCATGAGAGCATGCTTTCCATTATCTCTGAACCATTCCCCAATTGCTATTTTTTGAGAGGAAAACGTTAGTATAATCATGATTGCGACTTGATGCCATTGCGAGTTTCCGATGGTGGTAACAAGCAAAACAATGGACGATGAAGTATGCGGGGTATGGGGATATTGAAGGTCCAACGGTGTGGGACTAGCGCGAGAAATTCAAGTAGGGGCCAAAAGTGAAATGTGGAATGGGAGAAAAGTCCGCAAGAGAATGGGGCTAAGTACTAACCGGTGCCTGTTTCAAATAAGAGGAAAACGTTAGTATAATCATGACTTCAACTTGATGCCAATGCGAGTTTCCGATGGCGGGAACAAGCAAAACAATGGACGATGTACTAACCGGTGAAGGGAGCAAGATATTGCAAAGGTGCCGCCTCGGAGGCGGTAGCAGCTACAACAATACTATATTGCATAGCATCATTCTCCTCGAGGGTCTTGACGAGCTGAGCGACGGTAGAACGCTTCTGACCAACGGCGACGTAGATACAGTACAGCTTCTTGCTCTCGTCGGTAGATTTGTTCCAACGCTTCTGGTTGAGGATGGCGTCGAGGGCAACAGCGGTCTTACCGGTCTGACGGTCACCAATGATCAACTCACGCTGACCACGGCCAATGGGCACCATGGAGTCGACACACTTCAGACCAGTCTGGACGGGCTGGTTGACGGAACGACGGGGAAGGATACCAGGAGCCTTGAGCTGGGCACGGCTCTTGGAGGAAGCGTTGATGGGGCCCTTGCCATCAATGGGGTTGCCGAGAGCATCGACGACACGGCCGAGAAGCTCAGGGCCGACGGGGACATCGACCTATACGTTTTGTAAGTACGAATCATGAAGCTGATACTGTTGATATCAGGTGGTGGGAATGACATACAATCTCTCCGGTACGCTTGACAACCTCACCCTCCTTGACGAGACGGTCGGAACCGAAAAGCACAACACCGACCTGGCCGGCTTCGAGGTTCATGCACATTCCCTTGACGCCAGAGGCGAACCTATGAAGCTGTTAGTTCGAAATCATGAGGTATAAAAGGTGATATAAGGTTACGTACTCAACCAGCTCCTCAGCCTGGACATTGGTCATACCATGGACACGAGCGATACCGTCACTGTTGAGCAAAACTCGAGTCAGTCAATTGCTTCATGTATTATTTATTGATTTCGGTGTGTTTTCGGTGATATATCGACGATTCGGGCGATAATGCAGCCGGCACCGAATTTTTCGGCAGGGTAAAAGGCGACCACGTACCCAACGGAAAGGACACGTCCAGTCTCGGCAAGACCAGATTCCTCCTGCACACCACGGATTCTCTGCTCGAGGATGGAAGAGACCTCGGTGGGCGAAGCCTTGGCCTCAGCAGCGTAGGTACGAACCTGCTTGGAAGCAGCAGAGAGGGGGCCGGGAACAGCCGCGCGAACCTGTTGACCGGAAGCAAAATTTGTTAGCCATTGAGCAGGGCAACCACAACGCGTCGATGTAGTGTAGAACAGAGTGCGCTATCGCGAGAGGCCATTGACGGTCCCATTGAGATGACTTTCGGATGGCAGACGGGTAAATTGGGTCGTCATCGTCGACCCGGGCAGGGATGGAACTCACCGAGGCGATCCTGCCAGTGGCAGTGGCAGCCGCAACGGTGCGGCTAGACTGCCGCAAAGCGTTCCTGAACATTGTGAAGAGGGTTCAGAGGAGAGGGAGAGTGCTTTCTCTGAAGAAGAGATGTAATTGGGGGAAGAGGTGAGAGGAGAGGAGGAGTGTGGATGGATGGAAGGAGAGCTTTGTCGTCGGGGTTGGGAGGAGGATTCTCAGAGGTCTGGGACTAAGCCTATTTTTGCCGAGCGCTCAGCAACCTCCGAACTCGCCCTAGTGCGCTCACGGGACACCCCAAGAAAAACAGTACCCGCTGGTTGAGTCTTGATACTGCGACATATCTTCTTCTACATGTAAATATTTTGGTTTTAAATTACATTTAACTCTAACAACAGCGAAGTTTTCTACTTGGTTTTCCCTCGAGAGTCGTGGTGTGGTGGTGGCTGGGCGGTTGGTGTTCCGGGCCGACCAGTTGGCAGTCCCAAGTTTTTCCTTTCTGGTCACCGTGTTTGGATTTTTCGGATCTCCGGATATTCATCGTCACCAGCTTAGTCATGCATATCGTTGCTAACAACCAAGGCCATAGTTACAGCCGGCAAGTGTTTCTGCAAACTCTACAGGTACAGGAATGTCGCTGATGGGACATTGTACAGCTTCCTCACACTGGCAAGGCGATTACCTTATGAAAAGAACTGCGTAGTTTGCTTCCCTTTACCCGACCTTGAAGCTTCCAGGGGTTGCCCCCACGGGTCTCAAGACGGAGCCTCTTCATTCTTGCCAACTGCGGCCGGGTTTACATCATGATCTCGACCTCTGCGCGACTGTACATACTCCTACACTATTATGAGTTGCTGCCACGCGCGACCTACATACAATGTTGTAATAACAATATCAGCCGATGATCAGCACAAGCTGTCAGCATGCGTCCAACTCACAAAACACTATCAATCACAAGTAGCTCCTGGGAAAGCGGGAAATTCGGATTAACGCTACACAGCAAGCACATATTCATAAACACAGCCGTAATCATCGCAGGAAGCTTGTGCATGGGACAGGACGAGCTTATGACTCCTCCATCCTCTGGTCCACCTCTCAGTTCGCGGCCTTCTTATTACTCTTGTCCTTGAAAGCGGCAATCTCCTTCTCCACGCTGGCATCATAGCGAGCCTTCAATTCGGGACGGTAGCCGAAGAAGAAGAGAATCTCCATCCAAACAAAGAGAGGAGCGAGCAGCAAAGCCTGGACCAGATTGTCCAGCAAAGCCGGGGCACGACCTTCAAAGGCGCCGTGGCCGATGAATTGCAGTATCCAGGATACAAAATGGATTCCACCAAACCAGTAGTTAGCTGTCATCCCGTATGTCGCAAGGAGATGGTTGCCAAGCGCCGCAGCACCGATTATAAATGGCGCGACGATGGCCCCTGCAACCGGCTCCAAAAGGATGTAGAAGGTGGAGTACACGAATGCTCCGATCGTTCCAACATTGGGCGGTAGATTTTCAAACTGGAGGACTTCAGGGAGTTTGATAAGGGTAGGGGAGTTTGAGGCCTATCAGCTTGTTAGAATAACTATCGAGAGCGTGGCGCACTGGCGCAACGCAACATACCATCGCGATGCCAGTGAATAGGAGTATCGGCACACATGTTATATGAATCGCAACGTTTACCTGGAGCACAATAAGTCAAGATGCAATCGTGGGCTTGAGCAGGAGACGAACTGGATTATTATGGTATGCGCCATACTATATGGTGTAGATGTAAGCGAAATGCCATTGCCCTACACGACCATGCAACCACAGTGACTTACGAAAAGAAGCTGTTTTTCAAGGTTTAGGGCCATTTTGAGATTGTGAGAGTGGACAGCTGAACGAGGGCGCAAAGCAGAGTGAGTGTCAAGATGGAGAAAGGGCTGGATCCCCGCAAAATGAGTTGGTTTGGAGTGTCATCGTATGAGCCACTTAAGTCGTACGTAGTATTAATGCCAGCGAATACTCAATAATAGTACACAAAACGTCATGTGCAAGCCTCGGTTTGCTCACACAGCTCTCTAAGAGGTCATGTGACCAGTTCCAGCTCTAGAGTCTGAACCGGCAAGGCCCTCAACAACAGCTTCATTGTGAGATTATTCCCCGGCTCTTTGACGGCAAGTCGCCTCCTCGAATAGCTCCCGTCGAGAGTATTCCTTTCGAGCTGGCGCTCCTTTTTTACTTGTTCTTGGTATTTTATTGTCTTGCAAGCGGCCTTGCGCTCCTGATTTTTGAATCGTTTACCGTCTTGCACAGCGTTTCCGGTCTTTCTGCTGATCAGAACACGCTACGCCATACGAACAGCTATCCTATATTACGCTCGTGAAACCTTAATCTTGAATTCTCTCACGTAATCAAGTATCAGATATCGGAATTTGGCGACGAGCTTCTATTTCTCCGGTGTCGGCCAGCCCCTCCAAACAGCGTCGATCGAACCAGACGATTTCTCGCCATGTTTTTCCTCAAAGAAGAGACCAAGGTCATTTCATTACACCCTTCCTACTTCGGACCGAATGTGCGAGAGTATCTCATCAACCGTCTAAACGAGGAGGAGGAAGGGCGATGTACCGGTGACCACTTTGTGATTTGTGTGATGGACATGGTGGACATTGGCGAAGGGAGAGTGCTACCTAGCAATGGCCAAGCAGAGTACACCATCAAATACCGAGCGATTATCTGGAAGCCATTTAGAGGAGAGACCGTAAGTTTCGGTCTTATACGACTACTGGTTGTGTCTAATCCGTATCTCAGGTGGACGCCATCGTCACATCCGTGAAGCCCACTGGAATCTTCACTTTGGCCGGTCCTTTGTCAGTTTTCATTGCACGCAAAGTACGTTGGTTCATGTGCCGCTTTTTGCTTTCGTGGGTTTAGCTAATGACTTCTGAAGAACATTCCTTCCGATATCAAATGGGAACCCAACACAGTGCCGCCACAGTATACCGATCACGCGGATCAGGTCATTGAGAAGGGAACCAGCCTGCGACTCAAGATTCTCGGTGTCAAGCCAGATGTTGCTGCCATTAATGCGATTGGAACAATCAAGGAAGATTACCTAGGGTCTGTTGCCCTGCGCAAGATGTGTCAATCACTGCTAACGTTGCTCTCTATTGCAGGCCTCTTTAATCCTCTCCTAGCGATCACGACGATTACGACTATGAAAATGAGATATACCGCAGAAGAGCGCTGAACCTTCCGGCCGCCGCGCACTACAGTACGTATCAAACCGCGAGGACTGTCCTGATGCTATTCGCCATGGAGTTTCACTTGCCAGGAATGATACGGAATGAGACGCAGTGCTTCTGTTCCCCCGTTCCCCGGGTCTCGCGATGGGCAAAGGCCACTGATTGCGACGCAGGCGATCTTGTTTGTGAACAGCCAAAATTGTTTGCGAACGCCGCGGGAAGAAGCCAGCGCTCCCTCGTAAACAATGCCATATAGAGGGCAATATACTGATATACTCAGCCTTGTGATAGGAATCAACACATATAACATAGAGCAGAGTAGCCGAATCATATATGGGTGTCTTCACGTTCTCAGAGATGACGATTTGAGTTTAGTGAGTTGCCCGAGAGACGTGGCTAAGACTGGCTTTCGGGCCCGGGGCGTGGAGTGGTGAAACACTGGTGCGTCCGGCGCATGTGGAAACCCGCAGTCCTGGAGTCCTTGGCCGTTATTTGGGTAATTATCGCTGAGGACGGGCTTCATTTCCTATTGACTGTTGTTATTATGATTGACCTGGCCTGTAGCATCGCCCGGCGCAGCCGAGTAACCGACTTACTCCCCCGTGCTTTGAGGCCTGAGGTCGAGTCGTAGAAGAAGCTGGCCCTGTCCCTGTCCCCTCCTTCCGCATAATAATAATAACAATAAAGAGACACGGGATTCCAGCCCTTGTCTTCAATCAACGTCGGGGTTCCCGCATTCCTGTTCTCCTCTTGTTCGTGCGCACCATAGTCTACGCTCGATCTAATCATAATAAATCACTGTGCGACGCCTTTCCTCGGTGGACGCTCTTCAACCGTGGTTCGTGTCTTCCACAACCAAACAATCGCCTCCCCTTCCAGGTTGACTCTCAAATCTACTCTCCTTTATTTACGTTTCTACTTTTGCTTCATATTCCGTCCCTCAGGTTCATCATGTCGTTGAAGGACGTGTACCAGAGGTTTCTGAGTGACCCCAGGTCGGCTCCTCTGGCCCCTGACGTCTCGCTGATCTATATCACCTCCACTACCGAATTCAACGGCGCCGAAGCCGTGCTCAAACACCTCACCAAGCAGCAACACATTATCAAGACCAATTCGCAAACCGTCATCGATGCCGTTCAAGGCTCCAATGCTCTGTCGCTCGATATCGAGACTGCTCTTCAGTTTGTCTCTGGAGGCGGAGCGTACCTCCCTAACCTAGACGAGACTTTCCTGCTGGATCGCGTCGCGAAGTTCCCCACGGTAGGCGCCGGCCCATTGCCTCGTTCTAAATTTCCGGCAGGTACTAATATCGGTGATCGCTGCTATAGATCCATATCGTTCGCTTCAATTCCCAGAATCAAATCCAGAGCGTCAGAGTCTACTGGGACCAGGCTTCTCTTCTGAAACAGGTTGAGGTCATTGGAAACCGCTCTCGCAACTGGCCGGTTCGCGATGCGGATAAGCAAACTCGCCTGATTAGACTGGCATCAAACTCCGCCCCAGCAGACAACGGCGCACCCCAAGTTAAACCCTCGTCCACCGCCAACAAGGACGATGTTCCCCAAGCGCCTCCATCCCCAGGCAAGAAACACATCAAGGATCCGTACGCGGCCGACTCGCTATTCGACCTGATCTCTCCCAGCAAAGATGGTGCTGAGCCTGTTCGCCTGCCTCGTGCTCCCGCCTCTGCAAAGCCTCCGCCTCGTGAATACAATGAGCTCTTCGTTGGGGATGAAGAAAATGACGCGCCTGACGCGACCCCCTCGCGCTCCCGTACGGTCGCCCCCAAGGCTGGCGCAGGGAAGAACTACCGTCCGTCTCGTATCTTTGATGCCGATGAAGTTGAGGATTTGAAGGAGGCCACCCCCGTCGCTCCCAAGGCCGGCGCGGGTAAGAACTACCGCCCATCTCGCATCTTCGATGACGATGAGACGGCCGCCCACGAAACCCATGAACAGATTGCCTATCGCGCGAACACGAAACGGTTTGACCACTTTGAATTAGGTGGCGACAACAGCAGTCGTGAGATCAAGCCCACCGCCTCGCGTCCGGGCTCTCGCCATGTCAATCACTGGGACTTCCAAGATTTCGAGACTCCCGAAAAGCCCCGGCGTAAGCCACGCGGTCAAGAAGTTCGTCATTTCGGCTGGAGCGACGACGAGCCCGACCAGGACTCACCACCAGCCAGGCCTCGTGTCGTGCAACCTAGACGGGACGCTGAAACACACTTCCAGTTGACGGACGCCGACGAAGAGCAGAATGGAGCGCGCATCATCCGGTCTTACCAAAACAAGGGACTTGGTCTCTACAAAGACACCTTGTACGCCGAGGCAGATGAAGGAGATGCAGAGGAAAGCGCAAGACCCAACAGTGCCGAGGAACGCCCTCTGTCAGTTGTCCATAATGGCCCCAACCGCCAGAAAGACTTTGCAAGTCACTGGGACGTCACAGACGAAGAGCAGCCTACCAACGGCGATGTCAACCACGAGAATAAGAAGCCACTCGCCACGACAGACCGACTGAAGGCAGTCAAGATGCTGGAGTCCTCGTGGGACACTTACGATGAGGCCTCAAAGCATTGCAAGGCCACTCCCCCTCCACACCGCCGGGCCTTGCGTAATGTCAACCAAAGAAGTTGGGAATTCGATCAGGAATAAGAAAAACACGGGCATGACGAACCCGACGAACTCAATAAAGAAGGACTGAGAAAAGCAAAAAAAAAAAAAACTAGTGAAAAAAAACATCCGGACAATACTTGAACGGCTGATTTGGTCAACGACACATGTATCGATGAACATGACTAACTACTAACCATGGATATGCTTCTTTTTGTCTCTTCTGAGCTGTCTGTGTTTTGAGGCCTTATGTACCTACATCGTCCTTTCTTTTCCAGCATCGGCTTTTCCCACTCAGTATCCATTTACCCCTCCGGCGGACTCTTTTTTTTCAGACATCATATTTTAGTTTTGTCTACATAACTGTACTTTCTAAGGCGTTGTTTTAGTGTAATATCATACCCATTGTTCATCAACCTACCTACTCTGGTGTTGTACTTGGACTAAAATAAAGGCACAGTTCAATGTACTCCTAATAATAAACTTCGAGGATAGGTTGCTCAGCATTGAAGTTCATTTTTTGTAGTAGTGGGTGCTTTTGTTGAAGGTGCTTGAAAGGAATATATATCCGTGGCGCAAGTACAAAAAAACATCGATTCATTCTGATAGCTAGCTACGTAAACCGTAAAGAAAAACGTAAAACTCTTTCCAGGTTATTCAACCATATAGTAACTAATACTCCAGCAATCATGATCAAGGCACTCGAGCACATAGATACCCGGTTGTTGATTTTCGCTAATTCACACCCACGACACTAGATTTGAGAGACCAGAAAGCCACGGATGTTAGATCAAATGTAGAACATCGTATCCGCAACATTAGGATGAACTCTAACATCTGAGTCATCAGCTCGAAGACTCTGCCCTTCACCGGTAATGACACTCCCGCTCGGCGTCGCCGGATCAAACACGCGCGAGAGGTAGCAGCGTGCTCTTGTGCAGACTAGATCGGCATAGTAGGCTGGCGGACAGATACTGACGGCCTTGGTGGCACGTCCGAAGAGGTAGCACATGTGGTGTGTCATGGCTTCCAGCATGTCGGCCGTGTTCTGGTGCGGGGCCGAAGGCTTGAGCTTTCTGAAAATCTCGTCCCAGACGGTGTAGTAGTGCGCCGGACGTGCGGTTCCCTTGAGCGCAGTGTGGGCTTGTAGGAAGAAGTCCCAGTTCCTCGCCTCTGTGATTCCGCGGTCGACGACTGTGCCGTTGACGGGATTGTTGGAACGGTCTGCGTCCTCCTGCTTGGTGGGATAAAAGCGTGTATGGTGTCGCTTGCCGACGATTATTATGGAGAATTTGGGGAGACCCTTCTTTGTATCAGATGCTGGGTAGATGTCGCGGGCGGCGGATTTGAGGAGCGGGAGTTCCTTTTCCGTGACAAGGTCGTATTGGCCCTCGGAAACACCATCGCGGTAGACAATGATGTTCTCAGGGTATGTGCCTTTATGAGTTGCGGCCCAGCGGCGAAGATGAGCTTTAAGCATAGAGTCAAGGTCATCGACTATCTCCTTGCGGGATTCTTGGATACGGATCTCGGCAGGCCATTGGCCTAGGGAGGAGTCGATAGACGCGACCATACCTGCGACACTAGGAGCACCGTCGGCAGAGCCTGGAGAGGGATGGGTGACATCTATACCAAGGAGCATTGTCTTCCCAGCGCCAATGATGCCGAGTTCATTGGGTTTCACTATCTGGTTGATTCCCCCGAGCTTGAGGTTGAACTTGAGGCCGACGTTGGCAAAATACTGCTCTTTCCGCTCTTTGAAGCGTTCAGCTAAAACGTTGATGTTGCGGACGCCATGACGGACGTCGCAAGCTAATTTGACGCAATTATAGATTCCGGCATCATTGAATGGGAGTATCGTGAGAATAAGGGACGGCTGGTGTTGCCGCATGAGCCCGGCTATTGCGGCGTTGATATCTGCCTCGTAGGTGTTGCGGTTTAGTAGAACACGTGTTCCTGGTTTTGGGAGCTGCGCAAGCACTCCAACCTCGTTGAGTTTGGCAGTGAATTGTTTCAAACAGTCGTTCAAGTCTTCGGGTCCTCCAAAGTGTTGTCTGTCGCCAGGTGTGGCGATGAGCAACCAGGTCCACTTGGCGAGCTTTGACGACGTCGAGAACCTAACCGATTTCATGTTCCAGCTACCCCCAATGGGCGCAATCTGTTTCTGATTTGACTTGTTGTCCTTGTAAAAGACGTTTGGAGGAGGTAGGACGCGACCTGGTACTGTGACTAGATTAGGGCTGGTCTGGATACCGAAGTCGACCTGTCCACGGTTAGTTTAAGCACAGCTGCATTTCTGAATATCATGTACGCACCAAAGTAGGATTGGGGGATTCTCCAATTCCCAAAGTCTCTGTTCCTCTGTTGACAATAGATAGAGCATTCTGTGCCGGGGTCCGAACAGCGAACTTTAGCATTTCACGCGTTTGGTTTGGTGTGAGTTTCCCCTTGGCCGGCTGGCCTGGCTCAACCCTGCACACTTCCACGGGTAGATACGATGGCTGAGCCTTCGTTCCGACGTTCAAAACCGGCATCTTGGGGTTGACAGTGATGTTGTAATCTGTAATTGTAATGGTCAGGTTTGTTCCGGAGAGTGGATGAGCTTCGGCTTGAATGAAGACTTACTGCGCTTGAAGAATTCGGCTACAGTGATGTATGATCCCGAAGATTTAGGGCCCGCTTTGACCGGTTTCTTTCCCTTCTTACCTTTGGGCCCGGATGATGCAGTTTGCTGGCCGGGGGCATCCAGGAAGAACTGTACCTCTGTGGGCCCTGCCCCCATTTTTGGCACCTTTGGTGGATTGGACAGTGAGCTTCCATCATGGGGAGTGGCGAGGTCGCTGATCGTCTTAATTCTTGGTATCATCTGTCCCTTCTTGCCCTTGCGTTCGATGTGTGTGACGCGGACCCTGAGTTTCGAGAGGAATTTCTTGAGGTTATATACGTTGGAAGGACCCGTCCGCTGAAACTCGCCAATAACCTGGTTCAAAGGACCATCTTGGTAACAAGCCACGTATTTGACCTGAACATTGACTAGGATGCGTGCCGTTGCAGCACGAGCACTCACAAAATATCCTCGGAGTGCTTCGAGACCAGACCCCAGATTAAACTTCTCCGCGAGGCCATCGTGTATAGCATAATGTTTGTTGGCACCAATAGAAGCAATGGCGTCGGCAGACTTGGGCTGGTAGCCGATAGCGATGTTTAGCGCCTGCACAATGTGCTCCTTGGATTCGAACATAGCGGAAGCATCGGACGAGGTCAAGTAATTCAGAAGACTAGCAGGATCAACCTGACCGGTGTACTGGCAGCTTACTCGGAAAACCTCAGGGTTTTCTGGATACTCGTCTTCATAATCGCCGCGGTATCGCACATCAAAGGTAACCTCCACATTGTCCTGGTCTAGGACCTTTACATGTGATATCAGAGTCGACCTGTAATCAGTCACAATGCTCTTTCGGAGCTGGGGAAAATGCTCTTCGAGCAAAAGACGGAAAACCTGCTTTCTCTTCTTCACGTTAAGCGCCTTGGTGGACGAGCCACCTTTGACGTCGACATGATAGCGATATAGGCCCTTCCCGGTCGACTTCAGTTCAAAGTAATTGGCAAATAACTGTACACTTTTGCCTCGCGTGCCGTAACCAGGTCGCTCAGGATGCGATATGGACTTTTCTTTCTTGACCAGGGCACTAGCGAGGGCATCCTCTGTTTGGGTCACTTTCGTACTCGGGGAGGGAACGCCGCCAGGCGGACTAGTTGACCAGGATACGTCTTTTAGCCAAGTCGTATCACCCGAAAGTACAAAAAGATCATTACTTACGAGAAAATCGCAGGACCTTGGTCAAAGTGGCCGCCACCGCGCCCTCCGCCACGACCACCGCGACCTCTGAAGCCGCCTCTGTCTCCTCGATCACCTTGAGCTGGCCGGTAGGGAAGGTCATTGAACATTCCACCACGGCCGCCACCGCGATCACCACCCGCTCCGCGGCCTCTCCCGCCGCGTCCGCCGCCCCGCTGCGGTGGGCCTCCCGCTCCGGACATCGTAGATTATGAGTATGACGGCGAGTGCCAGATGGGCGAAGGATTGCTGAAGCTCAGAGCTCAATAATAATATGTTGAGATGCAATAGGTAAGTAAAGTGATGATACTAAAGTGAACGTAACAGATAAGCTTGGGTCGGAAAAAGAGAAGCTCGGGAGGAGCTGGTTGCTGGGGAATCTTATACGTCTAGCTTCCCCACCAGAAGGACCTTGCCTCAGGAAAAGAGAAAGGGAATCCTTGCGCAAGGCTTTCATGTGTGATTTGGGTGCCAGGAATATGACACTCGCCGAGACTGATGATTGGTCGAGCGTCGTTTGTTGTCTTCACTGGAACATGGGTTCCAACTGATCAGTTCGAATCATAGGTTAGATGTGTTAGACAAGACGGTTGCCCGCAAGAAGCGACTCGGAAAAAGCAATTAATTAAAAAAAGAATAATAATGCTCACGACTTGGAAAGTGCCCAAGGCTAACTTGATTCACCTCTGGCTCTGTTTTTTAGGCGTGAAGTAAAGAAGAACAAGATGGAAATAATAGTCAAGGCTGTCACTGTAGTTTTTAAGGTCAACCAACATTTTGGAAGCATCTAAATGCACACCGATTAGTATACAAGGCAATATTTTCAGACGCTGAAGCCCATCAGGCATCTTCATTTCAAGAGCCTAGGACTATGGGAGAAATACATATCAGATTTTACGATCGGCCAGCTCGGGGGAAAATACGTTAGAGCTCATAAGCTTATTCTTTAGTCGATGCGCCCCTGTCATGGACTGCATCTCGATTTCTCAGTGACAGTTGACTGGAGCTTCCGCCGGCCGTTTTTATACTAGTACTGCTGTACCCCGTACACATCTTACCAGTCATAGTAAAAGTCTACCTTCATGGTTACTACTGGGAGGAGGTCATAACCAAAGCATGAGATGGTTGACGAGCTGTCCTCGACAGGCGCACAAAGGCTATTATTATTGTGCACTTTCTCTAGGGTCCGTTCTGAGCCTCGAAATGATCGAGATGGTTTGATGGTATCTCTGTGAGCCCTGGATTTCCGAACGACCCCCCGGGCCCATCAGGACTACTAATATGAGCCAAAAAAGCAAGCTTCAAACCTCCAGACTCCAGAGCGGCTGCGCGGGCCAACAACCCTCCGGCGTCGGTTTTGATTGGGCTGAGCCGCGTTGTGTGACTCAGTGATCGAGCAGAGCCACAGCCTCACATGACCCTTGCAACCCCCCAGCAAATGAAACGTGCATGTTTAACGGGGATCAGGCCCAAAGAACGAGCGAGAGCCTTTCAGCCCCCAGGCGAGAGTCTGGTTCTGTCGGATGGTGACGAAGACGGCGGCGTGATGGAGCCCCCAGCTCGAGATGCCAGGATATTGGCTGACAATGCGAATTGCTCGAAAAAATCTTCCTGCACCAACGTAGACCACCATCGTCTGGCATCGAGGCTCGCCGTGCGAAACCTAGAGTTTTCAAGCGACCAAAGAAGCAAGCTCGACCTGACCGCCTTCAATGGTGATAACGGAGATAAAATCATCTCCATCACTAAGCAGGCCTAAGAAGTCCAGCTCGCTCCATTTGCGGATTCTTCCACTCCTTCCTGCCGTCAACAGGAGGAGTCCCTCGTGTCTTCTAACAGCGGTCCAGGCATCCAGATAACGCGTCATTTCTTCCCCTGGTGGCCCGGGTTGCTGATTGGTAGTCGAGCTCGGCCCTCATCGACCTCACCATCTCCGTTCACCTGGGTATCTTGGCATCAAGCCTCTGCGCGATAACATCCTACCTTCGTCGCCTATCGAGGTGAACTCGTGGAGCAGTCCGCCTACCATATCGGCGTCGGCGCAATACTCTCAGTAGCTGATTCCTCTCGACCTGCAAGTTCGCCTTCTTCTCTACCGCATCTCCTCGCACTCGCCCTACCCCTCACTCTCCACAACCGTCAGTACGCTCCAAGTCGAATTTCAACTACGTGCGCAACAACACCGCTGAGTTGCTTGATAGAAAAGCCGGACCGGTTGTACCTCAAATTATTCTTGAATCGTCGATTGATTTTTATCTTCTTCAGCGGGTAGGCACGACTCGGAAGCGCCTGGGAGTTGAATCGCTGAGTCCACATCGAACCCGAGAGGGTTAACTGGGTCGGAATCGGAAACATTGAACTTGCGCTCTCTCGAATTCTCGAATTATAGGGAACGAACCGGCCTACCATCGCCTGCAGAGACGCTGCGCGATTAACGCTGACTGTTCGCCTACTATTCGCATTTTCCCAAGACGTTGGTCTCGACCGGCCGCTTGGCTGCTTCATCATACACATCGATCCTCAATATTAGTTCCTGCTGCGGAAGTCAAAATGAGTCCGACACCACCGTCCACGACCTCTTCCAGCAACGGCGGGGTGTCCCCGGAAGGTCAGTTTAGAGTCGTCCGGAAACGAAATCGAGTGCCCCTCTCATGCGGCCCTTGCCGCCATCGAAAGTAGGCTTTCCACCAATATTCTTTGTCTTGCAAGTCATGCCTCAGAAAGACAGACTCTAACCTCTCGCCAGGCTGAAATGCAATCGTTCCAATCCGTGTGAGAATTGCGTCAAGCGTGGAGACGCACATTCCTGCACGTACGCACAGACAAATTCTCGAAAGAAGATTTCCGCAAACCAAGCTGCTTCAAATTCTCCTGATGACATGCAAAACAGAATTGACCGACTGGAGAGTCTGGTCCTGTCGTTGATGACCAATGGGTCTCAATCTGAAGGCCCTGCCGCCGCCATGGCAGCGATATCTGGCACAAGCAGCAGCGCGGGCTCCGGTCAGCATGGTATTGACCTGGAAGTCGACGATGATACACCTATTCAAGAGGAGAGTGACACTGAGCAGGTAACCAAGTCATTCGGCATCATGAAAGTGGACAATAACAAGTCCTACTACATCAGTGATGCACATTGGGCGTCTGTGCTTAGCGAGGTAAGCCACCAAGCTGGAAACTTTATATCGCATATCTAAATTGTTGCACAGATATCAGAAGTTCGCACATATTTCAACACGCACAAGAAACAGTATGAAGAACAGGTAGAGAAGCTGAAGGCAACTCGTCTCCCCACTGACGTACCTGGTTCAACCCTGCTTTTCGGGGCAATGAAGCCAACGAGCCGAGCGGAGATCATGTCCTCATTTCCTTCCAAGTACACGACAGACATACTAATCTCGCGATATTTCAACTGCTATGACCCTGCAACTCGTACGTGACGTCCCAATGACCTTCCCTGCCTGGAACCTCTGTTACCGGAATACTAAATCCATTCTTAGATTTCCTCCACGGCCCTACCTTCCAAGCTCAGGTAAGCGAACCCTCAGCGCGGGTGCAAATAATCTCTAACTTCTGGCCCTAGTATAATAAGCATTGGGAAGATCCTTCCCAAACTTGCATTGTCTGGATCGGAATGTTGTTCGCCATGATGCGGTTGTCAATGCTGTCGTACTATCGCGAAGGTGACGAGCCTCCAGAGTTTCGGGGCAAGTCTATAGACATGGCGGGCACATTCAGGAACTTGGTGGCGATGTGTCTTACACTGGCTGACTATACAAAGCCTTATCCATATCTCATCGAGTGTTTAGCCTTTCACCTCCATGGCGATTATTGCCAAACGAAAGAGGCTGATATATCTGTATGGGTGTTGAACGGCGTCATCGTTCGGCTGGCCATGAGAATGGGCTACCACCGTGATTCCAAAGCTTTTCCCAATATCACGCCATTTCAGGGTGAAATGCGTCGGAGGGTTTGGGCCTTTGTTCGGCAAGCCGATCTCCTGTTTTCCTGTCAAGTTGGATTGCCCAGCATGATTAGAACCGGAGACAGCGACAGCGACCTGCCGCGTAATCTCTATGATGACGATTTCGATGAAAACTGCAAAGAGCTACCCCCGTCACGACCCCCGAGCGAGCCCACCCCGCTTTCCTATCTTATAACCAAGTCGCGGCTTTCATATGTTCTCGGCCAGGCAATAGAACAGACGTCTTCACTTCAGAACGCGTCTTATGACAAGGTCATGGAAATGGATTTGGAGCTCCGCCGCGCGCGGGACATGATCCCAGAGCATCTCCTTGTGCGTCCTATCGAAGAGTCTCCGCTTGACTCACTGGTTCTCATCATGTCACGTTTTTCCGTAAGCTCTTTCTGACTGCTTCTCGCATTTATCATACTGACAACCCTTGCAGGTGATGAGTGTCTATCACAGAGCACAATGCATTCTTCATAGGAAATACCTTATTCGGGCACGGGAGAATCCCCGATTTACACATTCAAGGAGGACTTGCATTGATTCTGCTATGGAGTTGCTACGGTTTCAGACGATGCTCCACGCGGAAACACGACCGACAGGTCGGTTGAGGAGTCGCCAGAATCGAGTAACGTCTCTCAGCGCCAGCGATTTCTTGCTTGCTGCAACCATTCTATGCCTTGATCTTTACCATGGATACCAGGTGCCTAATACCGCCAGGACTTCTCCTGATACATATGCTTGGGGTAGGGAGCGACGAGAGGAGATCCTGGCTGCTGTACAGCGAAGCAAAGACATATGGGATGAGCTTCGGGATGAGACCATGGAAGCATGGAAAGCTGGCGGTGCGCTTGGAGTCATGCTCAGCAGGCTCCAGCGGGGTGGTCCGGAGGCAACTCCAATCACTCCAGCATTTGAGCCTCATGACGAAAAACAAAGCGCTGCGATGACCTTGGGTCTGCTTAGCAGTGGCATGACCCCTCTCAGTCAAGGCGCGCCGTTCAATGATATGGCGGCAAAGGCTGACACCCCCTTACCGGCAATCCCAGGCTTCGGAGCGGACGCAGTACCCGGCGCTTCCTCCGTGTTCAACAATATGTTTGGTCAGATGCCAGAAATGCAAGTCAATCTAGACTGGGTTTGTCACCTCTTTCCCGTATGCCATCAGTGCCTTGGCTGACCATGATTTAGGATGCATGGGATAACTACATTCAAGGCGGCGCGCTTGATCCGTCGAGCTCATGGTGGTCGCCAATGGATATACAACAACAGACTACTAACCCATTATCTCCGACCCAATTACCGACGCAAAGTAATACTGCTCGAACACTACCACGCACGAATAACATGTTCCCTCAAGGCAACGGCTACGAACATGACGGCTCTACTTAGGTTTCAACTATTTTGTTGATACTCCTGGTGAAAATCCTTTTGACCGTTTAAAGGCACGCGTATTGTCTTTGCATTTATACCCCGTACTATTCCGACCTTTCGGGCACGTGAAAAAGTCAACTTCCAGGTGTCAGACTTGTTTCTGTTGTGGTGTTCTGTGGAACTTCCTTACTATATATTTCTAACCTATGATATCCATGTTTGTTAGTGATTGTTGTTGTCTAGGGTTCTTGGCATTTGTCGGTTTTGTACAAATATGCTCTCCCCTCATGGTGTGTCCATATGTTTATTATGATGGGAGTATACGATATATTTATGGGGTGAACAAGAAAATAACCTTCGTGGAAACTCTCCAGCTGAGTATAATTGAATAGCTATATTAAGAACTAAACTTATGCAACTGTTATTTCATACCTGTTAACTCTGAATTGAAGTTTGGTTCAAGGTGAGGTGTGCTGGTTATCGTTATCAGCACGTGACAACATCGGAGCATCTCAGCATCCGCAGCCTAGAACTTTTGCACGATTCTGTGGATGTTGAGAACCTGTTTACCAAGAAATTCAATCCATACCGATTGATTGGCGGGAGAAAATATGTACAGTATCACAACCTTGGGGAAGCATATAGCGACTAGCTAACGGGAATCTCTGCAGGTATTCCCTTCGGCGCACTGCTTGTCGACTTTTATCCTCGCCCACTCCGCTTCTCGTCCGGTCGAGGTTAGCCGCGGTGTCGAATCCTCCTCATCATATACCTCTCTGTCGAACGATATCTCAAAGTGAATGGGCTAGGAAGGGCGTCCAGTCCATAGCCACCGATACAGGTTCCGCGATCAAGACGACAGCTACGCCTACAAGTCCCACATCCGACGCACCAGAGTCATCGACACAATGCGAAGCCGACATAGTGCAAGAAGCCGCTGAACAAATTATAGAAGTTCCACCAGAGGTGAAAGATACATCATATACTGCTGCAAAGAGCAGCGCATCGACACCAAACTCTGCGTCGAATCCAAGTTTTGACGTTGATCTTTCGCAAATCAGAGAAGCGGCCGCGGGTGAATCAGAGGCGGAGCGGAAACGGCTCGAGGAAGATAGCTGGGAGAGTTTCAGGAAGAGACAGTCAGAGCCAAAGGAGACGGTATTTCTCGGCAACCTTTTTTACGATTTGACTGCGGGAGATTTGAAGAAGCACATGTCGAAGTTTGGGGTTGTTCGTGCGGCGAACATTATATATGACGATAGGGGTATTAGTAAAGGGTGAGCAATCTCAATCATCCTATTTCTGCCTTTGGTCGACCTGGGGCTGATATTGTCCTTGCAGATTTGGCTACGTTCAGTTTGACAGATGGCAGTCCGCGCAGACGGCAATTGAAGCAATGCACATGAAAATCTTCCAAGGGCGCCGTGTCACCATGCACTACTCCCACTCCAGCCTCATCGCTAACCGGGAAGCAATACAACCCTCAAAGGTGCTGTATGTCGGAAACATGCCGTTTGAGATGACGGACCGCGATTTCAATACTCTTTTCCGCAGCATCAACAATTTGATTGATGTTCGGGTATCAATGGATCGTCGGACAGGCCAATTCCAGGGCTACCTTCATGCGGAGTTTACAGACATTAAAAGTGCAACAATCGCACTTGAGAGACTCTCTCTGAAAAGACCGTACAAACGAAAGCTTAACGTGACGTTCTCTAACAACGTTCGGCTGTCCAAAGGAACCGAGTTGGTTATGCCGGCCGACATCGACAAAATATAATATCACTGAGCAAGCATTTTGAGGCGCCGGGGCGGTTTTATTCGGGATCGGATCCAGGAATTGAGTGTACTTTTAGCGCGAGCACTTGTATATAAATCTGATGTAAAATAGAGTCCATTACATTAATCCCCTGCTCTGGGATCGGTCAGCACATAGCTTTTTAACTATGCCATTGCTAGGTACACGTGACTGAAAGGGACCTCGGCTGGTTGTGGTCCTCCCGATCGGCTCTCAGCGGCGCCGAACCCCACGTTTCGAGCATCTGGAGGCGCAGGCCGCGGGCAACTTTCTCTCTTCCTTCCTCCTCATATCATTATTTCCTACCAGCTAAATACCCCTGGACCGTCTCTATCAAAAAAAAGTCATTCTCTTTGATTTATACGTGACGAATTACCTCGGGCTTGCTATACAAAATGTCTTTCCTCGGTGGTGCCGAATGCTCGACCGCGGGAAACCCGTTGACACAGTTTACGAAGCATGTTCAAGATGACAAGTCTCTTCAACGAGACAGACTCGTCGGGCGTGGGCCCGGTATGCAAGAGGGCATGCGCTCTCAGGGGATGATGGGAGGCCACGACCAGGTACAGTACCGATCTTTGCCCTTCCCGTCTCAAACTTTGGAGGATATCGGATGGCTAACCGGTTGCTTAATAATGTGCTATACAGATGATGGACGAGTTCGCCCAACAATCAGCCCAGTTACCGGGAGGTGTAAATCAGCAGATGAGGATGGAGATGGAACAAGTCAGACATCAATTAGAACAATTCCAGCAGACACCCCGGACAGGCTCGCCCGGTTGGGCGGCCGAGTTTGACCCCGGAGACCATGCTCGCATGGAGGCTGCCTTTGCCGGGCCCAAGGGTCCTATGATGAATAACAGCTCCGGCTTTACGCCTGCCGAGTTCGCTCGCTTCCAACAACAGAGTACCATGAGTGTTCCTCAATCAGCTAGCCCCGTTACTGCGGGTCAGTCACCAATGATGAGTGGTTACCAGCGACCTATGGGTATGGGATACATGGGTTACGGGGGAATGGGGATGATGCAGCCCGGTTATAGCCCCATGATGCACCAGCAGCAACACCAACAGCCGGCGGAAGCCACCGCTCAGGATAAGGGGAAAGGACGGATGATTGAGCTGGACGACGAGAACTGGGAGGCTCAGTTCAAGCAGATTGAGTTGGCGGATAACGAGCAACTGGATGACGAGGCCAACGCAGCCATAGAGGCGGAGATGAACGATCTTGACAGGTCAGTCCACCAAACTTCAGACAATCTGGAGGATAAATTTCGTGGTATGGAAGAAGCGTGGGAAAGAGCTCAAGCTGAGGTGGCAACAAATAGGAAACTCGCCGAGGGGGTTAATGACTTTGATATCAACGACAACCTGCACATGGGTGATATGAGTGAATGGGATGGATTCGATAACCTCACTACCCGATTCAAGGAACCTCGATTGGGTGATTATACGTTTGAGGAGGAAAACGTCTTCCGCAACGTGACTAACCCGTTCGAGGAGGGGATGAAGATTATGCAAGAGGGTGGTAACTTGTCTTTGGCAGCGTTGGCATTCGAGGCTGCGGTGCAAAAGGATCACGAGCATGTAAAAGCGTGGACTATGCTGGGTACTGCTCAGGCTCAGAACGAGAAGGAGCTCCCCGCTATTCGGGCACTTGAGCAGGCTCTCAAGGTTGACCCGAACAACCTCGATGCCCTTATGGGTCTGGCTGTCTCATACACAAATGAAGGATACGACTCCACGGCGTATCGAACATTGGAGCGCTGGCTGTCCGTCAAGTATCCTCAGATCATCAACCCTGACAATCTCTCCTCAGATGCCGACTTAGGTTTCACTGACCGTCAAATCCTTCATGAACGAGTTACAGACCTTTTTATCCAAGCGGCCCAGTTGTCACCCTCCGGGGCGCAGATGGATCCTGATGTCCAGGTCGGTCTTGGAGTACTATTCTACTGCGCGGAAGAATACGAAAAAGCCGTCGACTGCTTCACAACGGCGCTGGCGAGCACAGAGTCAGGAACGACGAACCAGAAGGAGCAGCTTCATCTTCTGTGGAACCGCCTGGGAGCTACGCTCGCCAACTCCGGCCGATCAGAGGAGGCTATCGAAGCGTACGAACAGGCGTTGAACATCAATGCAAACTTCGTCCGCGCACGATACAACCTGGGTGTGTCCTGCATCAACATCGGTTGCTACCCAGAAGCTGCCCAGCATCTGCTCGGCGCCCTTTCCATGCATCGTGTCGTTGCGGAAGAAGGCCGGGAACGTGCCCGAGAAATCATCGGAGGCGGCGACGGCAGCGGCATCACGGATGAACAGCTCGATCACATTGTGCACCAGAACCAGAGCACCAACCTGTATGACACACTGCGACGAGTATTCAGCCAGATGGGTCGACGGGATCTGGCGGACATGGTGGAGTCGGGAATGGACGTCAACGTGTTCCGAAAAGACTTTGAATTTTGAATAGGTATTGGATTAGATTGTAACTACTAGGGCCAAAGATATCCACAGGTGCATGCATGGCTTAGAATTATGATTGTGATGAATTTATCAGTTCAACAGTTGTAGTCATGACAGCCCCAAATGACCTCATTTCAACCCCAAATTGAACCTCGGGACTTTTGGCGTCCCGCATCTTCTCCGCTCGATCCGTTATCTTCTCCGCTTCACATTTCCATGACAATCATCCATTGAATATTTTGGAGAAAAGTCTCCATAGCACCAGAATGGCTGCAAAAACAGGTGCTCAACTTATCGCGCGCACCCTGCGCGACCTTGGGGTCACAGTAATATTTGGCATCGTCGGCATACCCGTCGTCGAGATTGCAGAGGAAGCGATCAACCTGGGTATTCGATTCGTCGCCTTCCGCAACGAGCAAGCCTGCAGTTATGCAGCCAGTGTCTATGGATACATGACAGGACGGCCTGGTGTCTGTCTCGTCGTCGGCGGTCCTGGAGTTCTCCATGCATTGGCCGGGGTATGGTTGCCTAGCATGCCTTTAGGAATGACCCAAACTCACATATACATCGTTACATATAGATCGGAAACTCATCAGCGAATAACTTTCCCCTTCTCGTGCTCGCTGGATCGGCCGAGTCTACACTCGTGACCAAAGGTGCCTTCCAGGAAATGGACGCCATTTCCCTCTTGACCCCCCACACCAAGTTCGCCGTCCGTGCCTCCTCGCTCGATTTTATCCCCAGTGCTGTTAAGAATGCCTACCGGACATGTTGGTATGGCCGCCCGGGACCGACATTTGTCGACCTACCTGCCGATATCATCCAGGGAAAGCTGTCGCCGGAGTATGCGATGCCACAGCCAGAGACCTTATTAGTCGCATCACCACCTAAATCGAGCGGTGACCCTTCCTTGATTCTGAAGGCTACTCAGCTTTTGAAAACCGCTCAAGCCCCGCTGCTTGTTATTGGAAAAGGCGCTGCATATGCGCGCGCCGAATTGGGTATCCGCAAGCTGGTTGAGCAGACACAGATCCCGTTCCTTCCGACGCCCATGGGGAAGGGCGTAGTGCCGGACTCCCACCCGCTGAATGCATCCAGTGCGCGAAGCGCTGCATTGAAGCATGCAGACGTTGTCGTCATCTTGGGCGCACGGCTCAATTGGATCCTTCACTTTGGCGAGACACCCAAGTGGTCTCCCAAGGCGAAGATTATCCAAGTCGATATCTCGGCAGAGGAGATTGGGCGGAACGCCGCGAGCACAGAGCTAGGTATCTTGGGAGATGTATCCCTCGTTGTCGATCAGCTCACAGCATCGCTGTCCAATTGGCGATACTCGTCTTCCGCCCAGTTCCCAAGGTTACTCGCAGACTCGGCAAAGAAGAACGAAGACAAGGCTCAAAAGGCCGCTCTCCGACAAACACCCGCCAATACACCACTCACATACCAGCGCGCCTATCATATTATCAAATCAACCCTCAACTCATTGACACCCGCTGAAGGCGGCGATATCGTGTACGTCTCCGAAGGCGCCAACACAATGGACATTTCCCGCTCCATCTTCCCTCTATACCACCCGCGTCAGCGTCTCGACGCAGGAACATACGCTACAATGGGAGTAGGCATGGGGTACGTCATCGCAGCGCACGAAGCATTCAACGCGATCCCCGAGGGAACAGCCAAGCCCAAGAAGATCGTCGCCTTTGAAGGCGACAGCGCATTCGGCTTTAGCGCCATGGAGATTGAAACACTGGCCCGATATAGAATCCCCGCGTTGATCTTCGTAGTCAATAACTCGGGCATTTACCACGGTGACAGCACCTCTGAGGGCGCGTGGAAGACACTGCAGGACCAAACTGTCTCGAATAATACCAAGTCCGACGATGCACCTGAGAAGAAGGGTCTACGGTCAACGAGTCTCCTCTATGAGACTAGATATGAGATGCTGGCCACGATGTGCGGCGGCAAGGGGTACTTTGTGCGGAACGAGGAGGAGCTAGAGAAGGCGACGAGGGAGGGTTTCCTGAGTGATACGGTCACTCTTGTAAATGTTATTGTTGAGCCGGGCATTGGGAAGGAGATTGGTTTTGCGTGGCAGAACCAGGCGAAGGAAAATCCGCAAGAGGGAAAGGCGAAGCTATAGTCCTCCTTTATGAATGTGATCTTGGCCCCAGGATAGTTACGTACTTATGTTACCTAAACCATCCACATATCTCTTTCTCTCCTTCTATCGACGACCAAAAACCTGATCTACAACCTTTCCAACAGAAACAGCCCTCTCCTCTCCAAACCTACCCCCAACAATCTGCACCGTCACAGGCATCCCCTTCACCAAGTGCATGTCATCTATCCGTTCATTAGTCTCTCCCAGCGACCACACAGCAACGCAAAACCAGGGCGAAAACATACACTGCTGATGATTAAACCTATCCGACTCATTTCTCGGCACATGCCCACTCCATTCCTCATCCTTGCGGGGATCATCAAGCTCAGGATCAGCCGTGGCAACGGGGACAGTCACAGCCGCATAGTTGAGTAAGTTGTATAAGGCCGTATACCCCAACCACTGCTTACTCACAACCCACGTCTTGGGTTTGTAGCCTACCCAAGGTGTTACGGGGAGTAAGAGGGCGTCAATGCCGGATGACACCCATTGTGCGAGGTAACGTTCTTGGTAGGCCCATTTTGCTTCTTCAATCTGGTTACGGCGGTTAGGGTTAGTAGGTGGGAAGGAGAGGGAGGCACGACTGCTATCCGTACCTTTTCGCGTTCTTGACTCGAGAGCTCATCTGTTGCTGTTCCAACAAGCATTCCCTGTATGAGCGGCTCGTCAACAATGGCGCAGAGCTGTCGGCAGTGGTGGCCGCCGTCTGCGAGGACGCACTTTGTCCAGAGATTAGTGCCTTCGACGTGCAAGGATGTATCCCATTCAATCACTAATATTGAGTCAGTCAAACTATACGGCCTCAAAATAAGAGCTATGTAAACAGGAAGGGAGGAGACCTTCATGTCCAGCATCCTTCAACCTCCTCGCGGTTTCCCTCATGGCGCGCATAACCGGGGGCTGAGGCCGAACCACACCATCATCATACACAATACCCAGCTTCAATTTCCAATTCGGCGGTGGCGGCGCAGCGAGTTCCTCCCTCCAGGGAATCGGTATACACCCCGGATCGAGGTTCCAGGGGTTCGAGTCTAGGAGGCTTTGCATGAAGTATTCAATGGTTGAGAGGCTTCGTGCCATGGGGCCTGCCACGGGTGGAACGAGATAGTGCTGATGCATGCTACAACTTGATTAGCACGGGGTGCCACTTTCTCTAGGGTAGGAAGGGTGGTACAGTGAACAGTTCCAGGGAACCCGTCCCGTCGTCGGACAGATCGAGTACAGACCCTGAAGGGTAGACGGGACGCGAATTGAGCCTCCAATGTCCGTACCGATTCCGAGTACGCTGCCTTTGGCGCCGATGAGAGCACCTTCGCCCCCTGAGCTGCCGCCAGAGATGAGGTTTCTATTGAAGGCGTTGACGGATTGGCCGAAAACGTGGTTGTAGGAGTCGGACATCTACACCGCGATTAGTTTTCAAACATCTTGATGGACTGAAGAGGTAGAGAACGAGGCAGGAGCACACCATCAACGACTGCGGTACATTCGTCTTCGCATACAGAACGGCACCCATAGACTCTAACAACTGCACCACAGAGTCCGACTTTGCCGCAGGCTTATTCGCCAGGCCAACCCAACCTACAGACAACATCAGCCCACAATTCCACCCTCCATCCATCGGTCCATCAACGAAAGAGACCAATAATGGAGAAGAGATAAAACTTACCAACAGTCGTATCAAACCCCTGCACATCAAACCGATCTTTGACCGAAACTGGCAACCCATGCAACGGGCCCTTCACCTTCCCCGACTTCTCCAGTTCTTCATCGAGTATCCTCGCCTTCTCCAGTGCCAGATCAAAGAAGATCTCCGTCAGACACCCAGTCATCTGCTGCGCAATCGCAGCCCGCTTACAGAATGCCGTGGTGAGTTGCACCGAACTGACCCCGCGTGAGGCGAGAAGGCGCACAAGAACCGTAACGTCGTCGATTTCCGTCCACTTCAGTTCCTCTGGGGTGAGAATGCCGCAGGTGCGGATTGTGTCGAGAGTGGTTGCGGTGGTGGAGGTGATGGTGGATTGGGGGAGGTGCCAGGCTAGGGGAATGGATTTGAGCTGGGCAGCGCGCTTTTGCTGCACGATGGGTTTCCAGTGGGGGGTCGTCATTGTTTTTCTTAAGCTCTTTACTTGTTGGTTGTAGCTAGGTTTTATCTGATGGCCTTTGTAGCGTGTTGTAGATGTGGATGGTAGGAGCGAAGTATACCTACTAGTAAGAGCTGGAGTTGGGAGGCAACTGGGTTATCTGCGGGGAAAAGAGGGGTTCCTGATATGTCAACCGTGGTTATTCCAAGTCTGAAAATTAGCATTCATATTTGATATCGGTACACTTATATTTACAGATCGTGCCGTAGGAATGTACACCGGTTAGACTGTTATCAACATGCTGGCGTTCTTATACCACGTCAGTAGCGGGTTTTCGCCGCTCCTTGTCTCAGTATCCTCAATGTATGCCCAGCGCTTCATAAAGTCCTCGTGGCTGACCACTTGTGTCAATTTCCCGGTAACTGCTCGGTAGATGTCTTCGACGACGTTGAAGTCGGTGGGGAAGAAGATGTCAAAGTAACCTTGGTGGACCTGGAACATGACGTGAGCCGGAGTGAACAAGTATAGGACAAGAATATTACTTACGAAGGGAGTAGAGACAGGGACGGTCCTCCGCTTGTATCGTGTTTGTACCACTGGCGCATTAATTCCGGGGACTGCATCTGGAAGACTGCTAAAGTCGCTGGCCACTAGCCGGTGACCGGGAAAGTAGGTATCGAGAATGTCAAAGAACTGCATCAGCCGAGTTGGGACGTACTCGGGTAGCGTAAAAGGTTTCTGGAAGGGTAGGATTCCCCGGACTTGTCGCGTGAGTCTCGGGCCTAGCGGGCTCGGGAAATCACGTCGAGCTGCGGCTTGACGGACGCGCAAGAACCGGGAGGCTACGGGATCAAGTTGAGGAGTGTAGTACTCGTGAAACTCGCCATCCTCATCAATCAGCACTCCTCCCTGTTGTGGTAGTTCAGTCTTGCAGTCATAGCGAATAGTGTCGTGCGCAAAGTTATCAATGACCTCAAGCGCAAGGAAGAAGCACGGCGAGTGCACGTAGGTATCCCATTCGAAGATCGACTTATTAATAATCTCGACGTGATCCAAATGCCCCGCTGCGTACAGAGAGTCGGTCAAGTTCTTCATCTGCAGCCCTGCCAAAGCTGGGGAGATCTCAATGATGCGGAACTTGGTTCGTTGATAGACCTCATAGTCTGTGTCACGGATGAAATCAAGGATATTGATCATCAAAGTTCCGTTTCCAGCGCCCATTTCGTATATAATCAAGTCGTGGTACGGATACTGTGTCAGCTTGTAATTTGACACCAGGTACCGGGCGATGGTCTCCCCATAGTAAGGTCGAAACAACTCGGTAGGCGTATGCCATAATTGGCGCGCTTCATCCGGCCGTTTTTCGTCCAACAAATCTTCGAACTCTGTATAGCGCTCGCCCAGCATCCGGTGAAACGCAGGCCCATCCTCGATATTATTGAAATCGAAGGGTTCTCCGGGACTAAAGATTGTCGCGTGCTTGGAAAAATAGCCATAATAGGGGTTGTAGAGGCTGTCTGTGTCGCGAGAAGAATGAGCAAAATGGTCAAAGGATATTGTGCAAATTTTCAGCCTACCATCAATAAATTCTCGCGTCAACATCTTCACCTGGCGTGGCCGCTCCGGTCGATGGCGGAGGTCTTTCGCCGTCACCAATGGGTACGTTTGCAGCTCCTTCTCAATATCTTTTGGGTAATCCCCGCGCTTCGTCCAATTCATGCCATCATCCGTGCTCTTGCGCTTTGTCCGCGTCCGACGAGAAAGAAACGTCCGGTATTGTTGATAGGATGGTCCAGACAAGCGCAAGGTGTGCGCCGAGGAAGGCGAGCGCCGCAGGGATTGGCAGGCAGGGTGACGGAACAGCTGTCGAAACAGCTGATTAAGGACTGAAGAGTCCATTGCAGGACGAAAAGCCGACCGAGCGGAGACGATGACAACGAGCTGGAGATAACGAAGAGAAGAGGTGTCAGACAACTCGGTGGATTCTGATGCTGGATTGCGGGCGGAGGTTCGGGTGGCCCGAGCTTTTTCCTTTGGCATGCTTGGAGTACTGGGCTTGTCATAGCTTCATTTCTCCCACTCCCAGTCGTTCCGAGGTCGTTCTGAGGTCGTTTTACCGATGACGGACAATTCTCACATATATATTGGAACCGCCTTCGTGGCGGGCGTGGTCCTCTCGATAGCTTTCAAGGACCTGTTCTATCCGGAGCTCGAGGAGCGCATCAGAGAGTACCGTCGTCATCGATCTGCCAGATCGCTCCAGGACGCTTCTACGGATCCGCTTATTGCGAGGCATGGACCTCCCGCGATCGTAGAGGGAATTGAGGGCTGCATAGGAAATACTCCCCTGCTGCGAATAAAGTCTTTGTCCGATGCGACGGGGTGCGAAATCCTTGGCAAGGCAGAAGTACGTGAACCTGTTTTAAATGCTTGCTCACTCCTCGAGTCAATATCTAACACGGACCTAGTTTCTCAATGGAGCCGGCCAAAGCTCAAAAGACCGCGTGGCCTTGAGTATGATTGAAATAGTATGTGGTGTTCGCCGAATCCCATGATAGCCCTCTGACCCAGATCAGGCAGAGGAGAAAGGCCTATTGACTCCCCATTCGGGAGATACGGTCTACGAAGGTACAAGCGGCTCGACTGGCATCTCATTGGCGACATTGGCTAGAGCAAAGGGATACTTGGCACACATGTAAGCACTTTAGTCTTCTTTTGTGTAAATACCGGGGCTGACTTGATAACCAGCTGTATGCCATCTGACCAGGCCATCGAAAAGTCAAATCTACTCTTGAAACTAGGAGCAATCGTCGATCGCGTGCCGCCGGCTCCTATTGTAGAAAAAGACAACTTTGTCAACCGCGCAAGAGCACTTGCCCATACACATTCTTCTTCGTCAGACGGCTCGAATGGAAGAGGATACTTTGCAGACCAATTCGAGAATGAGGCAAACTGGAGGGCTCATTATAACGGCACCGGCCCCGAGCTTTACGCCCAGTGCAATGGGTCGATGGATGCATTTGTTGCAGGTGCCGGAACTGGAGGCACCATCTCTGGCGTCGCCCTCTTCCTCAAACCCAAGATCCCGAACCTCACCGTTGTGGTAGCCGATCCTCAAGGGAGTGGATTATACAATCGGGTCCGTTACGGAGTCATGTTCGATCCGAAGGAGAAGGAGGGAACCCGACGTAGGAGACAAGTCGATACTATCGTGGAGGGCATTGGAATCAACCGCGTGACAGCAAACTTTGAAGTAGGACGAGAGCTCGTTGACGATGCCGTGAGGGTCACGGATGCGCAGGCTCTAGCAATGGCTAGGTGGCTTGTGGAGAAAGACGGAATCTTCGTCGGGAGCAGCAGTGCTGTGAACTGTAAGAACCCTCCATCCATGATTGGGTCGCCGATACTCACATCCGACCTAGGCTTTGCAGCCGTAAAGACGGCTATGAAATTGGGACCCGGTCATCGAATTGTTACAATGCTTTCTGACTCGGGTTCAAGACATCTTTCGAGATTTTGGGCGAAAGCTGGGGACGTAGGTGGCGCTGTCGACACGAAGCTGGAGGACGTCTTGAACGCGAAAGAGGACCAGTAACGGTCTGACCATGCGTTTCGCGGCAAGACCCTGCTTATCTCGCCTTGCAAGAAACCCTGATCATTCGATTAAACCGTCCGATCGATCTGAGGCTGAATCTCATGCGGACATCACCTTGTCGCACTCGTCTCATATTCCAAAGGGCAACCCAAGGCTTTGATAAGGATACTGAACGAAGCTCGGATTCGCTGCTAGTAAGTAGGGGTTCCAAGCTTCTGTTTCGCCAGGCCACTCGTTGCTGGTAGGCTGCCCGAGCGGGCTTTCCTATGTACTTTCGCCATCGCCACTCGCCCAAAGTTGCAACAATTTGAATTCTACCTCCGCGTGCGACCTTCCCGGTAGTTCAGCACGGATCCCAGGCCAAGTGAGATCTGACTGGTCCTTGATTCTTGCTAATTTTCCCAGCTCGGCTTTTGACCAGGGCTTTGATGATTGAGGAGGATTCGCGTGGCGCTCATTCCAATGGCGACCAAACCAATCGTGCAGCTGAACGAGTTTTTTTTGAGGAAAGTGGTCCAGAATATCTTTCCACTTCATCCCCTCGGTCACCTTCATTCGGATGATTAGCCTAGCTTCGTCTGGTGCTATAACAGTCCTTCGTTTAGTTCCTGTAGGAGTTGATTCGTGGTTGGCGTCTTCCGAGTTGAGTCCAGGCGCCGGTGAATCTATCGAACGGCCACTGCGTTGAGTGATCATCTCTAGCTCCTTTTTCAGGTGGATGAGGTCATGTCCGCTGTCTGCAGGATCAGAAAGCGTGGCTTGCAAATGCGAGACATACTCTCCTTCGGTAAATGATCTTTTGCAGTAATTGCACGTATTTTTCGTACGGCTTGCCACGAAGGGGTCCCTGCGCTTCTCTCTGATGTATACGGCACCTTTCGGGGTCGGTGATGGCTCGTAGTCCTGTAACGGATCGTCGGACTCACTTCCATCTGGGGTATCTGCAAATGACCAGTCGCAGGCAACAGGCTTGGGGGGTTTATTCTTCCGCTTTTTCGGGCTGTCCTTTTGTTTTCTTCTTCTCGCAACATCAGTGTTACGTCTGGGCTGCGAGGGGAGAGCCCAGAGGGAACCCGCTCCAGGTGGAGACTGGGTGCGGATGGTAGTGACAATCGGTCTCGGTATAGATTTGTTCAGCATAGTTGGGGTTGTCCACTTTGGACTGATCTCAGGAACGCGCCAAATCGGATCCACAGCCTCATCGAGTCTCTCATTATGTTCGACCTCAGATTGGTTGGATTCTTCGGCGGCGCGAGTATTTGCTTTTTTGGTGACAGTCTCGCCCGTCCCGAGTTCCCGGGCGTGGGTGCCCTGAACACATAGCGCGGTATCTAACAAAGAATCCACACTGGACGTGTCATCGTCTTCAGCCTCCGACGTCGTGCTTGCCTTGTCGTCCGGCGTTTGCTGCGACTTTTTGGGCTCGAGTAGCATTTGTGATAGTCTGGATACCGCTCCGCGCCCAGATTGCTGATCCAAATCACTGTCGTCGGTTCTCTGCGTGTGATGGTGTCTGGAATTCTCCTCTTCCATGCCCGCGGCCGATGGATCCGGTTCCAATAGCCAGTCCTCAATGGTCGCAGCGTTGTCCTCCCCATCAATCGTGTGAAGATGCCCATTGTTCACAAGTATGTCCCCCGTCTGAAGATCGATCTCGTCACCGACATCTGTAAAATCCCGACCGTACTTTTCAAAGATCCCCTCGAAGATGGATTTCAGTCGCAGGTCGTTTTGAGCACGTGCAGCCTGTAAATCAACGTGACTCATATCGTCCTCGCTCTCGTTCTCGGGCTCTGGCGACAGAGACAGCCGTCTTTTCAATGGTCTCTCCATGTTTGCGCGCGGAAAGAACTTGGCATTTCAAAGCGAAAGGGCGTGAATTGGAAGGAAGGGCCAAAGTCGCGCAACTAAAAACTAGGATGCAAGGGCACAGCCTCTGAATCCAGTAAAGGGAGCTGCAACGCGGGAGTATTTTGGATGAATTTGGCTGCGACGGAGGTGAGATGGACGAGAGCGAAATGCTATAAAGTGCGAGCTGAATTAAGGCCAAACGGAAGAGCTGGAGGACAAGCTTTGGTTGCGCGAAATCCTAGAACAATGAAGCTGCACATTCGGAGAGAGAGAGTTAGGCTTGTTGTTGGGTCGGTCTGAGAAGTATGTTGTTGATCCAAGCCTATAGCAAAGGCGGCCACAAAAACATTAACTGCGGATCGCCGCATGACGTTCTCTGCCTACCTTCAAACCCCCATCAACCATCAACTGCAACAACATCCGCCCTTCCTAGTCTTCGGCCATGCCACCATAATGACCAAGGTTTACTCTTATTTCCAGCAAACATGTCTTGCCAAAAGTGTCGTACTCCTCTAAAGCTAGACGGCTCTCTAGAGTCGCTGAACCCGGCTGCATTCGATTTGCTGATCGGTAATAACCCTCCAACTCCTCGGAGGCATTCAGCTAACAAGGGTTGGCCAGGCTCTACAGGTAAAACCCTACCGGACCATACTATCGGCACTGCTCGATTATCATACCCACAAGAGCGCCGAGAGCTGTACGATCGAGTCTCGAAGAATGCGTCGCCGCCCGCATATCGGAGGTCAATACCAGCGCCCCGGCAGGCCGAGGGCAACCTGGCAACACAGCCACGACTAGGGCGAGGAGACAGTGGCAACATGTCTTTTGTTATGCTTACAGAGTCCCAAGTCGGTCCACCGCAGGCCATTGGAGTTGACAGCTCCTCGTCGAAAGCTAAGCGGGGTCACAATACCCAGAGTGATGAACATGGTCTGGAACATGGGTCGTTTGCAGACCAGGTCGAGCGCACAAGCCGATTATTTGAGGTTATCTCCTCCCGCTCCGATATTGATCATCCGATCTGCACAGAATGTACCGAGATGCTAGTCGAAGGCCTTCAACAACGCCTTGTAGACGCCACAAAAGAACGAGATGCATACGTAACATTCCTACGAAACCTGAACTCATCTGTCCCAACACAGGAGGAGATCGAGGCAGCCGAAAAGTCCCTAAAAGAAACATTGGAGGCTGAGAAGGCGGCATTTGCGGAACTTGTTGCCCTAGAGAAAGAGAAAGCTGGTTTGGATGACGAAATCGCGCAGCTGGAGGAAGAGTCTCGTCTTTTGGATCTCGAAGAGGAAAAGTTCTGGCGCAATCGAAACGCATTCTCTTTGGTCCTTGCCGATTTCCAAAACGAGCGGGACGCGTTAAATATGAGATACGACCATGATTCTCGGCAGCTCGAAAGGCTGCAAAGGACCAATGTCTACAACGACGCATTCTGTATCGGCCACGATGGCTTCTTTGGGACAATCAATGGCCTTCGTCTCGGCCGCCTGGCCAATCCGTCAGTTGAGTGGCCTGAAATTAATGCCGCCTGGGGTCAGACAGCACTGCTTCTAGCCACTATAGCAGATAAACTGAACTTTCAATTTCAGGGCTACCGGATGAAACCCATGGGTTCCATGTCAAAAATCGATAAATTCGAATATTCACGGCCGTCACCCGCGCAATCGACAGTCGATGGGGGCAATGCAGTTGTCAACATTGTCAGCCTTGAGCTTTTCTCTTCCGGCGACCTACCGCTCCATATTCCATGGATTCACCGCCGGTTCGACACAGCAATGGTGGCCTTCCTAGACTGTCTACGCCAGCTTGGAGAGTTTGTGGAAAAAACTCCAGCGCCAGCGCCCTCCAATCGTCGAGGCCAAGCGGGTGCTGTTGTACCCGGATTGAAATTGCCATATGAGATCAAACGGGACAAGATTGGCGATGCAAGCATTAAGCTGGGGTTCAACCAAAACGACGAAACCTGGACACGGGCTTGCAAGTACACCTTGACATGTTGCAAATTCTTGTTGGCGCATGCCAGCAATGTTGCAAGTGCAGGCTCGAGTAGCTCAGCCGCTGTCGCGGCTGCAGCCGTCACTGCTGGAGAGCAAGCTAGACTGTCAATGGCTAGTCCTTCTAAGAGATAGAGGTCCGGCCTATATCATCGCCCACAAGTCATCTTGGGCTTCCCGAATTTGGTTGTCGGCATGGCTGCTAATCCGCTTTTGAGCCCGCCGACACATACCAGGTGGCGAGTTCTATAAGAGTTGTATCTACTAGATCACGTATCTTAGATTGCTGGCCTGGGTTCGGTGAGTACCTTATCAGCTCGAAGTGCACATGTACCACTAGGTCCACTACCACCCTTGCGTATTCCCTCCCATAATAATTATCGGCATGGTACGACAAGCGAGCTCCCTTTTCCGCGAAAATGCAAATAATCACCACCATGGCACACTAGCCGAAGAGAGTCTGGCAAGCCTTTTCTTTTCTTTTTCTCCTGACGCCCCGCCACCATGTCATAAAATGTCCGAGGATCTTGCTTTCACGGAGCATGGACCAGCAAGCATTGCGTTTGGGCCCCGGGGCTGGCAATTTCAAATCATCAACAAGAAGAAATCAAGTTATCCCGCGCCTGAGTTCTCCTTGACCTCTTGGCTTGATCCCGCCGCCAAAGTGACAAAGGCCAGCGACAGGCAGCGGGAGATCATCATTTAGTTGCCTAGGCCTAGACACAGGCTTGTAAGTAAAAGGCAAAGCGTGTCCTTGATGGTTGCTAGTCGCGCAGGCCGGCTTCCTTTTGCGGCGATAGACCTATGTATACGCCTCGCCTTGGATGGTTGGCTCGCATCATCCCACGCTCGCGGTCAACTCTCCCGCCACTTCCAGAAGTTGGCGGCTTGCAGCACGGCGCCCTCCCATTGTCTCGTGGCCATTCGAAGCAAAACAAAAAGGAAACCCCGCGGAAAAAGAAAGGAACAAATGGAGTTGGAGAAGGATGGGGGTTGCCGCAGAAGAACAAAAAAAAAAGTCAACAGAAGAAAGATAATGCTGCAGCCACAACTTTCCTGACATTCTACGGACCCATGGCCCCGGGTCTATGAATGCTGTCCAGATCCATCACAGTCAACGTTGATCCTACACGTCAACTAGGAATGTTTCGGGCCGCTCCCGGACACACGAGGCTCGTTTAGTCTATTCGCTCCTCCTGCGACGCGCCAGTTTCGATTGAATCAATGATCCCTGTGGCCATTCTTTCATCCGGAAATGTTCGTACATGCGGTCCGTCTGTGACTGAGGCATGCATCAGGCCCAACATTCCGTCCCAAATCACATTCCTGGGCGGGGGCCATCGAGATCAGCAGTTTAGCACCGCTTTGGAAGCGCTCAAGATACAATTATCAAGGTTGCCTGTTATCCTGTCAAATCAGATCTTGGTCTCACATTCTTCCTCGCCTTGCGATACTCCGTACTTTGGCCATCTAAAGTCCAGCCTCCACACCGAACACCTCAGCCTTCCGCTAGGTATCCGCCTCTCGTTCAACGGCTCTGTTTGGGGTCCGAAAGTAGCAAAATCTTCATACACATTATTACAGACTTGTCAAGAGCAAAATCAACAAGCGACGTCAGGGGGTGTCGCCCAGGATTGTCTGACGGCCTGCGGGCATCAGAAAGGCGTCAAAGTTCCTCTTAGCAAGCCCATGATGCAATACCATGCCACACCTGGACTTCGAGAAACGATTCCGAAGCATAATTTGGAATTGTTTCAAAGACAATCATGACAATCCATCTGCGCATCCACGGGTCTGGCTCGCAGTTTTTGAGGCTAAGAAATTAGTGGAAGTTAGAGATCTGGCTAATTTCATCCCTTGCGCCTCAGCCAGATGCTCTTTCATGGTTCATCCATTCACCAGCCTGTTTAACAGACATTCGATGAGAGAAAGTCTCCACAGTGCACAGCTTGGGGCACGTTGCTATCGTGTACAGTAGCCTGACCAGCGAAAGCCACTACTCGTCCATTGTCGGGAATGCGTCTGCAGGAGTCTGGAGAACCAAAAGTCTAGCTTGTAGCATATGCATTTCCCACACTGACCGCCGCACCAAGAACGCCGAGTCAGGAAAGGAGAGGCAGGGTCCACGGTTTGACTTCTTGAGGAAGAATGACATACTCAAGCCGAAGGTAACTATCGCCATTTTTATTCTGTGCAAGTACTTCATACTCGAGGTACAGCATATAGCATACAGCATACAGGTACTAACCCAAGTAGTACTCTAGTATCTGACCCCAAGATATGAGGTACTGCAATGCATTAGCCCACTAACATGGTGGCTACACTACCCATGCCAATCTCATCCGCCCTGCCCTGCCTGCCCTGTCCGTTCTCTGCCCCCAACTTCCATGACAACTACGCATAATCATATCTGGCACGAGAACCAGGGTCCCGCATCACAGGTCGATCGACCGGGAAGCAAGCCGGTTGGCCATCTCTACCTTTGATTGGGCATGTGCTACCTCAGCGCAGTCCACTGACGGGTCGCTGGGCCACTGTGGGAGGAGAAAAATAACTAGCTGGGCATTCCAAACGGTGGGAGATATATTGAATGGATCGAGCTAATGTCGTGCCTTGAGTTTTTTTTGTCAACGACGCATGCAAAGTACTTTGGGCTCACTAGTATCTTGGACCGGATGCAAGTGCTGATATCCGGAGGTGTCAAGAATGGGTATTGGTGGACTGGGGATGTGTGAGAGAGGGAGGGAAAACTAGGCGACGTGGCGAGATGGAGTCATGAATATGCCTGGGGTCCAGTATGGGATGTCGAATTAATATTGCAGGGCAGAGTGGCGGACAATGTCCGGATGGGGGCGAATGGAGGTCCGATGGAGGGTCAGTCCAGGGCGGCTACATATACTACTAGAAGAACAATAGAGCAGCTCATCAACATCGTCACGGGCCAAGGTTTCCTCTCGCGAAACCTGAAGATTCAAGTTGCAATAACAATAAATGAATCATAACATAGAAATATCACCCAGAGAATTAATAAAACAAGAAAAGGAAAGACCAGCGAGTCAATCGATGGGCAGCGCCACTGGGGTCTGTGTTCTGGAGCTCAGGCCTCTTCTTCACATTTTCTTTCACAGTGCACACCGATCAACGGATTGTGTCAGCTTCTTTCCGCCATCGAATCTGTTTCGATTTGCGAAACCCTCTTGAGATTATCTCGATATATTACCGCGCCCAAGGGGAGGAGGCAGAAAAGCGGGCAACCTCGAATTGAAGCAATTAAATTGCTGATGAACAGTGGGTGGATCCCCGCGTCGACAGGTTTGCGGATACTCCGGGCCAGAAACACACCAGACACAGGCCAGACCAGATTGACAGGCATGGCGACTGAGGAGCCGCAGGAACAAGGGCGACGTCAACGGTGCCTAACCCGTCCCTCACGGGCGTGACGATTTTGTCGAGAAACGGTAAGCTGAGCTGAGCTGGCGTTGGTCGAAAAGTACATCTCGTTCTCCCGGCTGCCGTCTGGGCTGACAAGGCTCGGAGTAGATTCCCCTCCCGAGAGAAAACTGACGAGCATATACTTTGCAAGGGGAGTACATCAGAAGTAAATAATGGATCGAGGAGCACATCGCATCGAGCCCAGTGGCGAGGATGCAATCATCCGATCCCTGTCATCCATCGAAGCGGACGAGGGAATGGGATGCTGCTGTCAGACCAGGCGGCGCAGCAGGCGCAAAAAGAAAAGAAAAAAGCTAAACCCCAAAATTGGAAGGAAAAAGCAAAAGCAACGGTATGTATCGTGAATCTCCGTATTGACTGGTAGCGCAGCGAGAGAGATCGTTGACCTGCGCTACTCAGCTTGGGATGGCAGGAGAGTTGCACCTGCAGAAATGGCGCACGCCGGGGCTCCTGCACGGTTGGTTGGAGATCATAATATCTACCTTAATCGGGTGTGTCTTTTCCCCCCTTTTCCCTTCCGTCTCGTCGAGGCAGAAACTTTGGACTGTCATCCATCCCTTCATCTCTCTTCTCACCGAGATGAGCCTGCCTATGCAGTGTTTGTTGTGCGCAGCGCGGCTGCTTTGCGACAGACAGGCTGCCCAGCCCAGCACAAGTACGAAGGGAGCAAAAGTACACAGACCTCTCCGGCACGACGCTGATTGGGCCGGGGAAGCATGGATGAAGCCATCCAGCAGCAGGTCGCTCCAAAAGGCAGGCGCTAGTCTGAACTATTCAGTCCACCGCGATTCCACTCTGGAGCCGAAGCGTACTTTGTCTAGCGCCCGTCGTTGACTTGTTTCCGGCCGCGAAAGGCGAACCACCCGGTTGCCTGTAGAAGTACCGCTTTGTCGAGGTCGTGTGTCGTCTGTTGCGATGATGGTCATGTCAAGTGTCAGTTGGATGTTTCAGTAGAGAATGTTGGGAAAATCAAAACAGAAAAAAACGAACAGGGAAAAAAACAACTTCATACATGCATAACTCTGGCTATTTATTATTGACAGCGAAGGATTAACTGTCTCTATTCCTAATCCCTTAGAGCGAAAACAAGGGCAAGTATTAATATTAACTGTGCCGGCGACATCATCGCGAACAAACTGGCCGTGGTTAGCGATCTGGGTTCTGATGCTGCTTTTGCTTCTGCTTCTGCGCTGCTGCTCTGACCACCTCACAATCGACGCCTTGACTCTCTTGACGATTCTCCTACATAAGATTCTCTCGCCGGTTTCCGCTGGTGCATCTTCTCCCTTCCATCTCTCTTCCTTTCTTTTTGCTCGCCGCCCCCCACCTTCCATCCCCAATTCGTCTGCTTCCATCCGCGCTCCTCGTGAGGCTTCTCCAGATCCAGACTATGTGTGATAGTCTTGTCTCCAAGAGCCGTTCATGATGGAAGGTTCCATCCCTTCGTCCTCCAGCCTCTCCACTCCCACTCCTACTCCTACTACTTCTTCCTCCTCGCCCGCCGCCCCTCCCGTCTTTCGTCCTCGCAGGTCTGAGGACTGGAACAAATACCGAGCCACCATTGAAACTCTGTATCGCGATGATCAACTAAAGTTAAGAGATGTCAAAAGAATTATGGAGCGTGACCATAAATTCGTTGCCTCGTACAGTTCCCTCTTTCTCTACCTACCCCTCCTCGGCATGTTTACTACCCCATCGGTATATCGTATTGCCTTGTACCCTCGTGTTCTTCCATATCCTCAATATTCTGATCATTCAATCGATGCTTACACTTTCTGCAGCGAAAAACAATACAAAGATCGACTGGCAGCGTGGAACATCCGCAAAAATATCAAAGCCAAAGAAGTCAACGTTATGATCCGCAAGCAAGCAAAAAGGGCTGCCAGAGGCAAGCAAACCGTCTTTCGAGTGGCTGGCCAGAAAGTCGACACCAAACGCATTGCTCGCTTCCAACGTAGATACCAAAATGGAACGTCTTGGGATGCTGGCCACGAGACCCCCGGCCGTCCTGTTGAACCTCACCGAGAGAGTCCAGAGCCAGGTGCGCCCTTTACGACTTCCATTTTCCAGCAGCGATATGCTGACGTTCGGACAGCAACACCATCAGATATGAGTTATTACACGCCAGAGCCAGATGAGAGAGCAACAACACTATCTCCTCATCCCGATTCACATTCACAGCATTGTGAGAGTTCCGTTGCTTTTCTATTAGGTGACAAGACGTCGCAAGGGACTCCCGTTAATCAAAGGAACCGCGCAGTCGATACCCTAGATTCAATCCAAGATTCAGAACAAGACGATACAAACTCGATGACCCTCAGCCCATCGACCACCACCGGTACCAGCACCTATCCATACAATTTCCCGGACGAGGAGTACTCTGTGTCTGAGGAAGGCGCCTTGTCGAGGTTTCAGAAACGTCTCATGCTGCTAAATGAAAAACTCGAGCATGACACGGCACACCTTTTCCCGATTGAAGAGCCAACCAGATACTCATCGAAACCCGACAACACCTTTCTATCTTGATGGTAGACCAGAAAGAAAAAGAAAAAAAAAAAAAAAAAAAACTCCCGCTATCCTTCTGTCCCTTTATGTGCGTGATTCTTTGGCCAGAGTATGTCGCCCGGTTGGTCTACTTTTTTCTGTAATGTTACGACCCCCTTCCGAGGTGTTCTGTTACCTGCTCGTGGCTCTTGGTCCTCTCTCTGCTCCCTCTTTTCTCTCTCAGAATGTGTCGAATATAGAGCATGTATGACCTTGATTGTCTTGGGAAATAAGGTTGAATGTAGGTTGGATATCCCTCTAAAAAAGAGGATGATGAAGAAACTTTGATGGGGACGAGTGATTTGTTTGCATTCTATCTGTCTTGGATGATACCCTCATATCTGATGTTCTTGTTTATAGTATATCTCCCCCGCTTTCCACCTTCCACACGAGCCCAAGCATCATGATCTGGACCAGATCGCAGTACGGTAGATCACATTACGCCATCATGCACCAGACTCTACCGACGCGCAGAATCTCGCCTCTGTCGGGCATCGATCTGGCAGATCCCCTGTCGGTCTAGGTCTCTTGGTCTTCATTCCGAACCAAGATCGCTTCCCGTCTCCCCCTTTCGACTTTGAAGCCTTGAGACGAATAGCCGACCCACCGAATCGCGGGTAAATTGCTTTTTTCCCAGCCTCAACGGAACGAGGATCCGGATCCTAGTGCTGATTACAGCGCGCCGATACCTGCCAATACCGCATACAAGCTGGGGACTGTCCTCGATCTGGAAAGCCACAACCTTGTTGCGAGTTCCAATGGGCAATGTACCAGTCAGCAAACGACCCACCAATGGCCGTTTGTTTCTCCTGCCCTGCGCTTTGCTAGCCTACCATTCCTGCGGTGACTCGTCTACTGAGAGTCTGATCGCGAAACTCGAACAAGGCAGCCTATCATATCGGGAGTAAAACATGATCAAGCACGGACCAACCCATTGGATGATCCACTCAATCGGCCCTGGGTATCAAAGCGCAGAAAGCATATTGCCATCACCTCGGAGACTAGGCCGCTAGACCGTACCCATAGGGTCGCCGACTTGTCGGTCGCCGGTCACCGCCAGTAAATCCTTGGACAGCCAAGGCCAGGCCTCCAAGCGGGGCACACTCAGTTGCAGCCCTGCGTTACCCCATAGAACTGCGGCAAACACAGGAACCGGAGCTAAGAGTCTTGGAAACCAGCTCGATACGTTGAGGTCTATCGAAGATGTTGTACAGAGTACGCGACGAAGACTCCGTCCGGAGCACCAAGCGTAGCTCTTACGTCCGCGCGGCACGAACCAGGGGAACACGACCATATGGAGAAAGGGATGTGGGGAAGATCCGTGAATTCCAAAGATGAAAGAAGGCCTGGAGATAGATTCCGGCACGAATCGGACGCCATCCCACGAGCCAGGGACGAAAAAAACGGAAAAAGAAGCCTCGCCTTTGAGTCATTGAATCTTGTCGCGCGACCGAGAGTTTCGACCTGAAAATCAGATCTCATTGGCGCCAGCGCCAATTCCAATCAAGCGAAGGAAGAGATCTCGCTTTGACATGCATGCTGCTCGTTTTTAAATTCTCCAAGACAATGTCACAATCTAATTCAGTGGGGCTTGGGCTCATGCGTGCTCTCTTCCAGGGTCATATTGTGGTGGTGGGATATTTTAGATCGCGTCTCAAGCAACAGTTCCATTGGAGACACTACGTACTCCCTTCCAGCTCCTAGTCCAGACCCCAACTCTTCCCCATCCTAACTGAATAACCGAGTTGTCCATGTACGACTGGATGTAACGCGATACAAAAAATTTCTATAACTCTCTTCTTTGATGACTAAAGAAGGGGCATCCGACTAACTATCACGTGCACAATACGATGCTGTCGCAAGCAGCTATGCAATGTGATGTCAATCGCCACTGCCTGCGCACGAAAGAGAAGCCATTTATTGTTCTAGATTATCGAGGTGTGACAGCCTCCTCCTCCATTGACTAAGATTCATGTCTTATCCCAAGTCCCTTTGCCAAGAATAGTTTATTCACCCGTTCCTTGTACAACTGTACTTTGGCCCATCCGGCTTCCGGAGTCCAGAGAAGACAAGGGTGAAAAGAAGTCAGCGAACAATGCCTTGTATTCGACCTAAATAATTCGATCTCCCGTGAAGAAAACCAGAAAGCCGGTTTTTTGATTCGGCTTTTAGGCAGCGGAAACAGCTGACAGATTCCAGTGAGCCTCATGAGGCGACATTCTTCAGAATTATTTATAATCTATCGCCGAGCTGTGAGTCTGACAGCAGGGGCGGTTCCGTAAAACTCATCCATATGTTTCAGCATCTTCAGATTCTGTTGGCTTCCTTTTGAGTTGCTCAGGGAATGCCGAGTTTCCTATTTTCGAGCCACTGTTTTCCCAGCGCCTATTTATAGGTCTTGCGGATTGGAGATTGAGTCTTCGCCCGCCGCCACACTGCTTATCCTGGAACCTGGAGTCGAGTCTCCCCACAGTCCATCCAGGGACTGTACCGCCACAAGTATGAGCTAACCCGCGATGGGCCCATGTCATCTTATCAGTTGAAGACTGACTGACAAGGAGATCGAAGGCGCAGCATCAGGGTGGCCAGAAGTGATAGGCTTTCGATACCTCTGTTTCGGGAGGCCGATCGGCACGCTCACTGGCCAGTGCAATCTGCTCCTCAATCCTGCAATATGGCTGAGTCCAGCCGTCACTGACAATACACCACTAAGTACTGAGCGGCTGCCGGCGAATCCCTTAATAATCATCGTCAGAGGCGGCGGGTATTGCGCTGTCAGTCTCACTGACCCTGCTTTTCTCCTTTCCGATCGACTTGCCTTTTCGTGCTATTCTCGTCGGTCGACTCGTGTTCTTCTCATGCGACTTTCGAGACGAAGAGGATGAAGAGGTCCAGTCTTACACATTTTCTGCCCCTGGCTCTCGTCCCTCTGGCGAGGGCCCAGGGTACCGTTCAGGATCTATGGAATCTACCCGATTACCCCGACTATACGACGTTTTTCACGGCCGGGGATACGGTAAATATTAGCTGGCAACCGGGCCTTGTCGACCAGTTTCCGTACTTTTGCGGTGACTGCGATATCCTTAATGTTGATTTATGGTTGACGGCCAGCGCATATACTCGGCGGTTGGGTGGTGAGTCGTTATACTTCACCATCCAAGCATACTTTTTTATGTGCGAGCCACCCGCTAACATCTTCCCAGCCGGCCTAGATGTCAACAGAACAATGTGGTTCAATTGGACCATCAACCTTGACAACCAAGACGTCGAAGAATCAAGGGACTGGACACTCCGCTTCCTCCCCGCCGACGTACAATGGGGCGACAATGACCAGGAAATCTCCTCCGCGAAGTTCAATATCAACCCTGCCCCTGAAGAAGACGAACCCTCCTCCTCATCTACGCCTTTACCAACTTCAACAACAGCAACCGTCCCTGGCACACCGTCCGCAACCACCCCAGGAGACTCAGGGAACGGCGACGACAGCGACGATAGTCTCTCTACAGGCGCCAAAGCCGGTATCGGCGTCGGCGCCGGCGCCGGCGGTCTCATCATCGTCGCCCTCGCATTCCTCCTCTGGCGACGACTGCGCGCCCTACCAGCGCATAAGGCGCCGGGCGCTGATAATACCGCGGGGGCCTACAACGATTTGCATCATCCGCCGCCGCCCGGCGTAGAAACCCAGCAGCCCGAGGGCTACTTTGCAGGGGCGGGGATGGCGAAACCTCCTGCTGCGTTTGCGGGGCCGCCTGCGCCGCTAAGTGAGTTGCACGGGGATGCCGCGACGGAAATGGATGCCGGTGCTGATGGGCAGAGGGTACCTGCTGAACTTGATGCCGGGACACAGGAGACTGGTGCCCAACGATGAGATGCTCAGATGAGTCTACCCGGCTGGCCGAATGGATGCAACCTGCGAACTATGATCATGATACCACCTATTTGATACCATTTCTCTGGATGTCGGTGGCTATGTAGATGTACGGAGTGGTGTGTTTGGATTCCTTGTCTACTATCTGCGTTTTGGCGTGAACCTCTAATATCCAGCATGCATCTTCATTGCTATAATATACTGCTATTTTTCAGCATATAAATGTGTTCCCATATCCACAACCGGAACCGGATGCAGGAGGAAAAACTCGAAGGTGAAGAAAACTGGCTTGATTACTGTCTTCTTTCTCATTATTTCGAGTCTTGGAGTCTAAGACCCCTGTCTTGAGTTCCCACACACAGCCGCGGCAATTTCGACCCCAAGCTTGGAGTTGAGAGGAATCCAGACCTCGTCGGCTCATCCTCAGACTTCAACAAAGTTCAACCCCAACTCCGCTCCGCTAGCACAAAAAATGGAGCATTACATATCCACAGCAATTTCCGCCCCCACGCCGGGAGACCCCGACCAACAAAAGAGCCAGACAATAATTGAACAATCCCAAACCAACAAGCACACTACCCCATGACAGGCCGGACTCGTGTCTCAAAAGAGTCGAGAGACCAGCAACTAAAGCAAAGCTTTGACTTCCTAGTCCCAGTGGTCACGAGCTAGTAGATCCTGATCTTATTAATATTGGCAGCACATGGAAAGTTGGAAACGGCAGACATTCCTGGTTCCAACTGATACTGACGTGCTTACGAAGGAACCAATCAGCGTCCGAGGTGAGCTTGGCCTGACTCGCGAGAGTTGCGGCTTGCTAAGCTATCTCAGACGGAGGTCCAGAGAACAGAGCTTTCGAGGTCCAGTGTGGAATTGGATTGTTTACTCTTCGAAGATGGCATTTCTTGAGCGCACATGATTATCAAGCTTCTCGAGTGCTCAACTTGAGCATCTATTACCGAAACGCAGTCCATGACGTCGGGATGTGTGATAGTGTGTTTGCTTTTCGAAGAGAATAGCCGTTATATACCTATGATTATACCAGAAATCAAGTTGCCTTGTACATAAGGGCACTTGATAAGACATGAATATATGTATACTCTCTAGACTCCCAACTAGGGGATGATACACAACACGCTGTTCAAGGAAGACAGATGTTCAAAACAGAATATTTACAGCAACGTCCAATGCGCCATGCGCGCAACCTAGGAACCTGGTTATGGGGCTGGGTTGTCTCGAAGACTCAAACGATGCTGACTAAATCATTTGAATATCAACCAGAAAGACAACCCTATAATCTCCAGCAATATATAGACATGACTCGCCTGGCATCAAGCCTGGTATTCCTTCGCCAGCGATCCAGACCCCAGACGGGAGACAGCAACTCTTCACGGGAGGTAGTCTGTCCTACGGAGTACGTCCGCTTCAGAGTCTAGACTCTGGCTTCGCCGCTTTGGACCTCAGACCTTCGAACTCCTTCCCCACAGCGTCAGCTCGATTCCATACTCTTGATACACTAGTGAGTAGTGACTAGAGCACGAAGCTCTCACGAAGCGGATTCCAGGCGTTTGGGGTGCGGATAGACTTGGGCCTAGGCGTTCGTCCAACCGGGCATTGAACTGCGCAGAATTGTTTCCAATATGGGCGTAGGTAGAATCCTTCGGAATTCGAGACCTTTGCTAAGCTTACCTGGGGGTCACCAGTATGGCGGTGTATCCGAGGAGGACAAATGAAGATGATACCAAGGTTGTATGGGTAGGCTGGCAGCCTGGGAGACGACAGTGCACTTTTAAATCAAATAACGTCTAGCATGGATATCATATAGGTAGCTATAGCCTCCTCGCCACGGAACATACAACAAAAGGAGAACCATGAAAGTGCTGTACAAGTCGCTGAAACAAGATGAAAGACGAAAGAAAATGGCGATTATGATAAAAACGAATTCGTGGCATCCACCTGTGCTGTTGTAGTTATGCCGAATCATGTTCCACAGTTCGTAACACATAGAACCTGAACGAAGATGGGGAAAAGAAGATGGAGGGAGGGTGTCACGGTGTTTGGTCAATGTTCATGAGTAAAAGGCGCTCTTTTGGAAACTCTCCGGGCTGATGTCGCCCATTTTACCCTTGAGTTCAGGCTTCTGTGCTGCGGCGGAAACCTCCCCGGTTACCTGCGCTTGCATCGTGTTACTGCGGCTGCTCGCCTCGCTGCCGGATGTGATCGCCTGCTGTTGGGGTTTGCGCTGGATTGTCTCTAGGTACGGGCCTGGAAGGTACCCAACCCGACCGTCTCGCGCCCGGCAACGCCACCATTCCGAGGCATTGCCCATCGGGTCTGATTTGCTGAGAACGGCAACAATGTCCCCCTTCTTCACCGCTAGATCAATGCCGTTGGTCTCTTGGGATTCGGGGGTATAGTCATAGAGCACCCGGCAGAAATCCAGTTTAGCCGGGTCAAGAGAGCCTTGCGTGGGTTCGCCGTTGGGGCCGACCATCATCTTCTGGCGTTGCTCCTCTTGTGAGCGGGCAAGTGCCTTGATAAGCTTGCCCATCAGGTATGGAAGACCGAACAGCGCGACCAGGAACATCAAAAAGGGCTTTCTTGACGGTCGTGGAGGGGCCGGAGAGCCATCTGGGAGTACCGAGCGGCCGCCCATGAAAGCAGCAAACGCCGCAGGTGTAAGTGCGGTGGCATCAGCCGGTGGTGGGCGACCGGTGATTTTAGCAATCAGTGTCCTGAACCAGCGGATGATTGTGAAGATGCCCAAAGCAGAGCCGAGAGTGTTGCGTAGGTTTCCAAACTGCTCCGCGACAGATACCATGGCTGAATACGTTAGTTTTGAAAAATGGCAAGTCAGGAATGGTAAGTCAGACGATAGACTCACCAAAGAACGAGCTATGCGTCGCCATATACGTGCTCTCGAGCATCTGAGCGAATCCACCAAACGCCCCGACAATGCTCTCAATCATCTGGAACGTCGCCTGAGTGCTCTGGCTGAACGAATTCGTCAAGCTATTCGGATCATTGGGATCACCGGGCATGCCACCGCCGTACATCCCCCCGTACCCGCCCATACCACCGTACATGCCTCCGTACCCTCCATAGCCACCGTACATCGAGCCCATGCCGCCAAAACGCGAATATGGCGAAGAGTAACTGCCATAACCGCCCATTCCACCGTATGGAGATGCCCCGAATCGCGAGGCTCCGTACGGTGAATAAGCCGATGCGTTCTGGTTCGCAACTGTGCTGAGTGTGCTTGGTCGGGTGGGGAGAGAGGGGGCGGTTGATGTTGTGGAGGTTGCTGCGGTCGGGGCCGCCGAAGTGGTTGCTGGGGTCATCGCGGTAGAGGTCGCGGTCGCGGGCGCCGATAATGCAGTGGTTCCTAAATCCAAATTGTGAGAAAGAGTTTTCTCGAACTTGAAAGAAAACTGTAAACTCTTACCTGCGGTTGCGCCGGCTCTTTCCCAGGGTTTGGGTGGCGAAACAGACGCCATGGAGAACGAGGAAGACTCAGTGCTGCATGAAGTGTAGTGGCGAAGGATGGAACCAGCTTGAAGGCCTAGATGGCTGTGAAATCTCTGTCAAACAAAAAGGCGACAGAGCAATAGTGGTAATAGGGGTATGAATCTGGGGAAGAAACGTGGAGGGAAGATGATGGCAACAGTCAAAGATGAATGTGACAAAGCGAGCCGAGCGGTGGAGCAAAATGAGGTTGGAGCGAGCGTTGGCTGCATGTGGCCGGAAATGCCGAGGCCCCGAGGACACTCCAGTTGCCGACGGGTGCGCCGCCGATCGAGAGGACTCCAGATTATTATTATTACTAAAGAAATCATTTACAGTGAGAGTCACTAGGAGGAATATAGGAGTATTATATCATGCTGGATTTTGTATCGAGATCCCTATCTGGTATTTACAGTGCAATGCAACCCACCCCGCCTAAACGCCACAGATCAAATAATATCTTGACAATGCAACCATTAGAGCTCATCGTGCCCGCGAGATTCTCGCTTTGGCAATCGAATCTTCCAAGCTCTCGGTGGGACAGGAAGACCTAGCCAATAGCTCCAGAGACGGTTCATTTCGAGGACACCAAGCTCGAAACTGCAAGCCGGTTAGTAACGACATTCGAGGTCTAGAATAGTTCCACTTACATTGTCTTTGGTAGATTGTACCAGCTCTTCAGCACATAGACATAGGTATCCCATACCACCGCGAACTCGGCCTTGACGTCGTCCCAAACGCCATCCGATGGACGTCGGTTTCGAGGCCGCTCCCATGGACGTTCCTGGCCAATGTACTCGTAGTCTTCGTCGGTCTCCCCTTCGTAGTAAAACGTCGAGCCTCCGTCCTTGACTAAACGTCTCTCTCCCTTGACTCCCGCGTGGCTCTTCCCTGCCGTTGATCCGGCCGGGATAGCGAAGACCTGCCCATCGGAGACTTCCATGGCGCGGTGGAAACTCCGGACTGCAGCAATGCTGTGGGATATGCGGGCCAAAGTGTTTACCAGGGCCACAAGTTCGGTCCGTCGTAGAGGCGGGTTCTCGCCGTTTTTGGTTTCGTCGTACTCGAAAAGGACCTTCAATGCGGTTCCATAGCCGTTGACCTGGAGTTTACCCCAGAGGCGGCACTTGTCGCATCCTACGCAGTCCATCAATCGACTCACGTTGCGGAATCGGTTGCGAAAGTCTTCCTTTAGTCCTATGGTGCTCGGATCCTGGAACATGACATTCTCGTCGAAGATCTGGGGTCGCTCGGCAAGAGTGGAGGTCAGAAGCGAGACCTTTTCCTTGGTCTCTTGGTCCTGTGCCGGATCGCTGATACAATATGTGTAGCCCTCGAGATGCTTTCGCAACTTGGACACTGCGCGCGACACCAACGCATAGTTGAAGTAGAGGTTCGAGATCCGTTCCGGGTGGTCGTGAAGTCGGTCCTTGAAGCATTGCAGGTTGGGATGCCACTGCCCCGTGGTCTTGTTCAGATAGTCCCAGCACAGATGCGTCGAGATAGACGCATGCATTCCACTAACGACTCGGTGAAAGACCCGCTTCTCAATACACTCGTTGTCTAGTGGCAAGATATCAGGCCGCTTTGACTCCTTCTGAAGGACGTTCCGAAAGTCCTGAACAGCCTGAAGCCCACTCGCCGGGGGAGAGGGAGAGAGATCAAGCTCAGGAACCGGTTTGAGAAAGCAATTCTCGCGATAAATCGCATCCCAAACCTGGTTCGCACCGGGTCCAGCGTACCCAGTGAATCGCTCCGGGTTATCCACCAAGCTCACATAGTCGCCCTTTCCACTAGCCCCCTCGTCTTCGGGGACACAGTAGTCCCGGTCATCGCATTCGTCATCGTACTCGACCACGCAGCTCTCTCCGACGTTCTCCCCTAGCATCCCCTGTAGCGGTCGATCCCGCGGTCTCTGGTTTTGTTGCTCGCGGCCAGGATGCCCTGCCTTGGGGCCTTCGAGTTTGCTCAGCTCCTCCGCTCGCCACGTCAAGGGAATATCCTCCTCCGAGTCTATTGTGTTCACCGCGCACGCAATATTCCCGCACATGCTATCGGCATCTGACCAAAATGGACATTCTTTGTTAAAGAGGTTGAGGCGGTAATAGGAGAAGAAATCCGTTTCTTGCGTGAGGGACTGGAGGAGGGAGTATACTTGGTCGTTTAGGGCGTCGATAGTATGGTAGGAAACACAGGCGTCCGAGACCATGGCCTTGGGATCGATCTGGTGAAATTTGGTCTGTTAGCGTGCGCAGCTCTATACGAGACTTGGTAGCTTACCGCGCAAGTGAGATGATCATGTTGCATCGACGATTGCTTGGAACTTTCGCCGTTCGCCACGGTCATGAAACCGAAGACGGCCAGGTAGAAGACTTTGGCCGCAGAAGGCATTTTGGACGCCGAGATCGAAGCTCAGGTCGACAATTGCAGCACCAAAAGTAGAGAATGAACCAAGCAAATACCAACAAGGAGAAGCCTCGCCGCGGATTCACTTGAAAAGAGTGTGTTGAAAGTGAGGCGTGGCCATATAACTTTAGAGCTGGTAACAAAAAGGGTCAATTGAGGCAGAAGTAGGTCGCATATTCGAGTACAGAGAGATAAAGAGAAGTAACGTAATGTGGCAACACGAAAGGAGTGACAGCTCTGGGTTTGAAAGTGGACAAGCTGTCCTTGGTGGCGGAGTTTTTGTATGGGGAGATTCTGAGACCAGAGATCATCCGATCGGTTTCTTATTGATAGACTGATGAATACTTGGCTACTTTTATTGATGACAATATCGCCCCGACTTGAATTTTATTGAGGACACTCTGTCAACTAACCACTATTCACTCTTTTCAAAGCAGCAATATTCTCAATCTTCTAAGGTTGTTCCTCCGCCTCATCCGGGAGACTGGTATCTTCCCATTATTAATCAGCTACTCTTATCGTTATCGGCCCCTTCGGCATTCCCCAGGTCCCTGGCCTCTCGAACATACTGTACTGCTACGAGTCGAGGACAAGTACGGAGTACCTAACCTTGTGATACTCTTCAATTCTCTGGGAGTCCCTTGACATCTCCATTCTCGGCAGGTACCAGCGGCAGCCGACTTAGGTACTCTTTCGCACACTCAAGCTTGAAACCTCGCTAGGATTGGCCACAGGCAGTGCCATTTCTAGGGATTAGGCACCATGCCGCCCCCTGTCAGACCACGTTGATGAGACGCCCAGGAGGCTATGCATGGGGTAAGTCTGGCATTATTAGGTGCCTGGACCATTCTTGATGATTATTTAGTGCTGAAGGTATTTATAGCATTAAGCTGTGGCCGCAGTCAGACGGGGTTTTCTAGGATGCTTACTCTTCGCGCTTCAGGTAATCAACTAGTAGAGAGACAACTTTCTGAAGACCTTCCTGCCCTCTCTGTGAGCATACGGACTCAAGTGTACGTACTCCCAGACGCAGAGGTGTGCAGTGTGCGCAGTACATGTCGCATTCTTACATCCTTGATTGTAACCCCCTCGCTTGAAGTATCCCTAGCTGCAATGCAGGCTATTATAATCTACATGGGCGACGAACATACCCCAGGTAAGCGGGTCAGATAATAATCGAACAATATATGGAGTAAGCTTATGTTGATGATGTGTGTCTTCATTTGGTTTGAGACAGAATTGTATGACCCAGGCCCGACCCAGCCGCCCAACCAAAGGCCTAGTCAAAATAGATACATGAAGTTTATAATAAGAACAACAAAAGAAACAGACCCTTGAAAAAGGAAAAGAGAAAAGCAAGTGTAAAAGACGCTTCCAAGCGAGCCTTTCGTCCAGAATGTGCGTCGCGCGCCACACATTCCGTAGAAAAGCTGCTTGGTGAGGCCAGGCCCGAAGAGGATATAATCTAGATAAAGAAATAGAAAAGAAATAGAAAAGAAATAGAAAAGAAATAGAAAAGAAATAGAAAAGAAATAGAAAAGAAATAGCAAGCACTGTGTCGTAGATGACCAAGAGAATTCCTCCAACTCCTTGCAATGGTATAGTCGTTACATGGTCATCAAACTGTAGGAAAAGACATGGAAAAAAGAAAAGCAAAAGAAAGTAAGAAAAGTGAAAAAAGCAAGACACAGTCGTGCTTATGATGATACACGTCGGTGCTTGCGGCGGAAAACGTTTCTGATCGCCGCGAATGGCTTTACTGGTGTGTTGTAAAAAGGGTCGTCCTTGAAATCTTCGTCGGTAAATCTCTAGAGGCTTGTTAACTATGAAGAAGTTAATAGGATGAAAAGACGTACCAAGCCCGGGAAGCGGGCAAAGTTGCCGTAGTCGTTCATCATGTTATGGCCTTCTTCGTAGTCGTAAGTCTGGCCTTCTTGATCGGTGTGGCCAGGAGGGAAGTAAGCTACTCCCTCGAGGGGTCGGTGTCGTTCGATGGCATCGACTATCTTGTGTTCTGGCGTAGCTTTGAGAGCCTCGGCGTTGGACTCTCGAAGGGCCTCGAGGGGGCTTTGATCGGCTATCCTGTTGCGTTCCGGGTAGACAGCGTCGTAGGGACCTTCATGGTGGTAGGAGAACTGCGAGGCCGTGTCCAGGCGGTCGATAATGTCGGGATTGACGAGCTGCGACTCTCGTCGTGGGCGTGTCGAGTGACGCCTCCCACGGGGGTGCTGGGGAGCGTCGAGGAAGACGGAATAGTCTGAATATGGGATCGAGGAGCGCCGCCGGCTGATGGAGGAGCGGGAAGGCGAGGGCGAGACGAATCGTTGGTATGGGTTGCGGTTACTCATCATCGAGGCGAAGTCCATATTCATGTCGGAAGGGCTGTCGTTGGGGAAGACGGGGTATGAATGATCCATCTGATAGCGATGCATCTTTGAAGTTGTGAGGGGGTGGTTTCGAGTGATATAGTTTTGTTTTCGCGGGCACAGCTGCAAGGCGTCAGTTATAGTCCCAGAACACGCATAAGTCGGTGGGTGATAGTTCGACGCACTATTGATTTGGTACGCAGTTGTTGAGAATGAATGATCGGTGTGGTGAGGTAAAGGGTACGGTTCGAGTCACTTTTTGCTTTTTGCTCGAGTACAGGTGGAAAGAAGTAGTAGAAGTATACCAAGGCGCCAAGGTGGTTTGTGATGTGTTTTGGTAGTTGTTGTAGTTCGCTTTGGTAGACTGCTTGATAGAATGAAGATGGTGGAAGGAGTGGAGAGGACGCCTGGGGGTGAGAGGCGAGATATACTTCCCTCAATGACTCCCACGGCGCTGTATTCCGGTCAACGCAATCATACTTTCAGTCTGACTTTTTTTGACGGTCTTCGCCTCCGGGCTGTGTAAGTGACGTGAGAGACTCCAGGCTGACGCACTGATGGCTCCGCAGGGGCCGAAAATCTTATCGATAAGGCCCGAACTTTCCGATCCTGGTGTAGCCCGTATTCATTTTGGGCATAGACTACGGACTTGGCGGATAAGCTAGGCCTCTTCAGTTACATTGGCCCCAGTAATGATGAAAAAGAACTCTGGAAAGGAAAGAACAGCTGCTCTTCATCGAGGACATGCGACTGCCTGTGTGATTTTTGTGTCGGAACTTTGCGGACACCGCTCGAGGCTGCTGGAGAAAACTTACGGTTGACTTTTCCGTCAAGCTTTTCCCTGAAATTTTTGATCCAAGGTACATAAAGTGGCGCAAAGTCTAGTATCAGCTGACTCGACAACTAAGTTCTCGAGTCATGCAGCTGATGGAATGAGGATGGTAATTTTTCAGGCGCGTCTGGCGGTATTTTGAACCTGCCAGAGCTTGGAAAATATCCTTTCTCAGATAGTTATTATGTTCGCTTTTTCTGTGTTGAAGCCACCGTTGCGAAGAAGCGCTGGGATTTTAAGGTTAACTTAGTATGATCGACTAGTGACGGCGCCGCCGCGCCGGTCTCGATCTAGCCTTCCCCAGCCTTATGAGGTTCCTAAACGGGCGAAGGCTAGACCCTGCAGGTGCCACTAGAACCTGTCAACCAAACTTCAGGATTCAAACCCATCACTCAATGATCGCGACATTTTTTTTGGGACTGATTCTTCCGCGTTTCAATAATGAAAGACTGACTGGATTCTCTTATGGCTTGTGCATCAGTTGCCGACCTGGTAGGCTGCCATTGATTACTTGAGGCTTAGGCACGGTTATGATGGGGTACCTTAGTTATCGCTTATGCCATCCGCACCAAGCCGGTGTCCCGATGATTTACACGCGAGCGTTACATTCTACAAATAGAACATATCCCAAGAGACTTCGTCAGGATTTCGTCAAGTGCCCTTAAGCTCTGACTACGCAGCAACGATCCCCACAATTCTCCCGTGGCGCTGGCTTGGGTAAGTATATCGGTATGAGCTATAAGCATAGCTTTTTTCGTGGTTACTACTTACAAGTCGAGCGGTATTCCTTGTGGCACAACGGTGTATAAGTGGAACCATGTCAAAACTTGAACACCCCCCTCCTGTCGTGCCTACGGTGGTGGCCTGCAGGACGGAACTCCTGGCCCATCGTACGAAGCAGACTTGAGTCACAACACCGCATGCACAGCTGCCCTCAAGAAAAGTCCGGTCGAAGACACCGTCATGATTCTAAATATCACATGTATGGCCGGATGGGAAAGGGTAGCTGGCTTTCATCAGCGAAATCGACCATTAAGAGTGGCATCAAGCTGGGATGTATCCTATAGGTTTGAGTTTGTTGAGTCGACATCTCCAAAGGATTGCTCAGGTCATATGCAAGGCACTGAGCGATAAGCCTAGCAGCGATAAAAGGCCATCCTGTCTATTGATGCCCTGGCTGGAAGAGGTATCCGATCGATAGTTCTAGGGATTATGCGGCCACTTTTCTCAACAATATTATCGCTAGGGGCAAGTACGGAGTGTACGAGGCCTGTGAACTGACAATCGATATCTAGGCACCATAGTTTGTCAAAGGACTCCCGACTGCAGCCCCATGGCATTCGACTACTAGATTCAGTTGGGAGTTGAGCGTTGACGCTCCGAACAAGCAGCTAAAAAGCGGCGGCCTTTTTGAACCACGAACTCAAGAGCTAGCTGTGAAGCTCTTGTCATTGATAGTGTTTATCTCAAAATAGCATCATTGGTGATCGAGAATTAAGAAAGGCTGGAAGAGAGAAAGAGTAAAAGGTATGGTTGACGTCTGAAAGTGTTGGGGAGAAAAACTTGTACAAGGCTAAGGCACTTCGCCCGCCAGACGAGTTTGGAAGCGGAGCCAAACCAACCACCTAGCAAGCATAATGATACCCAACCCGCACCATGGCTTTGGTTCAATACTCAGATTCAGAATCGGAGCTCGAGCAACAAGCTCCTCCCAGGAAAATAAATAAACTGGACCAAGATACGCCAAGCCGTAACTCGCCGAATACGCTTCCTCCACTCCCCGCCGCATTCCATGACTTGTATGCTTCCAGCATTAGAGTCAGTGTAAGGGATGACCCAAGCCTTCATGGAGGCCGCAAGAGAGTGATTCCTCACGTTGAAGGCAACTGGCCCACGCACATATACCTTGAGTGTTCGTCCCTTTCCTCGATTGTGTGGCTCACTTACCAAGAAAAACAGGGTATCCATCGAAAGATGAGCTTGAGATATTGCGCGATATAATCATCCGAGCTGAGAAAATACTTCAAGGGGAAGAGTCAAAAATCCACAGTTTATTGCATAGCGACCTTGGTGCACAGCTCCCCCTTCACGTTAGCCTTTCTCGACCGGTGGTTCTTCGAACCGAACAGAGGCAGCCATTTTTGGATACGTTCCAGCGAACACTTCAAACATCTGATATATCACCGTCAGTGCCTGCCCAATTTTTACGAAGCATACTAACTCCGATTTTCAGATTCGACATCCAAATAGGTAGCTTGGACTGGGTCTCAAATTCTGAAAAAACGCGATGGTTTTACGTGTTGCGAGTGAAAAGGCCGAGTCAAGATCACTTGAACCAGCTCCTCCGAATATCAAATGTCTCTCTTGGGATCTTTGGGCAGCCACCACTCTATGAGTCTACAGCAAATCCTTCAGACCTCGATACCAGGAAACCAAAGGACTATACGGAGTATTTTCATGTCTCGGTGGCTTGGAGCCTACAAGAGCCATCTGTTAGGGACAGGGATAAATTGGAAAGCATTGCTCTCCAAAGGCTTGCCACACTTAAGATCTATTTCGACAGTGTGAAAGCGAAGATTGGGAACCACGTCTCTAGCATCCCTCTTGCGAGGTCTTCTTCCCATTGACGATATCGAACAGCAAGCTAGCGGCCCCAATCATACTTGTTTCATCTATGACGAAGCTCTAGCCGTACTAGAGATCGCTTCCAGCACTTATCTTGAGCCTCAGTCTACTGGCGACAATTTGCGCCTTGGGCTATAACAATACGATGTACATTGGTAGACCTTGTTTGATTGCACCACTGCCGGTACCAACGACTTGCTCCGGGATAGGAGATGACACCCTGAACAAACTCTTTAGAGGCTCAAATTCTTATTCAACATTACTACTTAGTATATCATATTCTCAAGTTGACGTTTATGTCTTTACTCAGAACTTGAATCAACTCGGATTCTGAAGTCTAGTGTCCATATGTATGTATTGATACCGTAACGATACTGATCACTGTGACGGTCTTCTCCGCGGCGGGAAAATGACGCGGTGCTAGTCTTTGTTTGCTTCATTTCTGCCCCCGTGGCTCGACCAAAGCATCGAACGTGCTTTGGCTTCCTTATCGAAGTCTGGCGCTTTGGGAAAATGTCTACTGATCAGGTACCCATCGTGACTCCTGTACGTATTCTTCACCTCTCCCCGTGTCTTCGCGATGACTGACTCACCGCAAATAGGAGGACCTTCAACACTTCCAGGCGAAACATTTCCCAAACACTGGCAACGCCCAAGCTCCAGAATTCGCCCACGAATCGTACGATGACAACAAGGATGATGAAGATGGACTAGGCTACTATCCAGACGGCGTGAAGCGGACCCTTACCGACGAACAGATTCGAATCTTCAGGCACAGCGAGATCCACGCAATTCTCCGTGAGAGACAGATCAAGCAAGAAAATGAGGAATATGAAAAGAGGGTCTCAGCGCAGGTCGGAGGCTCTGGTGCTTCTGGTCAAGCGGGTTCGATAGGAGAGGACGTTCAAGCTCAATCTAGTGACCAGGCGAGTCTTGACTCGAGTGCGGCAGGGGTAAAGCGTCCTGCGGCCAAAGCTGCGTCGAAGGGGTCCGTGGTGAAGAGACAGGCAACTGCGCCCGCAGATGTGTCGCTGGACTACAGGGAGGAAAGTCCTGCTCAGCAACCCACTCGCAAGCCCGCGGCTTCTCACTTCGCTGGACGGAGGATAATTTCGTACGATGATTGAGGCTTGACTCAGTGAGAATATCTGTGGTAAGTGAGTTTGATTCCTCTCCTGTCTATCATCTTCCTGTATATGATGAAATCATCGTATCAGTCATCCTTAGTCGGAACGCCACACCATGCAGCACATGTGTGAGGCTTTGACGACTTCAATCTTCTCTCTGAGCAGTTTTCTACCACATTATTCATCCCGGCTATGAGCCCGAGATCCGAGGCTAACTTTGCTTTGGGACCCAGTGCACCCAATCTATCAATATAACCAAACGTCCAGCCGCCCAAAGTCCGACCTGCGTTTCTGAAAAGCGCACTCGAACCGCAGCTACCAAGACGAACATTACGCAAACGCTATTCCCCTCGATCATGTCAGCTGTATACGTCCCTGTTTCGGAACGAACGCCCAAAAGATAGTCATGCCAACAAGCAAGGTTATCATAATCGGGTGCAGGGCTTCTACTCCCGCGCGCGAAGCTATCGCTCCGGTCAGGAAAGGGAATATAGCACAGCCAATGGATCCGAAACTGGCGGTGAATCCTAGTGCAGAGTTAGTCGGATGTGAAGGAAGTAGTATTCTGATGCTTGTTTGCTTTGACGCACCTATTGCCCCGAGATGGAGCTCTTGCGGAAGGACAGTGGTGATAACATACAGTCCGACTGGGTAGAATGGGCCGATGAAGAATCCTGTGTGAATGTCATGTCAGCCGTATTCCCTGCGCCCCCTGTTTTCTCAAGACTTACCTAGCAAGCAAACCGAGATGGCGTTGGCAATAATGTTTGGAATCAGCCAGAACATAAGCTGGAACGCCAAAGCTAGTGCGATGTATATGAAAACCATACGCCTCTCGCCGAACCGATGGGTCACATCTGCCAAAGCGATGCGGCCTAAGGTAAAGCCAGCCCAGAAGATGGATGCAACGTAGCCAACCTTTTCTGGATCGCCATTGCGCACCTCAACTAGGAACTGCACTATCCAAGCTACAACAGCTGTCAGCTACGCCCTTTGAAAGGATTCCAAGGGACTATACCTCCAAGATTTATTTCGGCCCCAACATAGAGCAAGAAAAATCCAGTGAGGTACCAGATTGCAGAATGGCTCAAAGTCTCCCGCAGCTCGCGGCCTGCAGTTTCTTTTGCACCGGCAACATTCGGCTTGAAGAGACCGTGGCGGAAGGTCCAAGCTATGCATGACACGTTCAGAACTCCGAGGACAAGGTTCACGAGGTAGAAGAGTTGCCATCTCGGAGTGTACGTGGCGACAGCGTTGGCGACCAATGGGCCGATGATAGTACCGGCACCATAGATTGCGTGGAGAACACCTAGCCAACGATGGGAGTTGCGGACGGTGACGGTGAAGCTATTGGCTTGGGCATCTTGAAGTGTGACTCCGAAGCCTGTGAGCAGAAACGCCGCAACGAAGAAAGCGTACGACGGGGCCCAGACCATGAGTGCATAGCCGGCATTTTGTACTATGACACCCACGACCAGAGTCCCGCCTGTTCCTAGATGTGAACAGATATGGATGCTAGCGAAGGATGCAGAGAAACCGCCAACGAAATTGACCAGATAGATATAGGATATTTCGAGAAGACCGATACTATACCAAGGCTGGATGTAAGGGATCAAGACTCCGAGTGCGGAGTCTATGGTGATCTAATGTTAGGCGGGATGAGGACGCAGAGATCCAGGCGACGGCGTACCATTAAACCCCGCACATAAAATCCCAAAATTTGTGCTAAAGATCTTGCCATACACATCGCGAGCATCGTTATAGAATTGGGGTGCGTCCGAGGCCTCGTCTGGCGTGGCAGACCTCTCCACATCCGCTGGCGGATCGTCGTACTCTTGTGTCATATTATTCAAAGCGCAGCTTTATAGCAGAGCAAGCAAGCAATGAAAATCGTAAAGGGAGTGGGTAGCTTTACTCCAGAGAAGGTCAATCCCCTCATCCAGGGAGCTCTGCTCATTTCTAGTCTTCCCTGCTTGGAGCTCTCTGCTGATCCGCAACGGAGGGGTAAGCTCCGATTTCTGCGAACAGCTCCGCCATATGCGCCATGGCTCGTACCATCGTGAATGACAGCCGAGTTAACCTGAGACAACTTAAGATAAGGAGAGCGGCACAAATTCTTGAGGTACTATGTAGATATATGGCAGGTACCCCGTATATGCAATGTAACGCCGACACTCCCCGAGATCCGCTCGACGACCTCGCACAATCTTGTGACACCTGTTCAGTCGAGATCTCGATTATCCGGCCCGAGAAACCGGTAGTAGTTAACTCTTCTTGAGCTTCTCGTTCCGATAACATCCTCGCCTGGATGATCTTGGTTACACGAGCAAAAAGCCCCCCCCCCCCCCCCCCCCGGCGCTTCGTTATCACGATGTCGCATTGAGAGCCGTGGGGGCTTCCTCGAGCTGCACTTCGTCTCTTGAGTTGAGTCGAGTCTCCAACAACCCCGCACTCAACCCCGCCTTTCTATCAGCTGCTGTTACGTACAATCCTACCCTGTTGCTGTCGAGGCGCAGGCTTTGAGTCATAATAATCCTCGACAAGACGGGATTCTCCGTATTGCTACCTGAATTGGCTAGGATGGACAGTACATGGGTACATAGTAGTACGATGTCAGTGTCGGAAGTCGTCGTATCCCAATGGAATTGGTAGAGTGAGGATGGATGGCGACGGACTTTCTGAAGAGATAGCTAGAAAATTACTTCACACTGTGCTATTCTCTTCTCTCGGCTTAATACTCAAGCTATTGTTGTGAACTACGTGAGCAAGACTACTACCTAGGTACTTGTCGGATGGTCTAGGCAGTTGGTATCAATTTATGCTTCCAGACATAAACTGCGCATTAGATTACTAATGAATGTCCAGGCTTGTCGGAGTGGCATTATTAACTCCGAGTGGCCGGGCCTACTCCGGATTCGGAACAGTTCAAGGCTGCGGCTGCCAATTCTGCACGCCACAAGTTAAAACCCAAGCTTGATCCTTCCGGCCAATGCCGTTGGCTTAGCTTGTCGATCTTGGCTTTGCAGTTTCTATATGTATCTCGATTCGAGCCCAACAACACTGCACGCGATCTATAAATCAAAAGGCGAGCTCTCTATTCCAGCCTCTACTCATTAATAATGGACGGCCCGTAACTTGCCGGTAAGCCCGGCATCGGAGGCCTTCTAGAAAAATTTCCCCAGTTTCTTCAAGTTTCTGTTACGTTGCAGTGCTCCCATTCGCAGCAACGACCCCACAGGAGCCACTCTATGACTGCGATCTGCTCCCGGTGGCGGAGATGGGAACTGAAGTTTCGCCCGGCCAGCGTTGTAGAACCGACGCCTGGTATACGAATGAAACGTGGGAGGAGTTTTCGTCAGGACAAACTTTATCGGTGACATCCGAGCCTGTTTAGACTTTTTCTCCTCACTCTCGAATCTCGCCGCCTCATCCTTTCTCCATATATACCTGACCGCTGGGCCCGTTACACGCCGCGGCTTCCTCAGTTCCATCCCTGTCGATCGGTCTCTCTAATTCCTGTGCACATCTTCTTCTCTCGTTTTTCTCTTCACTGTTTTTTTCTTTTTCTTTTTTGCTCTACTGTCAGGCACAATGAGCCACCATCCTGAAGAAGCTCCGGCTCCGGCCTACGACCACGGCGTATCCCCTGCGAATGAGGCTTTCTACGGCACCGACGAGAAGAAGGTTGAGGTTCCTCCGTATGCGCAGGATGCCTTCGGTGATGAGGAGTTTGCAGAGGTTAAGTACAAGGTTTTGAAGTGGTGGTACGCATCCAATTCCTTCGTTTGAACTAATATAGGATCATTCTAACCTTTCTGGCTGTGTACAGGCAATGCGGTTTGCTCATGGTCGCAGAGACCGTGTCTCTGGGTGTTCTTTCTTTGCCTGCCGCTGTTGCTGGTCTAGGCCTTGTCCCGTACGTTTCGACGCGCCTTCCTTGTTGCAATACATTGCTGATATTGAACAGAGCCGTCATCATTCTCATCGCGCTGGGCATCTTCGCTACATACACAGGATACGTTATTGGACAGTTCAAGATGCGATACCCTCAGGTCACGAATATGGCAGATGCGGGTGAAGTCATTGCAGGAAAATGGGGTCGCGAAATCTTGGGAGTTGCGCAGATGCTGTTCTTCGTCTTCGTCATGGCCAGCCATCTGCTCACTTTTACTGTTGCGATGAACACACTTACAAATCACGGAACGTGCTCGATTGTGTTTGGAATTGTGGGCATGGTTGTGTCATTTATCCTCTGCCTGCCCCGTACGCTTGAGAAGATGTCATGGCTTTCCCTAGTTTGTAAGAGCCTCCTTCTTAATGCTTCATGACCTCGGGCTAATTTGAGCAGCTTTCATTAGTATCTTGACGGCCGTCATTATCTGCATGATCGGCGTCGGCGTTACCAAGCCAGGCACCAAGATCGAGGCTGTTGTTGATACCAACCTCTATCATGGTTTCACCGCGGTGACCAACATCGTTTTTGCTTTCTGTGAGTATAGTCAAGTTTGTCATATTCTTTTCATTTACTAATGATAATAGGCGGACATGCTGCCTTTTTCGGTCTCGCTGCTGAGTTGAAAGATCCCCGCGACTTCCCTAAGGGACTGTGCCTGCTTCAAGGCATTGATATCTGTTTGTACCTTGTTGCGGCCGTCGTGATCTACCGCTACGGAGGAGCAGACGTCACCTCCCCTGCTCTTGGATCTGCTGGCCCCATTGTTGGCAAAGTTGCATATGGCATTGCCCTTCCGACCGTACGTTCCTAATCCACTTCTTTTAGAGCCTTTCACGCTAATGAAATCCAGATTATCATCGCTGGTGTCATTTACGGTCACGTTGCCTCAAAATACATCTACGTGCGCATCTTCCGCGGTACAGACCGCATGCACAAGCGCGACTTCGTCGCCGTCGGCTCCTGGGTTGCAATTGCCCTCTGCCTCTGGATCATCGCCTGGATCATTGCTTCAGCCATCCCCGTCTTCAGCAACCTCCTCAGTTTGATTACCGCGCTCTTCGCAAGTTGGTTCACCTACGGCCTCTCCGGCATCTTCTGGCTCTACATGAACAAGGGCGTCTGGTTCTCCAATTGGAAGAAGACCTCCCTCACCATGGTGAACCTGCTCGCTGTCGCCACCGGTGCGGTCCTGTGCGGTATGGGCCTCTGGGTTTCCGGCAAGGCACTACATGATAACCCTAGCAGTGCGAGCTTCTCATGTGCGAATAATGCTTAGACGAGCTTTGTGTCTGAGCGGTGTGTGTACGGTATGTATATATGGGTTTGGTTTTGAATATATGGGGGTATAGACTTCTTCTTAGGGTGGCGTTTTGCATCATATCCGTTTCTCTTTTCTTGGATTCTCCGGAACTGGCATTGCGCCGTGTTTAGATACTCCTTGCATTGCATTGCATAGCCTTTGCGTGTTTAATAGAAGCTTGAAGCTTAAATTTTCTACCTGGTTCTATTTTTAAAGAAAGCTCATCGATGGCGGAAGACAATCGCCTGTCATAATTATACGTAAGCACGGAAGGTATCATATACAGGAAGAGTACTAGTAGAAGACGATAATACATCTCCGCAAGCAAGCAGCGAGCACGTCGCTCGCATCTTGGCCGCGGGATAAGCGATAGGGTTTATGTTTCAGATCAACCTCCGCCCAAACTACCCCTTTTCATTCGTCTCCTCTTCCTCTGACACGACTTGATCGCTTCGGCGGTCAATATGTCACCCGGGAGTTCGAATTCTTTTTCCTCGACTTCGGGGATGGGGTGCCCGAATGCAAGCCGCGTCCGGCCTTTCCGGTTGCCTAACATAGCAGCCTCACGAAGATGGGGTTTTGAGAAGAAAGATGTAAAAGGTTTGTCTGGTTCGACTGGGGGTGGTAGCTCGGGCTTTTGTTTGGATTTTGATGAGCGTTTACCGGCTGTTGCCGAGCGAGCCTCTTGGAGAAGTTGGTGAGCCGCGAGGGCGTCGACGTCGTTGATATCTGGGGTTAGCTCGGTGGCATCTTTCTCGTCGTCTGGTTCGTCTTCGCTCTTTGTGTCTTTGTCCTTTGCATGGGATGAATCCGCGAGGTCGGAGTGGAAGGACGAGGACTTATGATCCTTGTCAAACTTCCGGCGTTTCTCCTCTTCTTTCCAGATCTTGAACTTCTGAAGCAAGGCGGATATTTCCTTGATAAAGTAGTCTCGTTTTGGCTCATAAAGCTTCTTCTCTTGGTCTGTGAGACTTCGACCGGTTATTCCCATGACGCGCAGCCAATCCTGGCTCTGTAGTTCGTCTAGGAGACGATCTAGTTGTTGCTTTTCGTGCTGTGCGCGGTCACGTTCTATATTCCTTAGTTGTTTTTCTTGTCGTTCGTGCCGTCGATGGGCTTTGAAGTAGACCTCTTCGTTTAAAGGATCCTCCTCAACTTCTTTCTCCTGGTTTCCCTTGGAGTGCTCTGATCCGGTTCCAGTATAATCGCTTAACTGTAGAGTTTCTGGTAGTGTTATTGTTTCGCATCCTTGTAAATCAACAAGAGGGTTTCCAAACGGCGTATTTGCGTCGGGGCCGGAAAAGGCAGATGGTGGGATTGGGGGTTCATGAAGGTCATCAATCAGCTTAATGGTCGTATTTCCTGTAAGGAACTCTACAATAGCATCTGTTAGTCGATCCCATAGCTCGGTTTTATTAAGCGTGAAGCCTCGGCAAGCAGTGACGTACCCGTCTTTGGAGGCTCCAAGCTCAAAAGCTCCTCATAATTGGGAAAGTACAGTGCCAATTCGCTCCTCGCCCTCGAGCCCCCATCATGGGAGCGGAGGCTCCGCCGTTTCTCCGGCGAAACGCGGTCGGCCGTCGCGGCAGGTACAGATGGTGGGTCTGGGGTTGGTTCCTTTGGAGGCGTAGGGGCGGCGTTTCCTCGAGAGATGCGCGCGTTTTTCGGCTGCGGTAGCTCTGGCGTAGTAGATGGGTCTGGCGCGGCCTTTAGAAACTGCGTTATCCTCCGTTGGCGGTACGCAGCCGAGGTTGGAGTATTGGAGGGTTTCGGGGTGGTCTTGAAGGTAACGGTAGGGGCGGGGGATATCGTGTCTAGGGGATCGGGAGACTCGCGACCGCCAGTCAGGTATAGCGCCGCATTGTTTGACGTCGGAGTATCATGGTGGTGGACGCGGAGGTTTCTGGCGCGAGGCGTGCCGACAGGTGGCGGAGATGATGTGGTGTGCGCGGAAAGAGCAAAGAGCGGTCGCGGACGGCGGAGCTTCGTCGAGTTGGAGGGAGGAGGGGTCTCAATGGTCGTATCGAGTAAATCTGGGGAGCTCCCCTGACGACGTGACGTGGTCGGACGATGGATGCGAGGTCGCTTTGCTGGGGGCGGTTGGACCGAGTTCTCGCCCGCGTCATTTGGGTCGCTGCGCAGGACGCGGAGGGAGGACCTCGATCGCACGGCCATGACGGCGGTGGAGGTCATTGGAGTTCCAGGGAAATTGAGAGAAAAAAGGGGGGATGAGAGTCGTGTTTGTTCTGGACCATATCTCGTCCGATGGTTTGAGTACTGAGTGTTTCGACGCGCGGAAGGGGGAGAAGGTCGAGTCGAGGATACCCGGATTCGGTCAACTCGAGGTCGTTCCCGTGTTTCTTCGGTCAGCAGCGATTAACACATCGACTGCAGACAATCCTAATATTATATTATTTATAGTCTCTCATTGAATGCTTGGTATTATCGATGCGACCCATTCACCGTTGTTATTCTCTTCAATGTACGGCTGAAAATAGCCATTGTCGTGAAGATCTACATCTTATGTTACACAAGTCTAGTCCTCTCTCTTCTTGCTCTTCAGATATGCCACTCCCGAATCCAGCATGTGCCACGCCGTTAGCTCATGAACCCATTGCGCTAATCCTCTTTCCAATGGCAACTTGGATTTCGACTCTCTTTCCCTCCACATTATTGTCTCGTTATGGAAGACCACATCATCTCCTCGAACCTCAGCCCTAACCACTAACCTCCCTTGCACCCCAAACTTGAACTCGAACTCAGCTTTGTCTTCCGTTCTCAGCTTGACCTGATACGCATTGCACACGAGATCGCCCTCCTCGAAATTCAGGCCTTGAATGTGCTTGGTATCAAAGCTTTGTTGGATCTCAGAGCCCGAAGCCGTGAACTTGAGAATACGGGCTTGCGGCGAGGATGCGAATGAGGACATGTTTCGACGGAGAAGCATAGTCAGCAACGCTGACGGGTCGAGGTTTGGGAGGGTACTGCGCGGTGCTGATGTAGAAGCATAGTCGTACAAGACATGGTACCTGGAGCTGAATATGTCTGTAGGTAGAGAAGAGATATTTTTGGGTGTCGAGGGCGAAATCTGTCCGTTTTTCGAGGTGTGAATGATTCTCGATGCCAGGGATCGCTTCCAGTTGGAGAGGTAGATGGAAGCTGCTATTGAACCCGCACCAACGGCTGCTGCGGTGACGAGCAATGGTCGAAGCATTATTGCTGCTTTCGTATGGCTTGGTTGTGCAGCGTCATGAATGATCGATAATGGCGCGGGCTAGACAGGGCAGCGAGTCCGACATCCTAGGAGTCTGAGAGAATGGCAAGCTTTAAGTATCTTCATGTTGTCTCGGCCAAGGTCGACCTCAACTCCTATTGGGAAGGCTCAATAGTCGAATACGAGCTTGGCGTCCCTGTTTCTTGATAGAGTCGTTTTCGGAACCAGGAATTCCAGCCACGAAATAGGTATGGCCATGAGTCTTTTTATGCATCCAGCCGACTTTTATGCGTAACGGGCTTTTCGTCATATGAGACTGAACAGCTGGGTCAGGTCCCTCTGCGGACAGCTATTTATCTGTAGTCACAGTAAGATAGCAGTTGAAGCTGCTGCAAGAAGTGCATACAGCCTTCTTTACTCGCATACGAAGACAGTAGGAAGTAAATTACCTTTCAGAGCCTCTGCGGTTGTGATTCTGGAGGGCTCGAGGTAGCCTGAGGAATGGTCTTGTCAGTGTTCGCGGAAGCGAGCATCCGAAGCGCGAAAGGTATGTCTCAAGCTTTGCACGGCATACGTATACTCCAAATAGAGGTCTTTCAGCGACCAACAGTTTAGGGAACGATCTGAGAGAGAAAGGAAGGCTGCCGTTCGGTGATGTTGATTGAATCACCGTCGGACGAGTAAGCATCCTACATCAGCCGGAAAACGAGATGCAAAATCTCAGTCTCGCTTCATCGACCGACAGGCGTCGACACGATGACGCTCGCCGTCTTCCTTACACAGGATGACCTGCAGAGGAAGTGGAGGTGGCGATTTGAGAGTGGCTTGAAGCCCGACAAAGACCGGTTCGGAGATATGGCCGATGGGTTGCCGAGGAGAGGTGCCGGCTATCTATACCACTGAATTGATGGCAGCCCCCAATGCTCACTGGCGCAATTGCTCTCAGAAGCCATGTCTCAATTTCAATTACTCATTAGATCATAGCGCGTGGATTCTGGAATGTCGTGTCAATGATGGGAGAGACGCCGCGTTGTCGCACCAGAGGTTGTGCCGGAGTTAGTCCGCGCAGGCTTGGTTGTTGTTGCTGTCTTTCCAGAAGACAAAGACGAAGCCATCATCGCAAGAAAACTCATATTGGGTTCCGAATGCTCCCAGTCGCATAGGCTGCCTTCTGCGCCTGACTAGATAAAAACAACGCGTGAACGTGTCGGCTGCCAAAATTATCAGAGGCTCGTTGGGTGGAGGCCCTTGCATCCCCCGGATAAGAGAACGTGGGGGTCACAGCGACCAATCCCCCAAAAGGCACGCTCGAGTTTCAAACACGATGAGACGAGCAACTTGAGCAGATTTCCAGATGAACATGAACATGAACGGAGAATAGTCCACGCCTCTGGGTCTTCGGCCCCCTCTTTGTGTGGGGTTGCGTGGGGGTGGGCAATGAGGATTCAGGGATCGAGGATTGGCTGTTGGTCCCTTTCAGAGCTTGGATGTGGTCCGCCTTTGAGCTTCAACTTCTCCCATTCCCGCTTTGCCCTTCGCCCCTCCGCAACATTGTCACGCCAATTCATGTCTCCATGGCTTCCTCCACTTATATACCCTTGGGCACCCCTCACTCCCTCGCTCTTTTTCAGTCCCCTTCCTCCCCCCTCGATCTCCGCTTTTCTCAGCCATCTCCCGTCTGAGAGCTCCTATCGCAGTAAGCCTATTACTCTGGAATTAATGCATTGGCCTCCTTATAACAGTTGTTTCTGTCGTCTAGGCTATGGCTAACCGACCCCTCGTCCCTGGCGTTTACGTGCCGACCGTCGCCTTTTTCACCGAGAACGAAGATGTTGACATCCCCACGGTCGAAAAGCATGCGGCATACCTAGCAAAGACTGGTCTCGCCGGTATCGTCGTTCAAGGAAGCAACGGCGAAGCCGTCCACCTAGACCGCGAAGAACGAAACTCCATCACCGCCGCGACCCGCCGCGCCCTCGACTCCGTCGGCGCCACATCCCTTCCTGTCATCGTCGGCACAGGTGCGGCCTCAACCCGCGAGACCATCAACCTGTGCAAAGACGCCGCAGCCTCTGGCGGCGACTACGTTCTCGTCCTCCCACCAAGCTACTACAAGTCCCTGATCTCCAATGAGGCCCTACTGGACCACTTCCGTGCCGTCGCAGACGCTTCCCCGATTCCAGTTCTCATCTACAACTTCCCCGGCGCCTCGTCAGGACTCGACCTTTCCTCCGACGACATCCTTGCCCTCGCCGCTCATCCGAATATTATCGGTACGAAACTCACCTGCGGCAACACGGGTAAGCTTGCCCGTATTGCTGCACAAGCCGGTCCGTCGTTTCTTACTTTTGGCGGATCATGCGATTTCACCCTTCAAACTCTCATTGTGGGCGGTGCGGGTGTCATCGCCGGTACCGCGAACCTTATCCCACGTGCCTGTGTGCGAATCCAGGAGCTCTATAATGACGGCCGTGTCGAAGAAGCCCAGAAGGTCCAGGCTGTGGTGGCCCGTGCGGATTGGCACGCTATCAAAGGTGGATTTGTGGCTGTTAAAAGCGCGCTTCAGTCGTACCGTGGGTACGGGCTGCAGCCGCGCCGGCCGTGCGTTGCACCTTCGGCCGAGGGAGTTGCTGTTCTGAAGGAGGCGTTCAGCGAGGGTATCGAGCTCGAGAGACAACTCGAGGCGTCGCAATGAATCTACTACTAGTATTAGGTGTGCCTGTTAATGAAGTGATGTATATACGGCCGCAGAAGATGACGATGCCACCCTATTTTTCTAAAATATGCCGCATCTTTACTAGTAAACTAATCCGCGGGGTATCCATGTCGTTCATGCTAGCCAAGCAGCAAAGACATGGAAAGTGGTCAGGTCATGGGATTGGCCATGGTCATACGCACATGTCGGCACTGCAGACAATCAAAGGGAGAAAAAGTTTTGGGATACTCTTGACCGAGTTATGCTTCTTCCATGCTAGCTTGAATTTCGTGCGGGGTGGAGGAGTGTCAGTGCTTTGTTCTTGCTGAGTCGAGGCTGTATGCTAGATCACTCAAGAGCTAAAGGCTCCCACGCTCTTCTGTCGCACCCGCAGATCGGATCGTCGAGCTTTTATTCTCCGACAGGAGCATGTGCAGCCTATGTGTCATAGTATGGCTTTATTAAGGTAATGATGTTGTTCGCAAATCATGAGCTAAACGGAGCTGGGTGAATATATCCGGGCTTTGGACATCGCGCTGTTTCAGCAGCATTCTCTAGCGACAGAATCTCGGTTGGGGATTGATAATTGACTTACTTGACTTGACAGAAGTTTGTCTTGTTGTCCAGGGATTCAGGGAAGGCCGAGGTTACCCCTGGCTGGCGGAAACATGCCATTCTCGGGATGGAAGCCATGGAACGGGGAGCGGAAATGTTCCACTTTGTGGGTTGTTGTTTATTATGGTTATGGTTATTACCATATAGGTCCGTGCTTTGGGCTTTGGGCACCTAGGTCTTTGATTATGAAGACAGCTGTCTTGTGACTCTCCAGAATATGTAGCGATTCAAGGTTATTCGAGTATGAGGAAGAGCGCCGCTTTGAAAATCAGACGACAGTCTGCCAAAGCTTCTCCGAGCTCAGTTGATTTTGAGTAGCGCCGAGTTTATCGTACGAGTGGGGCAAGGCGCTTTGTATGCCTCGATATCAGACTCGCGATGTCACTGTAACAAGGTCCAAAGGTCACCCTGGATGACTCCCAAGATAAACATGGGGTAGCAAGCAAACAAGCCAAGCGCGAGATACGAGATAAACCATCGTGGTGCGACTGCGAGGTACGTCACGGTTGAAACAGCGGGCTGGCGATCTGATGTAACATTACTCCAGACTCTTCGCATCGGTGATGGAACAGAAGCATTGTTGGCTTGGAGTCCCTGAGCTAAGGAGAGGGCTTCGACCAGTTGGAGCCGGCAACTAGAGAGTTAGCTTTGCCCTACGCCGTATCGGAAATTGGGTGTGGTGATGATCCTTCCACTTGCCTCACGTTCGGATAGCGGGAACAGTTTCATTTGCGGGTGGAGTTGGGAGCATAGCTCGCGCGGAGGAAAGAATGTTGATGAGTGGAAGATATGCAGGTGTTGTTGAGGTCTATAAAGGCAGGGGATGGTTGATCTGCACCACCGCCTGACTCTCAGCTGTTTGATCTTCTCTTTCTCACTCTTCAACCCCTAAACTGTTCTTTCCACAACTCAGCTCGACAAACTCAATACCGACAACGCATCTATGACTTTTCATCTTTAATCCACATCATGACTTTCGCTCGCTTTTGCTCCGCGTTGATCGCGGTGGCTTCCTCGGTTGCCGCCCTCAAGGTCAACCCGCTCCCAGCTCCGCGCCACATTTCTTGGGGATCATCAGGCCCCAAACCGCTAGCATCATCTGTCACGCTGCGCTGTTCCCAGGATACAGGCGACAGCATTATCACCAATGCTTGGGATCGCACCTGGAACTCAATCACCTCTCTACAATGGGTTCCCGCTGCGACTGAGGCACCCATCGGTTCCTTCGACCCATTTCCAACCCCGACCCCATCCCCGAGTGCTGCAAACAAGGCGAAGCGCGCCGAATTACCGATACATTTTGTGGGAGTTGAGGTAGAGGATTGGGAAGCCGACCTGCAACATGGAGTTGACGAGTCCTATACTCTCGATGCAAGGGACGGCTCAGATACTGTCCAGATCTCGGCGAAGACCGTCTGGGGTGTTCTTCGTGCTTTCACCACTTTGCAACAGATTATTATCTCGGAAGGAGGTGCTTTGATCATCGAACAGCCAGTGCATATCCAGGATGCGCCCCTTTACCCGTACCGCGGAATCATGATGGACACTGGCCGCAACTTCATTTCAGTCCCCAAGATCTATGAGCAGCTTGATGGGATGGCCCTGTCCAAGCTCAATGTCCTTCATTGGCACTTGGACGATACCCAGTCATGGCCTGTGCATATTGATGCCTATCCCCAAATGACCAAGGATGCATACTCCGAGCGTGAAATCTACTCGCATGACGACCTGCATAACGTGGTGGCGTACGCCCGCGCTCGCGGTATTCGAGTGATTCCTGAAATCGACATGCCCGCTCACTCTGCCTCTGGCTGGCAGCAAGTCGACCCGGATATTGTGACCTGCGCCAACTCATGGTGGTCCAACGACAACTGGCCTCTGCACACTGCAGTCCAGCCGAACCCTGGGCAACTCGATATCATAAATCCCAAGACATATGATATTGTTCGCGACGTCTACACCGAGCTTTCAGGTATCTTCCCGGATAATTGGTTCCACGTCGGCGGCGACGAGATCAACGCCAACTGCTACAACTTTAGCACCTACGTGACCGAATGGTTTGCGGAGGATCCGTCGCGCACGTACAACGACCTAATGCAGCATTGGGTGGACAACGCTGTACCGATCTTCAACAGTGTCAGCGAATCTCGCCGTCTTGTCATGTGGGAAGACGTCGTTCTCAACACGGAGCATGCCGATGAGGTGCCCACAGACATTGTCATGCAGAGCTGGAACAACGGCCTCGAGAACATTGGCAAGCTTACAGAGGCCGGATACGACGTCATCGTCTCGTCTTCAGATTTCCTCTACCTTGACTGCGGCCGCGGAGGATATGTCACCAACGACATCCGATACAACGAAATGAGCAACCCTGACCCCGAAACCCCCAGCTTCAACTACGGCGGCATCGGCGGCTCTTGGTGCGCCCCATACAAGACCTGGCAACGAATCTACAGCTACGACTTTACGCAAAACCTCACTGAGAGCCAGGCGAAGCACGTCATTGGTGCCACTGCACCGCTCTGGTCCGAGCAGATCGACGACGCGAACATTTCGAACAATTTCTGGCCCCGTGCCGCGGCTCTGGCCGAGCTGGTGTGGTCTGGGAACCGCGATGCGAAGGGGAACAAGCGCACTACGCTCTTTACACAGCGCATTCTTAACTTCCGCGAGTACCTGCTCGCCAACGGCGTGATGGCCGCTCCAGTGGTCCCCAAGTACTGCATGCAGCACCCACACGCGTGCGATCTCTACTATGACCAGACTGCCTTTCATTAGAGCATTTTTAGCTTATATTGCATACTCATAGTCAAATCAAGTCGCGTCTGCATTTTGACTAATGGAACAATCGGATAATCGGTTCATCCGTGATATGCGAGATTTGTGCCTCATTTACTAGTAGCAAACCTCGCCATACTTCAGTACTCCTTACCCAGCGAAACAAGCAAGTAAAATGACACTGCTCATAACGACCCGATAACCCCTGAAGTCCAAATATCCGGCATCTCATACCTATATCCATCCTTCAACTGGTCCCAAAAGTACTCGCGAACCCCGATTCCGTCTCGCCACCTCGACATATCGACGGGCGTCTCCTCACTCCGATGAAACATCTCCCACAGCGGCCGGGGATCTTTGCACTGATGCACCGCGCCGACCCCGTCGACGTCCCACCACGCCACACCATCGCGAAGTATCTTTTTCGGTTTCTCAATTGTGTCGTCGGCCGCGCACATGATAAGCTATACATCATCAGCAACCACCAACGAGGCAAAAAATGAAAGGAATTTGGACGTACGAACCTGAGCAAGGTACTCAAAGCAATGCGCTGTATGCTCATTCAAATAATTTTCCCCAGGCCCATGCTCATGCTCATGATCCATACTATTCTCCTTGAAGATCAAACTCCGCAACATAATAAGACAATGCATCTGGTGGAACATCGTAACCGCCGCCGTCAACTTGCGCGTGTTTTGCGCCGGTTTATCAGGGTATCTGTCGAGATGGCCCATCGTCGACTCGTTGATTATGAGGCCGCCGTGCTTTGTTGGGATAAGCATGCTTTCCCATGACAGTGGGTACTGGGCGGATTTGTGTGTGGCTAGGAGGGTTTGCGAGTCGTTGTATAGGCGGAGGTGTGTTGCGTCCCAGGGTTTCTGGTGGGAGGACGATAAGGAGCTGGTGGTGGAGGGGGAGCTGGGTTGCGGGTTTGTTATGTAGATTTGTGGGCAGTTTGAGGATGGGGAGGAGTCAGAGAGGATTCGCGAGGGCCCGATTATGAGGATCAGGAGGGAGAGGATGAGGAGCGTGGCGATTGTAAGAACTGTGATGTGGACTGAAGGGGAGATGGAGGTCGGGGAGTTGTTTTTCGTCATTTTGGTCGCTCTTGCTCGTTCCCACTTTCTTTTTCTGGCCTGTCGAGATGCAATGAGAAACTTAGATAAGTACTTCAATCAGCCGTGTTGGAGAGGAAGAAAGCCCGCCGTTCCCAGGAGAGTCCTTCTTCAGACATGGAGGAGGAGAGTCTCGGACGTCGATGTCGAGCAGTCAAGGCTGTATTTATAACGGAGATTTTCACACTGCACCCACAAAGCTTGGTGTCAAATCTGCCGTTAAAGGAAGGGGTAAGCTGGAAGTTCTCAATGGGATGCTTGAATAAAAACCAGGGATGTTTGTTATCACTCGGAGTCTGGAGTGTTATTGTTTCCTAATCGAGAAACAAAGAAACGCAGCCTCGCAGTGCCTGGGCGGTAGTCAGCACTGCCTCGGATGATCAGCGCCATTAATCTACGGAGTAGACTGGGGCATCTTTTGAATGCTGGGTGACCGTTGGATGCGCTAACGGATGGTTGAAGAATCTACCGGTGCCGAGGATCGTCTCACTTTATGGGTAGGGTAGATAAGTTGAGCCACAAGTGTGATAGAGACATAGGATGGAGAAGTTGAATAAACCAGGATTCTACTCTAGCAGAGGCCAGTGACTCAAAAAGAGGTTACAAGGAATTGAGTAGTGTTCAGAAAAGTTGATTAAATATGAGAAAAGTAGATGCTTCCTCTCCAAAAACACCAAGGTCCAGCCTTTATACAAGTACAGTTTTTTTATGTTAATAAAACAGATCCAACGCAGTGGTATCAACTTTATCAAGAAACAGAATGCCGCTATCATCGTATGCCACATGAATTAAAATATCAAAGGCCAGGCCTTAGCCGGATATTAAGACATCAACCCTTCAATGTCAACGTCGCCCTCGTGGGCACGCGGGAAATCCGGCAGTAACATGGCCGGCTGCCCAATGAGCTGGGAAGAGGGACCGTCGATCCACGCGCCACGCTCCTCCTCGGTGGCATTGAGAATTCCGTTTGCGCGCTTCAGAGTCTCGACGTCCAAGTCGGTGATGTAGGCTTCGCGGTTGGTGCCGTCGCCAGCGCCGCCAGGAAGCTTCAGGCGGACCTCGAACTCGTTGTCGAGCATCATCTCGTCCTTCCACAGGCGGCGCTGTCCATCGAAAACGCAGAGGACGCGCTTCTTCGTCTTGATGTTGGCGCTGGGGCATCCCCAAGACTGGGGGTATCGGTCACGATTGTTCCTCCGCTTGGACGCGGTGATACGGCCTCCCTTGTTGGCGTTCGATGAGTGCTTGGTGACGGCATTGTTGGTACCCAGGATCACACGGGATGATCCCTTGCCGGCCTTGGAGCTGCCTTTGGCTGGTCGTCGGTCATCAAAGTCGTCGTCATCATCATCATTTTCATCGTCGTATCGATCAACGGAGCCAGCCGTATCGAGTAGCCTGTGTTTCTCCATCGTCTGCTTCACGTCCTCGTCAGAATCAACTTCGGCAAGTCGCTGCTGATTAATGGCCTCGCTGGGCTCTTCTTGTTGCACAACACGGAGAACGCAGTCGTCCAAGTGCTCGTAGAAGTCCTGTGCGTTGCTGAACGTCCCAGAGCAAGTCGAGCACTTGCCCGTCGCATCCTGGCAGTAATCCGACACGCTCTTATTTGAGGAGGCGGCTGGGCTCCTCTTTCGGCAGTTCGGTGGCGTTTGCTCCACACCATGGACGGAGGTCAAATGACGCTTGAAGACATCAGCCCTGTTGAAGCTCTTCTCGGCAGGAGAGCCAGAGCCGGGGCAAAATCCGCACACCATAGTACCCTTGTAGTGGGTCAGGGTATGTCGGTTCTTGTCGTATTTTCGAGCAAACCCCTTGATGTGATATTCGCAGGTCACAATCGGGCACTTTTCGGGGCGCTCCGATTGGTGGGTAAGCATATGTGCCTTCAAATCCTTGAAAACACGTCCGCAGTCGGGATGGGGGCATCGGCCTTTCTCCTTGGTGTCCTCATCGAGTTCTGTGCCGCTGGCAGCTGGGCTGGCCTGTGAGGGGCGGGAATGGATGGACGATATTGACGACCGGCGATCATATATCGACACAGGGCGGGAGAGAGGACCTGATGGCATGGTAGAAGGGGAGGGTGGGAGTAAGCTTGATTGTTGTGCGAATGATTGCTTGAGCATATAGCTCTCCGCATGGTGAAACTGAGACGGCTCAGGCGACTGAGGGAAGAGGCCCGTGTGGGCGAAAGTGTAGTCGGATTGATCGTGATATGAGATCGCAGGGGGGGTAAGATGTGATTGTTGCATTGGTTGAATGAGAGAAGGGTCTACCGAGGTCAGACCAGTTGCTTTTGGAACCGATTACGAGGTGTACTCACCAATATAGTTATCTGACTTCTTGATATAAAATCCATCAGACTCGAAAGGATTTACTGAGCACTCGTTCGCGAACAGATCTGAGCCCATGACCGCAGCCTGCAGGCCCAAGCCGTGATTTGTATCCACCCAATCGTCGTGGAAGGTGTGCTGGTTTGCGGAGTAGGGAGACCCCATAGCAGAGGAAGAGGCGCTTGCGATAGAAGGTCCGGAAGCTGTCGAGACACCTGAGAAGAGCTCTGCATTGGAGATGGGCATGGCGGGAGGTGTGATAGGCATAAGGGGAAAGCCGTTGGACTTGGCCATGTCGGTGTATGAATCAGCAAATCCAGTGTTCTGGAAGGTTTGTTGGTTCATTCCAGAATCTTGCTGTCCATATCCACCCAGGTTGTCCACGGTGTAGTTGAAAGACTCGACAAGCGAGGGGTCGGCAGAATAATCTTGGAAGTATGCGGCATGGTGCTGCCTCGAAGACTCAAAGGCCATCATTTTGGCGTTCTTTGCGAACTGTGAGGGGAAAAGAAGGAAATCGGTGTGATCTAGGTCACTTTGCATAACCGTGGCGTACAGTGGCCGGGTAAGCAGGCTCGAGCGGCGATCGACTATATGTAGTAGATCTGCAGACTGCATTGCATGTCAGTGAAAATGTGACGAGAAAGAGGCGATCTAGTTTCAATGGTCAAGGGAACGGGCTGCTCGGGATATCCACATACTGCCTGTCTCTATTACACTGTGCGACTAGTTCTTCAAGTCTCCGGGCGCAGTCCGCAATTGGTTCAGAAAAGGTACAGGGAGGCAAGGTGTAGGAGTAGGAGGCGGCGAGGTTGAGAGGCGAGAGGAGGGCTGCCTGGAGAGAGATGGAGGATGTTGTTGTCTATGAGGAAGCTGGCTTGATGGCAGTCCCAGAGCCGACTTGGAGGCTGAGAGGAATGGGTAAGGTGAGGATATAAAGAAGAAAAGAAGGGGGGGTAAGGAGGATGGATGAGGGGAGCAAAAGCATTGTTAAATGTTCTGTGATTGCTGGCCCTACGAGATAATGTCTGGAACTCGCGGTGGATCAGACAGGACGAGGATTGACCAACTACGCCCCAACGAAGGGACAAGACAAGCAGGCGAATTGTGCGGCAGGGACAGGGGAATCATTAGCGCGTGTTGACAGTCGAAACAGACTGGGGTGTGGTGGACGATGCCGGCGAAGATGATGATGCTGGTGATGGTCGATGTGGAGGGGGCACTAAGCAAAAGTAAAAATAAAAATAAAATACACAGAATAAAATAATATGTTTAAATCGATTAATAAAATAAATCAAAAGGGTAGTGGAGAAGCAGGCAGGGGTAGGGCAGGCAGTGAAGAGAACCGGTCCAGTATTATTAGCATCCAGCAGTCTTACTAGTGGTAAATATCCCGCTAGACATGCAGCCTGCACTGCCAGACTCGGTCCTGTGAGCGATCCCCCAATCTAGGCGTTATCCCGCTGGTCCCTCGAGGGTGCCTGTTGTAGGGCGTGTGAAGACGAGCAGGTCATGCATGGATGCGACGCTGCAGTACAAGAAGAAACTCAAGCGGGAGCAAAGAATGGTTCGGAAAAGCAGCAAGTAGCGATCATCGACGAGCGCGAGGAATACAGTTTGCGATTGTCGATATCGTTTCCACCTCAGGATCCACTGCTATCCGTCCAATAGCCACGCTGCTCCCATGCGATTAGGTGGTTTTCCTCCAGCATGAGCCTTGCCATATGGGAAAAGAAAGATATTATGCATTATTTCTCTTTTTTCCAACTGCTGGAGGCATGATGATGATTTCTTCGACGATGTCTCAAAAGGATGAAAAAGAAATTGTACTCCGTACTACACGGTACATTGGGAGAGGCCATCCCTGCACTCCCATCTCGCTCGCTACTCTTACCTCCTTATGGACTCGACCCCAGTTTCACGGCGATGCAACAGAGTCAACAACTCTCGCTTGTCATGCCTTAAACCCACAGCCATGAGGATTAAATTACAGCAGCACCTTGTCGAGGATCGATAAATTATGGTCGACTGTGTCGCTTTGCTAACCGCGCCCTGTGGAAAGTGCTGCCCGGAGACGCCGTCTGCTGTGTCCACCAGCGTCGTCGGCAAGTCCGTGGCACTGGCACCCTGGAATTGTTGTCAAGCCTCCAGCAGAAACTTGGCATCATACCATCACCAATTGATCCCACTCTTTGACGGCCACCGTCTTCGGCTCCGCTTCCTTAATGTTGTCCGTGTTGATGTTCCCCCCATGATAAGATGGTGGCAAATTGTTTCCCCCAACTCCCAGAGCCCGCACGGCCCATGGCCCATGGGACTTAAGCGACCACCCTGGATTAGTGAGCATGATTCAAGTACTGTACGGTTATTTACTCCGTCCGGGCGGTTTTTGGCCCGCCGAACCAATATTCTGGAGAGGGCCCAGACGGGAAGGAGACTGAGAAATGATCGCCAGCGCAACTGGACCTCTCACATCCGGAGTGCTCGTGGTTCGACCCGAAGTTGCTCTGGTTGGAGTATACTGTGTATGCGAGGCAGTAGTTGTCACTTGTCAGAGTCGCAGGATCCTCCTGCGTCCCGTCAATTCGGTTCAACCAACTTCCTCTCCAGAAGGACGGCTGCGGACTGGCTGCACGTCGTGATAGGACCAGGGCTGTGTGCCCGCCCTTTCCGAAGACTCTCCAGAGTCCAACATTGGAACATGGCCATCTCGACGATCTTGGTTCAGCTCCACAAATCCCACCACCTTCTTTTTGAGGAACGTGCATTCGCTTTTCGCAGGCTGATTGGCCTAGAACCCCTGACAGGCAAATGAAGAGTCACCAAACCAAGATGCGATTCGGCCAATCATGCCCTTGAGTCGGTCCCAGACGGGAAACCCATCCTCCGCTAGCGTTCAACTTGCACAAACACTTTCCCCATTGCGGATGAACATGATTTGGCTCGAACCACTCAGCCATCCAGAGCCGCATTTTCCCATCGCCCGTGACTGAATTTAGCGCCTTACGAATTCAATAGTGGAATCGGCAACCAAATGTCAACTTCCTCCAGTGGCTCGACGTGGCCGGAAAAATATTTCCATTGCCATGTGAAAGACAGCTCCTGACAGGCGCCATGTTGACAAGCAAAGAGACCCTTTTTTTCGTCGCAGAAGAAAGTCAACTTCTGCAATCGCTGAGAAATGGTGGTATTCAAGCCACCTGCTCTGTGACAAAACGATACAGAAAAAACTTGGATCCCTTTGGCAGATGTGGGGCAGCTGTGGCTAATGCAAGGCTGAGTCTTTGAGGAAAGGCTTTTGAGTGGGCACCAAGTTCCCTAGGCACTGGGCAGGAAATAAGGCAAACTCGTCGTTGTATCATCGAAGCGCCGGAATGTGGATTTGGGATGTGGATGGATTCCTGATCAAAGTATGGCCTGTGACTGCATTGTCGATTGTTGCGCCGACCCAAGCCATGAGGATGCTTGATCATGTTGGGTGGAGTATCATCGACCTCGCTTCTGCATCTGCATTCGACTCCAGATACTGCCAAAAGCATGATGCAAGCACGGCCGAGGATGCAGAACACCCTGGTCGTGCCCACAAGGTGCAGATTACTAAAAGCGAACAGCGACGCTAGGCGTATGCCGGAACATCGCGAGGAATCTGTGGTGTCGGTGAAGAATTCTGACGCAAACCCAGGTAAGCGCCACATTGCCGACCTAGCCACATCTTGACAGCCTATCGCAAGCGAAGCCGCGGAACTTGCTCTGCTTTCATTGGTAGATCTTGACCCGCAAGTGTCAAAGCGGGTCGACAGAGGCGCAGTTCTTCCATTTTTACACCGCTCCGCGACCGATGCCTCTGACTTTTCTGTTTCCCACGATACAGCGTACAGACGCAGTCACAGGGCAGACGGCACATGATCGTGCCCGATGATTCATAGCGCCATTTCTTCTTTCTCTGTTCCCAATCAACGTCATACTCTCGCCAAGACGGTCAGGAACCGTGTTTTGCTTTCCCCAAAGTTGTGCGCCCCTTGAATTGACCGACGTTTCCACCCAGATTCTGGAGCGAAACCTTAATCTTTCCCTCCTAACTTGCGGTGGGATATCTGCCTTTCTGACCGGGTCTTTTCCCGGAACAACGGTGACTCGATTTCTTGGCATCATCTGCCCGTTGAGCAGATTTCCTCGACACAGAGACGAATCAAAAATAGACCTCGAGGGGAAGACTCGATAGTGTCAAGGCTTGTGGCTTAACGGCGTCATCTTCATCGTGGTGATGGAAACTTTTTTCAAAACGTCGCACAGTCTCATCACGAAACAGAGAATTATCCCCTCGCTTCAGTCAGACTTTCAGCATTCCCATGCCCCTCCACACTGTCCATATCCTTGACCTCTTAGGTGCGGAGTGGAGAGACAATTCGTGCGACAGTTGACAACTCGTCAGCAACCAACCAGTTGGAGAACGGCATAATCCCGGCTATTCCTTGCACGTGGCGAGGCGGATGCTGCTGAATGCTGATAAGCCTCCGAGTTTGTGTAACTCAATTGATCCAGATGCGATTGGATTCTCGACCCTCTCCTCCTTACGGGAAAGATCTTGCGCAACAAGCAAATCTCGATATCGTCCCAAGCGAGATTACTGCCAATTCCAGAAAGAAAGCTACAAAGTGCCTCTCTTCAGCTCCCAAGGGATATTGTCAATACCCGTTGTCTCATCACCGTCAAAGCTCGTTACATCCTCCAAGTAACCCAAGGGCTTTATGTTAATAGTATTGAGTATTATTTTGCAGGATTCAGCCCTACTCCGGGATTTGGCTAATAAACTCCGTGTTCTCGCGGTGTTATCTCCGTTCCCTGCCAGACGGTCGGAATTTTTGGTCTGTCAGACAGCATCAAATCCCTACCGCCATGTGTCTGATCCTTGAAGAAGTACCATCAGCGATCGACTCCTCATTGGCGAAGCGAATTCCTTTTCCAACCAACACTTTTACGGCAGCATGAGCGACGGCATATTGTACTGTACTGTAAATATCCCTCGTTTGACTGTGGACACTCAACAGTCGACACCCACCTATCCGCTCACCACTCTTCGGAAAAGTTATACCAGGCCCGAAGTTGGAAATGCTGCTTACTTCTCAGTTTCTTATTCGACGATGTTGGCCTAAATTTAGGACCTCCAGAGTTTCGATACTCAAAGTCTAAACCTCAAAATCAAACTTCAAGACTCGACACCAGAGGCAAGATCGACCCTGTGAAGTGTCTTGGACATGAGACGAACCAACATGGCCAAGCTCTGTTCCAACAGCAGTTTGCATTTGTTTGAACCAGAGCTCGACTATTTACTTTGTACGTTACACGGTATACGAGCTCGGAGTCAAGTCGGTGTTTAAATATAGATATGACTTGGCAGAGAAGCAATATTTCGTAGCAGCTAACTAGTACCTACTAGTAATAGTAATAGCTCTGCGAGTCTGAAGACTGTAAGATATGGCCGCAGCAGCGAAGATGTTGGAGTTGGAAACCGATGATAGTCGAAGACTTGAAGGCCTGGAAATCTGCGAGCTGGAACTGTCCAGCGAGTTACGAGTCAGCCTTGCGGAACGCCGCGCATTGGCCGGGCTCGCTACCCCAAATCCGCACAAGTCGGACTATCCCCGAGCAGGATTCTAAGGACCGTTGAACGTCAATGAGGCGTGTTTCAAGCTCCACCATAGTATCAATCTTAATTGCTCCTCTCCATAATCTTGTTCTTGCTGCTTCCGATTTATGAATTGTGCTGCAGAATTCCGACGGTTCCATCGTTGAACTCAACAACCTTTTTTCCGCTGGCCCGCATAGGCGCCCCCTGAGTCGTCTTGGTTCTTACCAGTCCAAGAAAGAAAAAGAAAAGAAAAGGCAAAGGAGAAACAGGAAACTCGACCCGTGTTCCAAGGTTGGTGTTGGGAATTTCACGCACGTTTTGGCCCCCAACCCCTGCGTCTTGGACTACTGCTCACCACTTGCAACCACCTTGGCCGCCAGCACTTTGCTCCAGCCCGCGCTGCACTCGAGTGGCCGGAAGCAAAAGGCGTGGTCTGGTCTCACCAGTAAGTTTGGAGTTCCAAGCTTCATTCAAGTCCCTGCTCGCTCGTGGCAGAACATGGGTAGCCCCTGCCAGTGGTCCAATAATCTGACAATGCAGACGAGATTGTTGGTGCTAATTGCGAGGACCGTCCTCGAGAGGCGAGGCGAGACTCGAGACTCGAGACTCTGGGTGGTGCAAGCTTACTCCCCTTCCTCGTGGGTTGTGTCGCACAAGATACGGACATACCCTTCTTCATGCGATCGGAAGACAAATCGGCCTAGA